CTGTTCGGTTTTTGGTCAAGGTTATAAGCAAGGTGAGACATCGTTGAATCGTTCCATTGGCCATGAACCACTTCGATGATCTAGGATTCTGTAAACCATTTAGACGGAAGAATGTTTTTTACACCCCGTGATTAAAAATCCCTCAGTTTTTTCTTGATTTTCCTCCCTCGATGGATTTGAAAGTATTTTTTATCTCGATTGGTGATCAGTCTATACAACCTAATCTCGTTGTTTAGTCTGTCAGACATATTTTGACATTTCGACCCTTTCGGTTTTAGTCAGGGTTATAAGTAGGGTGAGGCATCGTAGAATCGTTCCATTGTTCCAGACTACAACAACCGTAACTCTACGTTCCAGGCCTTATGACCGTGTAATGTATATATATGTAATATATACTGTTGAGAATTATGTTAATACTCCAATAACAGCGCCACTCACCGTAGATTTTTCCCTGACAGCACATTGCAGTATCGCAGATACTTAGCAGATTGTAAGTATGTATCGAGAATTGAAGTTGGCAGTGAAGCAGCACGAGTTAAGACGAGTTTTGTTTTTGCGATTGTGTTGTAACTGTGTATCGTAATCTTGTGTGAATAAAACATTATTTAAGTCATTACAAATTCCTTGATTCTTGATTTGCTCTCTTAATTGGTATTTATTGGATTTTTGTTTTGAAAGGAATGACGTTTAACTTGTATTTAAGAATAATAGAACCTAAAAAGTGAGAGTTTTCCACCTGGAGGGCTTAGCCTAGGGCGTGTTAGGACTAGAATGATAGTAACTGCAGACTGGTCACTGCATGCTCATGTAGACATAAGTAGAAAGAAGAACAAGAAACAACGGAACATGTTCTCTGTTGGTTCGAAGCCGTATGCAGGCTTAGATTACTATTCCTGGGAGAGTAGAGGCCAAAGCCTGAAAGATACACAACGGAGTCCTTAAGAAAGCTCTGTATTTGGTAAAAACCTCAAGCTTACAAAGACCTCTAGATAACAATGGAGACTGCACAAGAGTAAGATTTAAAGTTACAAAAAGGATGAAGCAAAACATAAAAAAGCTTATAGCCAAGCTTAGAAAAATATAAAAATTAAGTTGTTTTAACAATTTCTTTATATGTTACAATGTACGCTTTATTATAAAATTTTCACTCTTTCAGTAAAATTGTCTCAAAATATTTCCTGAAAAAATAACGGATCGAATGTAATTCTGAGATTTTTTCTGAGGATTGCGGGGTAATATATATATATGCATATATCAGTCTAACCAGTTTATAACCAGGTGTGAACTCGTTGAGTCATTTACGATCATCATGGCTTATCTTCGCTGGTTTTATCAGTTCCAGTTTTATCTTAGGTTGTGGATTTGTGTCAATGATCGTGTTATTGTTCAAATGCCACGTTTCATCAGAGATCGCTCCTGGACTATCCGATGTGTTTTGGCATTTCTCCATCTTAAGCGGTTAGTTAGGGTTATAAGCAGGGTGAGACAAGACAAAAAAAACCAAGCGAATTATGCTTTGTAAGAAGTGTAGACTTTCTTACTAACTAACTGAAATGATCTTATTGAATATAGAAATTATCGACCAGTTTTAAAATGTGTTAACTCAAAACAATTTGACATTAAAAGAGCCTAATAATAATAAAAAATTAACAGAGTTTTAATTATCCATTTTTAATAAAGGGGCAATGTTAGAGGGTAAAGAATTTAACAAGCCTGCTTTTAAAAATCTGGAATTCTTTTATAGGCTTTTCATAATACTTTAAGACTTTAAAACTTAATTATCGCACAAGAAGTTGTGACGTTGTCGAATCAAGGGTTCCGTAAAGTTGTCAATATATCACTTCTCGACAAAGCATTTATTACAGATTGACAGGAACTTGAATAACAGGACGTTGAATATCTGATTTTCAAATTAAACTGTAATCAATGATTCTTGATTCATGAATTTATTCACCAATATTCCAATCTGCAAAGATTATTTTCAAAAGTACTAAAATTGGGTTTGTTTCATAAAACAACTGCAATGATTAACTTTTAGATTATTATATTTGGGGTGATGAACCTTTATTCGTTATCCTTTCAGTGCCTATGATCTTCAGGGTTGGATCTGACCAACAAATTAAGGCCAAAAATGACCAAAATACAGGCTCATCACCCAAAAATCCACCCAGAAAAATTCCCAATAGCGGAATAGTTATCTGAATGTTACTTCATTAATCGAATTATAATATTTTTCACTGATTCAAATTGAGTTAAGTTGTCACTAGTTCAAAATGTGATCGAGACGGGAAGAAAGCCGCGTCGCTACCGTGAAATAATCCGGCGTGACGGTAACAAAAAAAATGTTTATCTCAGAGACAATAAACGTTGTCAAAAGCATTGTTTCCGACATCCTCTTTTTCTATTTGTACAGCTTTTAGCCGGTGTGAGCCGAAATGGTAACGCCCTTTTTCCTCGATGCTAAGGAATTCAAGAAGCGTTTATTGCGTGCCGCACGAAAATGTGGCATTATCGACCTATAACCAGATCGTACCGTCGTAAATGCTTTCCACCCGTTTGATAATAAAATCGTAAAGATTGCAGTGGTTTTAATTACTTTACTGACAGGATAAACACAACGGTTTATCTTAAAGCGATGAATTGTAACGAATAACAGCCTGTAAATTTGATCCTCAGCTTGGAAATTGTCATAAAAACATAAGGAGTTTTCGGAGTTTGATCGGTCATCCTGTTCTGCTCATCTTAACTGTTTTGATTTACATTTGCTTTACCTCACCACCACGGTAATAAGCCCTATTACCTTAACCAGCGACTTAACATGGCGAAACGCATCTGACAGCTCAAACCAGCGGTAGACTATTCGGAAACAACTATCTGACCGCGGTGTTCAACATCATACTAACAAAAATTGTGCGTTTGAAAAACCCTAACCAAGGACTGAAGACGGCATATTGTCAACACACGTCTACAGACTAAAAAAAGTAGAACTAGGTAGTCCAGTATAATTTCTAACGATTTGTGATAATTTGACGATAGCCACGATCTAAAAAGCCTTTCTGCACTTGAAAGGAAGTTTTTGCTTTGTCTCACTCTTCTTATAACCCTGATCGACCACTAAAGATGGCGATACGTCGAAACTGACAGATCAAACTAGCGAAGACAGACTATCGACACTAGAATCGTGTGAACATTCTATAATAAGCCCAGAATTGTAACGAATAAAGTTCAGTTAAGAGCGCTCAGTTCTAAGTTTGGAAAGAATTGTTAAAAAAACTTGAATCCATATTTTTCGGAGCTTGGTAGTTTACGACGGTCATCTTGGTTTGCCAATCCTAGTTGTTTTGCTCTGTCAGACGCCGTTAATGTTTTGTTTCATCCTGCTTATAACCCTAAGCAAGGACTGATTGCGGTTAATTGCCAACACGAGTCTGACAGATCAAAAAAAGTAAAAAAAGGCAGATAAGGATTGATGTGTGACAGTTAGGACATTGGCAGATCCACTGCTACTAAGACGCTTTTACGATTTGAGAGAAAGTTTCTGCAATGTCTCACGCTTTTTATAACCCTAACTAACCCGTAAAGATGGCGAAATGTCGAACAAACCAGCGAGTATAGACGGACCAGGATGATCGGAAACGATTCAAAAGGTTCATCACCCCGGAGCCATCAGGATAACATCTGACTATTATATTAGATCTATTGTTGTGAAATATTTCTCTCAGAACAAAAAGAAGAATTGATTGAGATATTGAAAATTTGATAGTGAACACAGAATTGCAAAGAATCAAAGTTAAGTTTTAAGCTTGGAAGTTGTTAAAGCAACTTGAGTCTATATTTTTCGGAGGTTTGTAGTTTACGATAATCCTGCTCTGCCTATTCTAGTTGTTTTGGTCTGTCATACACCAATTGTGTTTTTGCCTTACCCTGCTAATATCCTTAACCATATTAAGGATATGGTTCATTCAATTCCATTCAACCAAGGAATGAAGAAGACGAAATGCCAACACGCATCTGACTGAACGAACAGTGAGATTCGGAAATGACCAACAGCCCTCAAGAAGAAATCACAGTTTTTTTTTAGATCCGTTATTCAACAAGTTTAGCGCTGGCGTCAAAAAAGATAATTGACAGCTTAGTTTCCATTTATTAGATCCACTATTCTAAAATATAAGTTTTGTTCACCCATCGATAACTGAAAGCTAACATTGGATTTGGAATGAAACAGTTAACAGAACTGTAAAAGTCTAAAATGATTTCCTAGAAAGGATCTACTTTTTTCCAGTCCAGTGTTTGTTTAGAAATGAAAGAAGCGAAGCGACAAATAACCACCACTCCTCTTCCTTCCTCACGAAGACGAAACGGACGGTTGGCCTTCCACGATAACTTCATTCGCATCAAATAATTCTTCCAACTTCATTCATGACCGACAAAGGAATCTTCTAATTTGTGAATTGACTCGAGATACGTGAATGGTTGCGAACATTTTGGTCCACAGGGCCTCGCCGTTTTTGAAGATCGGAGTGTATGACATGTACATCACCTTGCAACTTCAACACATCTCGCATGTTTTCCGTTAGTTTTAAATTTAGTATGTATAATATACCCAGAGTAGTAACATTTAAAAAAATCCTCTAGAATCAATCAAGTTAAAAAAACCCCAGTGATCATGCCGAAATGCAGAAACGCGTCTGACAGACCAAAACAACGACTAGTCACATCGCGAAGACCGGAATCGACCAAGATAAAATATGTACAGTCCGAAATCTTAGAATGTCGAAGTTTTGTATATGCAATGAAACGATTCCAAAATACTTCGGAATGAGGCAAAACAGCTCTAGCAGAAGAAATAAACACATCACATAGTAGTTTAGCAATAACCGGTCTTCTCTAGCGTTTCGTTATACCCGGAAACGTTTGCTTTCTTGTGATGTATCCGTTATGGAATTCTTTCTTATTGCCAAAAGATGAATACTTAATTTTTAATTTTAGATCGAGCATTCTTTCTGGCGAAATTTTCGTACGAACTACGCGTGAATTATTGTAATTTGTGCATCACGACATGTTACCGAGGTTAAAAAAGAGGTTATCTTGCCTTGTCACCACTAATCAAAATTATCTTGACACGGAATTTAAATGCTCATCCTTTTTATCACGTACAGATAATTTGGTTGTAATATTGACGAGATAACCACAAAAAAAACTTGCTTTTTGTTAACATTCACCATACATGTGACAAGGTAACGATGTACACAATATTTTGTCAATCAAACCAGAAATTTATAATCAAAAAATTTACCCTAGGGGCGTAGTGTTACTAGCGTTAATAATGAATTTGCACGGCAAAAATCAATGCTATAAATTTAACACTTTCATGAATTTTTTCCAATTTATTAACCAACAAACAAAGGAAACAATTAAAATTATAATTTTTTGATATATTTAGAGACTCATAACAACACTTTCGCTAATTTTGAAGGAAAGCTATGCCATAACCATCGTCTTTTGTATTTATTACAACTTTACCACCATACACACTTTACACCGTATTTTTTTAAATATTAATTTTTAAGTAGATTTAATTAGTAAAAGATGCCTGCTTTAATTAATGTCAGTTGAACGATGAAACTGATGTTCGACAATTTTTGTGGATGTATTGTCCTATTTTCACAGGGTTGTAAAAAACAGTTGGCTCAATCTTCATCAAACTAATTTTACTATTTGCCAGAGAAAAACAAAATTAAAAACCACTCGGAGCTTCTTCACTCATTAGCGCAAACCAAAACCTCAAAACGTTCCAGAATTCCATCTTAGTCAGAAGAATACATTTTCTTTTTTAAACACGACTGACTTTCTCTAGGCGGTAGATCATAAATACCTTCAGAATCTTCAGTCGGTCAGGTCTCGTCAGGAGAATTCGTTAAGGTCTGATCACGATTTACCGTGGATATGTTTTTTGGGCTGGATAAACAATGTTTTGGTCATTTTCGCTTCATCGATTTCGCGTTACGGGGGAGAGCACACGGGTTAGGTTTTGGGTTAAGGTCGGGTTAGGTAGGGTTACTGTCACTTTAAGTTAGGTCCGATAGGTTAAGGGACGCATTACGTTAGGTTTGGCACAGTTAGGGATGGTTTAGATTGCATTAGGTAGGGCTAGGGACAGTTTAGATTAGGCACGGTTTTGGCGAGGATACTTATTAAGGTTAGGGACGGGTTAGGTAATGTTTGGCAGAGTTAGAGATGGATTAGTTATGTCAGGTAGGGTTAAGGACGGTTTAAACATATACACGATTCAACAATTTTCCGAGTGTAAAGTATTTGCAATTTTAAACTTCGCTGAAGAAAGAGGCTTCTGGTCAGATATCAATATCGAACTAGTCTATAGTCAAGTATGTTAGAATCAACAGTCGATGTTTACTCGAGCTTTTCCAATTGTGTTTGTTGTCTTAGTGATATTACTATTCCTATTTTTATTTATATATTGGTGAGTTATTAGTTTGTAAACTCACTTTTCCTTCAAGTGTGAAGTTGGGTATGTTTTTTGTTTATTTGTGGTTGTTTTTATGTACAAGGTTTTTTATTGCTTGGTGTTCAAATGTGCACTTCTCATCAGTAAATATTTCTTTTTATTTAGTCTGTTCGTCATGTATTTGAGTGTTGACATTTTAAGACGGTGGTATGTGGAAGCTCTTATGATGTCTGTTTTCTGCTTATGTCGAGTTGGAGTTTGTCGTCAGTTTTTAGTAATGTGTAGTTAACTCAAGGAAGTTTATGTTGTAGTTATGTTTCTACAGTGAATGTTATGCCTTTTAGGTTAGGAGTTTAGATCTATTAGAAGTTGTCCACTATGACATGCCATTAGCATAACCTAATAACCCATAATATTATATATACTGGGAAAATTTATCTTCAAAATGTTGTAAGAATACTTTTGCAAGTATAGCCGACGTAGCGATTTGTAGTCTGTCTATTGGTATGAGATTTTGTTCTATTAAAATGAAAGTTTTTTGGTCGACCGTATTGTTTGAATTTTATGCTTAGTTTAGTTGCAGTTTTGGATCCGTGCATTTCCTAATCTTCCTAATCCATCGCCATATGCCCACTACTGTGTATGGCGAAATGTGTTTGTGAGAGATCAAAAGGCTTAGATAAATCAAAACTAGCGAATACGACCAAACTATATTCTCTGAATATGTCTTTCCGTCAACTACTGTATTCCTTCTCACCAGGGAACACCAGGCATGGACTCTGCGATCACCAGAAGGATGAGACTATGGAGAAAACCTGGATAACAATAGGATTAGCCGAAACAGTGGAATAATTTCAAATAATCCAAGTTGTTTGTCGTCACCCGAGGCCTTATAACAGCCAAGCAGACCTTGTGCCATTTCCTGGTAGAGAATTTTTTGCAAATCTAGGCATATCATTAACACAATCCAAATTGTTCCACCGTGGCAAGCACGATAAAGCACGCGTGAGACTTGGTTGCAAAGCATGCCACAACTCGACAAACGACGAGCTTACAACATTTCTCAATGGTACAACCTTCCAGCATCAAACTGTAGGCTTTTAATCAAAGGGATGTCAAGAAGAATATCAACACTTGTGAAAGAAAATTCTATTTTTGTTCCTATCCAACATTATTTACAACAAAATTAAGCATATTTCATGTAGGTTTTCGCAAAATATTTTGATTCTAGAACATAATATTTTTAACGTGGAAAAATCGCGTACAATCAAGACAAATTTATTATTTTGAAAAATCAAGGTGATGTTTTAATTTTGTCCGCGAATTTAGCCAACAGGTAAATCTATTGGACCAAGGAATACCTTTTTTTACTTTCTCGCACAGTCAAATTTTCGATTCACATACACACCAATTAAAAAATAACAATAAAATAAATAATACTAGGTTATAGGACCTACTGTTAATCGACAGAATTAAGATGGACAATGAAAAATTATGTCAGGAAGTGATATAAGATAATTTTGCCGAAGTTAAGAGAATGGAGTGGGTGACTCACCGAGGGCGGAAGGCCAGCCGTCCTTATCGCCCGTCTGCCTCTGGAGGCAGGGAAGACAGCGTCGTGTCATCGGCAGCTCGCCTCGCTTCTGCAGTGCCGGCTGAAATCGGAAACGGGCAGCTTTCAGTCTGGCCAACCGAGTTTCAGTCCTTTCCTCGGCCGGGCTTCCGTTTATGCCGAGGGCAATCGATGCCGGCCACTCCGGCTGCTGCCGCTGTTATGCAACCCTCCTTCCACCCCCGTTCAACCCCTGAAGAAACGCTTCCGCTCAGTCGGTTCACTTTCTGCCTCCCACCAACTCTGACGAGACACTCATTTATCGGAACTGAAATAGATTTCTTCTTGCCGTGTTTTGTTTTATTGTTTCCGTAAATAATCTTGTTTTTATTGAAAAAGTTTCCTTCCTTCTATCGTGTGTTGTCTTGTGATGACCTCTGTTTTAATTCTGTTTCTCTTCTAAAAGCAGTCAACATTTATAATATTGAAAATGTTTCTTATCAATTTATATAATTATTATTTATATATTTTATCATTTTTATTATGTAACATGGATGTTTTAAAACATCTATTGTCTTTTTTACATCTTCGCCATGCGAACTTACTTAAAAACTTCTTTTTTTACTTAAAAACAATACGAAATTTTATATAAACTTAAATTACAGATGCAAATTGGTGATACATTTTAAAAGATAATATATATATATATATATATAAACTTAAAAAATGTATATTTAAGGCAAGCTTTATGATTAAATGTTTTAAAAAATTTTAATTTATTTTTTTTAATTTATTTTTAATTTATATTTTTTTTAATAAAAAAAACCCACAAATTATATATATTTTATACTAGCTTTATTACCCGGTATTGCCGAGGGGCAGTGTCATTTAACACATTATTTTGAATATACATATTACTACTCTATTTCTATTTATTTTTTATTTTATTTTATTTTTTAACTTGACCCACTTTCTTCCACAGAACAAAATTGACATAAAAAACATGTGAGGAGAAAGAAAAATAATATCTTTTCACTTTTCTTCATCAATACATAGGACATCTTGTGGCCATTGGTGTGTTGGTCAGTAAAAAAATAAAAAATAAATAAATTAATTAATTAATTTTAAAAAAATACTATTTGTGTTGCGAAGACTATTTATTTAACAAAATGATATATCAAGTTTTACAAGTTGGGATAAATGCAGACAAATAAAAGTTTTTGATGGAAATTGTTATGACTGTTTATATAGGAAATCGATTACTGTCTCCAGGTCATTAAATTTAAATTCTTGACATAAAATGGACAGACATTTCTCCCATTCACAAACACCGCACTGTAATAGTTTGGAGTAGCGTGATGGCGTTTGGTCTGATTGAATATTCAGCACTGCAGCTCAGCTTCGCCAATGGGGTATTTGGAGCAGTGATGCTTCATTTGGGTTGTTGGATTGATCATGAGTGACCAACATTATAATTCTGCATGAGATACTGTGTGAATTCTTGAAGGACCAATGTCCATTTTGTGTATTTAACACAATAGTTTCAAATGTAAAGTACCTTATGTCTAAAGATGTTTTTGTTTTTGTTTTAGGATGACTGTATGAGTATACGTGATTGTGTCATTAAAGGTATGTGTGATAATTGAAACTATCATTTTTTATAATCTCACAGGTTAACTGGAATTGAATAATTACTTTCTATGTTTGTAGCATTCAAAAGTAGATCCGCAGAAAATGGAAATGTAAGTCGACAATGTTTACAATGAAAAGTGGCTATTTACTGAAACTATGTTGACGGATTACTTAACATTAACATAAGTAAAAAAAAAAAAAAAATGTGACATTAATAATTAACCTTGTTATACAATATAACTATTTAGATTCACTAATTTCGTGGTCCGCTTGACCAATTAATACATTACAATTAATTAAGGTTTTTAGTTGAGATAAAAAAGTCAATGGCATGAGTGGGATTCGAACTCACAATCTTCGGCTTGATACGCTGCTGCTCTATCAAGCCGAAGATCGTGGGTTCAAATCCTGCTCGTGCCATTGACTTTTTTATCTCAACTAAAAACCTTAATTAATTATAACTATTTAGGTTTTATATAATAATATATTGTCCACATAAAAAAAATCTCACTTATTTGTAAATAATAAAAAAAGTCTATTCTTTATAATACTAGTTTAAATAGTAGACGAGCAAAGTGATTACAAAACACAGCACATGACTTAAACAAAGGAAAGTACAGATAAGTAATATTAAAAACAAATTAACTTTACTTATTATGAATTTGAGGTTTGAATCCTGCTCGTGACACTAGCGTTTTCATCTCAACCATGACTATAGATAACAAATTATAATTAATTTAAATAATTAATATGGTCAATCATGACTACTAAATACATATATGATTTACTTATTACTTATGTTGTCTCAAAATGAAACTTAATAACTGCATGAGTATCCTTCTGAAAAAAAAAAATAATAATCATGATTGAAAATTTAATAAATAAATATGTTCTTACTACTTCCTACATGGTTGTCTAAAATTAAATGTTTGTAACAAAAATTAACGCCATCACAAAAAAAACTTTGTCATTAGATTCTACATTCAAAATGGCACCAAAAAGGCCTGAATCTCAACACTTTCGGAGTTATTCCACTTTTTCTGATTTTTTAAGATTTCACAATCGCTTCAATTAAACAACGATAACTGTACAACTAAAAGGTTTTGGACAAATGCATTGATACAATTGAAAACTACATTAAATTTCCAATAAGCTGTGATCAATACTAAACTTGTAAATTTTGGTGAAATAAGCTAATAAGTAGCCAGAACATTAAAAAAAATTTTTTTTTTTCAAAGTTGAAAAACACTATAGTGATTCTAAACTACTGTTTCCAAACCTAGAGTCCTGCAAATTTCAGAAAACATACTCCATTTAATATCCTTTCTAGTGGTGTAATTGCTTTTTTTAATTACCTTTTTCAAAGATGAAGAAAAAAAAACCTTAGTTGACGAATGGGTAAGGTGGAAAGATTAATAATAATAAAAAATCTTAAGGAAATTTTGAATGAATTACATCAGTATTAGTCTTTCCTTAAACAGTTTCATAAGTGTCTTTTATTCACTGTCATCAGAATTTTAGTAGTCTGTATTTTTTGCATAGTTTCTTTTCACGTATTTTTATTTTTTATTTTTTAGAGCATAGTCAGAATTCAATGAATGCAATGCCACCTCCCAGCAGGTAAATTTCAGTTTCATTTTTGGCTTCATTATTAATGTATTTTCTTTAATCCTAGGAATAGTATTGCCCAAAAAGAAAATAACCCGAGGAAGGTCTGCTGTAAGTACCAAACAAATAAACTATAACATATATTATGCTTTATGTATAAAATGTAAAAGATTTTTGTTTCTCTTTATCATAAAGGAACCTAAACAAACAAAATGTCAACTCGAAAGCTTAGAACTTCTAGGAGTTTATCAAAAGGTAAGCCATTTTTCATTCATCGTCACCCAAAAAAAATAAAATAAAAATTTTATTATTATTGTTAGACAAAAAATTATCACCAAATACATTTGAAACACCGGCAAGAAATCAGACACCGTACCATATGGCGGCTGTCACGCCGAGTATAAAGTGTCAGACTCCTGCACCGATTTATAGAAAGCCGACAATGGGAGAACAGGTCATTTCAATGTCAGGAAGCCTGCTGATGGTACCCCTCTACTCTGATGCCGAGGAGCCTCAGTTACACATCCCACTATTTGATGGAAGGGTAATTTTTTTTTTCAAATTTTATTCTTATACCACACTTCTTATTTATTTTGTTTATATTTTTTTAAAGGTTTTTGCAGTCATGCCACAAGAGAATTTAGAGTGTCCCAAATCTTACCGATATCGATCCTGGTACAATAGAGAAGCTTAAAAGGCTTCATCAATTTCTCCAGGAAAAAGTGCTGAAATCAATTTTATGTAGAATTTCCTAAAAATGAATTCACAGAAGAAGAAAAGAACAGTGAGTATTTAAAAGACAAATTATTATGTACATTCTTAATTTTTTAATACAAAAACTAATTGTAGTTTATAGGTCTCAAAGAAATTCTCAAACAGAAATCTGTGAACAACGTTTATAATGGATTACATGGTTTCTAGCTGTGGAGACATTAAAAACAAAAGTTATATTTATAGGTCAATTTTTATAAATACCAAAAATGTTGGGTGCTACTCTTGCAAAACAGAGACAAAAAGTTATTCCCACTTAAAATGTTAAATGAGAGACTAAATGTTGACCTGTTATTTGTGTAAGATGAATTTTTGTACATTTCAAATTGTGTCTGATTGTTTCCTATATCAGTGTTTTTAAAGTGTATGAGTTTGAAAAATCTTCAATTTAAACTGGTAGTTTTCCTTGAGAAATTTTTGACTTAGATCTATCTATTTTTTTTTTTTTTTTGAATTATTAACCAATTGAATTACCATTTTGGATTTTTTTAAATAATAATTTTGAAATGAATACACTTTCTCAGTTGAATGAAAATTACTTATTTCATTTGATTTGTACATTTATGTTCTGCCAAAATGTTTATTTGTTAGTGAGGATTTTGTATTTATTTATCCATTGTGATGTGATTTAATTGATAAGAAAAACTTTGTTGTTATCTATAAAAAAACAAAAACATTTTTAAAAAATCTAGTACATTTCATTGTGTTCAAATAAACACATTTTGAGCTCAATTTTGCATGTATTTTATGTCATATTTCACCACCTAGTGAATAAAATACATTATAATATAAAATAGAATACATTTATTGGTTGTAGTTGCATCATTAGATACATTTAAGGGAAGAAACTAAAACATCTAAATATGTCACAACCGAGTCCCTAAATTGTGAACATGACTAAAATGGTTTAAATTGAAAAAGGTTTGGACAGTTATTAAAGGATTTTTCTCGGATGTTGAAATGATTCATTATCCAGAAAAAATAATAAAAACGAAATAAAAGGTATCTAGAATTATAAGTAGAAATGTGTAGTGAGTAGTGACCGTTAGTCGATAATTATTCAGATATCATGAGACAGACCGCATCTCACGATATCTGAATAATTATAAGTAGAAAGTTGTATAGATTTAGATAGAGATTTAATAAGTAAAACCTGCAAGTGCATCTCAGTACAAATAGAGTAAAATATAAATGTAGAGCACCAGATAAGCTGGCAGACACAAGGCATTTAACTGACATCTGCATATAGCTGAGAAGAAAGGAAAATAAAACCAAAAGAGAAATGCTTAATTAATTGTAAAGGATCTTTTTGAAATGAAAAATTTGTGTGAGGTGGGCTTTGGCTCAATACACAACTCCTCTAACCACTTGAGCTACCATGACTTCGTTTGCCCAAGCTACAAACTCCTCATTTCGGCTTCCTTTTTATTCCAGTTGTAAGCAAATCGTGGCTTCATATAGAAACACATTTTATTAATGATTGTGCTATATTAGTGGACTGAGAGAAAAGAGATATCATTGATGTACACAGAAAATAGAAAAGGACCTAATGTGGACTGTTGTATCTATTTTTAAATTAACAAAATGATGGGTTGTGTGGTTACTGGTTGTGAATAAGGAATGGGCTATTTCCATGTGCTGGTAAATTATGTGGAGAAGAACTTTGAAATTTAAAATTTTTGTTTACTAATTTTCCACTCTTTTATATTATAATAAAATAATCTTTGAAATTAAATTATTCTTATCATTTGAAATGAAAAGTAGTTGGAGCAGCGGTTTAACTTTGTAGATGGAATTGATCTGATTGAATTGATTTCTGTATGACGAAATTGCGTCATCAGATAAAGAAAACTGGTTCCAGAAATAAAAATAAAAATAAAGTGTGGGTCTTGAAAATAATAAGCCTGAATAATTGACCTTCTTATAGAAATGTGTAACATTTATTTGGTTTTTTATTGAATAATTGGCGTTGTGCTGTGAAAAAATAAACGGAGGAAACTGATAAACGTATCGTTATCGTGAGGCAACCGAACTTTAGCCTTCGAGTCTCATTAAAGTTCGTTCAGAAACTTTCGTTTGATAAAGAAAATTTGTACGTATGCTAAATATAAAAATTTGACTAGTCTAGACATTTCATCGTGCCGTTTTTTAATCAGAGTGTTCGAGAATATTATGTAAATCTGTTTATAATAGTGAGAAAAATGTCAGCTTCGAAAATAATTTTACCCACACTTCGGTCCAAGCTACGACTTTTCACGAAGCGTGGTTATTCCACACAGACATTTCCAAAAATCACGACCCACTACACGGTGGTACCCAGGGAGGGCGACCCAAGGTGGAAAGATGTAAACATGGAAAGATACGTAGACGAGGTTGATGTGGTTGTTGTTGGAGGCGGTCCAGCAGGTATGGCCGCAGCAATAAAGTTAAAACAACTAGCATCGAGTTCGGAAAAAGAGTTGAGGGTCTGCCTCGTTGAAAAAGCTGCTCAATTGGGAGGCCACACTCTTTCTGGTGCGGTCATCGATCCAGTCGCTCTAAATGAACTCATCCCGGATTGGAACGAGAAAGGGGCGCCATTGAACACTCCAGTCAAAACCGACGTTTTCTCCTTTCTTACAGAAACATCTCGACTTCCGATACCGATATTCAAAGGAATGCCGATGGACAATCATGGAAATTATGTCGTCAGACTCGGCCATGTTGTCGCTTGGTTGGGCGAACAAGCGGAGGCTCTCGGTGTCGAACTCTACCCTGGGTATGCAGCCGCCGAAGTCCTCTATCATGAGGACGGCTCTGTAAAAGGCGTTGCTACAAACGATGTAGGAATTGCGAAAGACGGTTCTCCGAAAGAAGTCTTTGAACGGGGCATGGAGCTTCATGCCAAAGTCACAATTTTTGCGGAAGGTTGCCATGGACATTTGACAAAAGGTTTATTTAATAAATTCAAACTCAGGGAAAACTGTGAGCCTCAGTCGTATGGTTTGGGTGTGAAAGAAATTTGGGAAATAAAACCAGAGTTACACAATCCAGGAAGAGTGGAACACACAGTTGGATGGCCCCTTGATAAAAGTACATATGGAGGTTCATTTCTATATCATTTAAATGAATCTTCACCTTTAATAGCGGTTGGTATGGTTATTGGTTTAGATTACAGTAATCCTTACTTAAGTCCATTTAGAGAGTTCCAGAAGTTTAAACATCATCCATTTATTAAAAAGACATTAGAGGGTGGTAAAAGGATTGCTTATGGAGGACGGGCGCTAAATGAAGGTGGCTTCCAGAGCATTCCTAAGCTCACTTTTCCAGGTGGTTGCCTTGTGGGATGCACCGCTGGATTTCTCAATGTCCCAAAAATTAAAGGGACGCATTACGCCATGAAATCTGGAATGTTAGCTGCTGAATCAGCTTTTGAGTGTCTTACCTCCGACCTGAAATCACCCACTGTAGGATTGGAACCTACATCTTATGAAGCAAAAATTAAAAACAGCTGGATCTGGTCCGATTTAAAAGCTGTGAGAAACGTACGCCCTTCTTTCCATACATCTTTGGGATTGTACGGTGGCATGGCTTATAGCGGTTTCACAATACTCTTGGGAGGAAGAGAACCCTGGACATTGAAGCACGGCAAACCGGACCACATGAGGCTCAAACCGGCATCTCAGTGCAAACCTATAACGTACCCCAAGCCGGATGGTGCTCTCAGTTTCGATCTTCTCTCCTCAGTCGCACTCACGGGGACAAATCACGAAGGCGACCAACCTCCGCATCTCACTCTTAAGGATGACACAGTGCCTGTCAAACACAACCTGGAAGTTTACGACGGGCCTGAAGGAAGATTTTGCCCTGCAGGTGTTTACGAATTTGTACCTTTGGAAGATGGCTCAGGACAACGATTGCAAATAAATGCCCAGAATTGCATCCACTGCAAGACGTGTGATATCAAAGACCCAAGTCAAAATATTAACTGGGTCGTACCTGAAGGAGGCGGCGGACCAGCATATAACGGGATGTGAATCTGTGGTTTTTTTAAATAACTGTTATTTGTTTTAGGATTGAAATATTATATAGTTGGTATTCTTTATTTTTTCATATATTCAAAATATATTTTTTTACATACTTTCATTTTAAATTAAGCAAACATTGGTTCATTGTGATATGACGATTGATTATTGTATATGTAGTTATTTTAATAAACAAATTTGCAATTTTTTAAACCCTTTTCTTTCAATAAATTATGAACTTACAAAAGCTATTGCAAACCAAGTTTGTTTTTTTTTAATCTGCATATTACATTTACATTTAAAAAAGTAAAATAAAATTACACAACAGTGACTACTCCAACCACCTAGTTTAAAGGTGTGATGTTGAACTTTGTTCTTATATTAATAAAGATAAAAATTTCTGAGATGTTTTTAGGCTGTTTTCAGATTACGTAGTTTGTTGTATACCAATTGAAAATACAAACAAAACATCTTGCTCTTTAGTTATTACCAAATTTACTTTGAAAAGAATCTAATCTATAAAAAATAATTTACACAAAACATAACTGATATCATTACACTTGGACATGTACAACTATTGGCTGTTGAAAGTATAAACAATATTTTTCAATTATTCTTTAAATGTCTTTAGACAGTACTAATATTGAATTTTTGACAAGAAGATGAAAAGTAATATAATTATAATATTTAACTGTAATCTTTGTTAAATCATATTATTTTTAAGTATCAAGTCAAAGTATTAATACTTCAATTTTACTGCTTTATTTTAAATAGAATAATTGCATTTAACTAATTCATAATTTTTCCAAATAAAAATAAATAAATAAAATTAAAGCATACACTAGCTTCATAACAGCACATTGCCAGGGATGTGCATACATTACTCAATTATTCGGTCTTTGGTGCTTTAGAGAAACATGAATAAAGAGAGGGCAGAGTAGAGATATACAATTAGATGATGGGAATAGCATAAGAAGTCCTGTAGAGCAAATTAAATGTTCCAAGGCAAAAATTAAGCATCAAGTCTTCAGCTGTTTGGGATATCTACAATGACCAAGGTAGAAGTCTGTATCTTCGCAATAATTTACCATCATGGCATATCATCAGTGGTTCTTGTTGGTGTATGATGTCAGGTCCGATAGAGCATGTGCTGCCCTGTCCACTGTTTCCCATCATATTATCCTGATCAGTATCGAATTGTTGAAAGGATCTGGACAAAGAATAAAACATATTTCCTTGAAAAACGAGGAACAAAAATATTTTCAAATTATTGCACTTTTACACAGGGATGATTTATTCTAGAGGTAGAACCTATATAGCATTGACCAACAAATTAAATAGATTTTTTAAAATTTATGTTTAATTTATTAACTACTTGCAAATAGAATTAATTAAAATTTGAAATACTATTGTTGGTCCACAGTTCACTTTCCATAAAATAATATTATATCTAGTTGTAATTCAGGTACCTACCCAATAAAATAATGCATTAAATCATGTGATTCACTTTGAAAGAAAATTTTTAAGTTATGCACACTGTATTTTACATTATTGTAAACAAACACGTTAGTTTGTTTATATTGAAAGGAAAATAAAAGAGATCACAATGGTAAAACTCACACATGCGCTCACCCTTGATACCCCGTTGAAAGTATTCAATCAGACAAAAAGTAAGGTAGAAGGGATAGAGTCTTCTATTATAATCGAAAAATACATTGATGAATGTGAGTACCGATTTGTTAAAGTCAGTGCAATGTTATTATTACTTACAATTTTTATACGAAGGCAAAAATAAGATCGCCGGAGGGCCATTAAACATCGAGAGCATTGACATTAACTGCAAAGTAAATGGCATTGAACATCACACGAGTTTATATGATATTATGTTAAAAGAAAACCCTGTACTAGTTGTGAGAAGAGGTGCGCCATTTAGAATGGTTATTAAACTCGAAAGACCCTTAATTACAGCAAGGGATTCAATTTCTTTTACATTTTTTGTTAAAGTGAAAGGTATATTACTTAGAATATATAAATTGTTTTGTATTGTGAAAATATTTAACATAATTTGTCTCTTTTTTTTAAGATTGTGAATTTGCTAAAAACTCAAATGGGATGGAACAATGCTTCTTACTCTTGTATACCAGTAGAATTATACCAATTAAGAAAACTGAGTGGAAATCTATCTGTGATTATGTTTCTCCTGATGGGAAAACACTTTTCATACAAGTAACAAACATTTACATATGAGTATGTTATACTTTTTGCATAAAATATATACATTTGCGCTAGGTTTTTGTCCCGTCTAAATGTATAGTAAATAAATGGAAATTTTGCGTGCATACTAGACATGAGAACCATTTTGTGAAATATCCCTATAATGACGTCATGTATGTACTTTTCAACGCCTGGTGCCCAGGTAATCGTACAAATTGTTTTTATACATTAAAAATGAAGTATAAAAAATGAACCCTTTTTGCTCTAGATGATGATGCTTATTTGCCAACGGAAGAAGAACGGGAAGAATACATATTAAATGACTTTGGCGCTTACTTTACGGGTACAGCAAGAGCTTTTGATTTAAACAGATGGTATTTTGCCCAGTATGAGCCAGGAATGCTCGATTATGTCTTTTACCTATTAAATGATGTATTACATCTTCCCCACCATGATTGTTGGAGTATTTTATCAATTGTAAAAGCATTTTCAAATGAAGTAAGTTATTCTTTAGTAACAATGATTTAAATATCTTCAAAAATTAATATGTACTGGGATATTTTTATATTCAATCGTTTTATGATTAGGTTTCAACAAAAACAAGTAGACAGTAATTGTAGAATTATATTATTTCTAATTTATATCAATAATGTGGAGTATTAAAATAGGCAAAATTGTAGTAATTAATCACCAGATAATCATAATTAAATATTATGGAATGTCGTTTTGAGATCTGCAAGATGTTGAATATGTTTAGTCATTTATCATCATCCTGACATTTTTTCTCCTTAATATGTACAATAAAAAAATACTTAAATTGAAAATTTAGTGTTCTGTTTGAATTTTTAAGGTGGGTATATAAAAATAATTCTAGCATTTAAAATTTACTACAAACTCAAAACTGACTTCTTCTTTATCTAATAAAACTGACGTTAGAACAGCTTAAAAATTTTTCACAATGAAATTTGAAGTGGGAAGAATATTTCTTTAGTACGGTTGACCTATTTTCTACCAGAGCTAATTTTGAATGTTATCCTCTATAAGTGTATAGTACCATTTAAGTTGAATGCCGTCCAGAAATGCCAATTGTAAAATGCTAATTGGAATCATTCCAAAATGCTCAATTGTTTACAACGATTTATTGACTTACGGGTGTTGTTGATCCACCAGATTATGTATTCATTAAGAATCCATTTTTAATGTGTAATGGACAAATTCTCCAATTTACTGTCAAACAGGTTAAGAGCATATTGCACTTGGTCCGCCAGTATGCAGGCATGTCATCCAAGTCCTACCTTTGGAATATCAATTTCTGTAATCCACCCATTTAATTTGGAAACATTTAACTTTAACAAAAAATAGTCTTGTACAAACCCCAAGTTAATTTTGGCAAGGAATCGCTATTAACAGATTTAACACAACTTTCTCATCTAGCTAGGAAAATGACTAACTTTGTTATTTTAAATGAAAATCCCATATTTTTATTGTACAATTCTAGAGTTTATGTTATGCCACTTTTACTGAAAGGAAAATTTTGGTAGGATCAACCACTGAGTTATACCCAATGGAAAATGCATGAGAGGGTATGGTTTTTATAATAACAAGATGGCCGTCCCCATTTATTTTGAAAACAAGAAAAAAATGATCTTATACAATTTTGTATAAGATCATTATTTGATAAAGTTAATCGTTTATGAATTAAAGGGTGGACTATAGAAGTTGATACATCCTGTATACCATTCATCAGTATCCAAGGATGTATTTGCAGGCTAAGCAAGCTCCGCAAACTTTGACTCAGTACGGCATCTTTACCTTTTTGCAGTAGCACTTGGGTATGTACCATCTATTGATGTTTTATATGGGATTTATTCAATGTCCAACAAATTGCATTTGGCATTACAATGTTTATCACATCCTTCAGTCATCCTTGGTAGGCTGTTTTGGCCTTGGATCTCTAAGTTTTTCTCCTTTTTTCCCAGTACTATCTTTGACTAGAATTTTATGAATTCAGACACATTGAGGACTTTCTGTGATCTCCTCATAAAATGGCCTCATCATTGAGTGTTTTTTTGCTTTCCGGATTCTTTATTGTTCTGGGTGAGTGCTTCTTTGAAAGCAACCTATTCATTGTGGACCTTGGTCTGTTGAACAGAGTCCTCACCCTGAGACCTTAGTCTTTGAAGGTGTTTGGTGTACGTTTTGCCTTATTTTTCTATGCAGTATAAATTTTCTATGTAATAGCATAACTTACTTCTGACCTGTCCCTGAATTCCTTGTTTATTCCCTGAAGAGAATCGAGGGGTTTTATACCCTACTCTACACTTCACAATTGATAACATCTAATAGACTCACCTCAGTCGTTCATGTTGGTGCTGCCCTATACTAAGTGGTGGGTATTTGCTTCACATCCATCTCCTCTCTTCACTCACAATCTTTGCTGTTAGTACTGCTGTAACAAAGGCACCAGGAAAAGTTCCAGGATTATTGTGCGATTAATTCTATTGCTATAAACAATACAAGCCAAGGGTCTTTGTGACTTCCTTTGGTATATTACCTATGTCTGTAGTGCTTAGTCCCTTTTCATCCACCCAGTTCCTGCATTAGTGTAAGCCTCTACGTCAAATCTCTTGACCTACAGGACCTTGATGATCAACTGATTATTGGTCATTGATGGTAAGAGAGGTAAGAGGAGGGTCCTCCTTGTGGGTATCCTCCTCTTATATACGCTCTTCGGTCAGTGTCTTTTTGAGCAGACTGGTATAATTTTCTGCCTACACTTTCTCTTGACCAGAAGCTTCTTTCACTAGTAGATCCATGGGGGTTGATTAGGTTATTTGACCCCTCTTCTTTACCTTTGCGACGGAAGAGTATTCTGCCCATCCCAAGGTGTGGTTGCATGTCGACATTTTGGAGAGCTTCATAGGATTCTTGGTCCATAAAAAAAGTCCATTCTGAACCCTTGTCCTGACGGATTTCATCAGAGACGATCCAAAGGTGTGTGTTTAGCTGCCGATTCGCAGCCTTCAGTCGGGCTAGGATGCGCTCGGCAGTGAGTCGAATCCCTCTTGAGTCGGGGATATAAGCTGTACAAGCCAATGGCTTTGGGATCTCATCTCCCACCAGTGTCTGGAAGAATGCACCCTTCCAGGGTCTCAAAGTTGGGACAATATCTATCAGCCAGTTGGTGCTTACCTTATCCGCACAACTTATGACCAGATATCCTGGCTTGTGGGTGCACCTGTTAAATTTGACCTCCAGCATTGGGGGTCCTTCTTCTGGCACTTTTTCATAGGCCAGCATTATCGCCTCCTCAAGGGCTTCAAGCATCATGGAGTCCATTTGTACATTGGGAAATCCATTTTCTACCACAGCAACCTCCACGGGTGTTAGTGACCCCTTGCAGGATGTCTCCTGTGGAGTAGGTCTTAATCTCTTTGGGGCATTTTTCTGTGCTGTATTGTCTTCAGACCTTGGCCTTTTATCGTTTGGCGTTAGAACCAGAGGTTGTCAATTGTGATGGCTTTATCCACTGCCTTTCACCTACTACTCTTGACTTTGTGGACGATTTAAGGAAGTTTTCGAGTATTATCATTTTTTTTGCTTTGACATACTCCACTCCTCCTTTAACAAGGGAAAACAGCCTCCTCCTTGAAGCTCCTGCTAAATGGATTTTAGCAACTTCATCTGCTGTAAGGTTTTCTATTTCTATCAAGCTATTTGCCCTGAAAACGATGCGTAGTCTATTTTTGGCAGTGCTGCCTTCTTCGGGGTCTACCCCAAGTGTGCTTGTTTTGTTTATTTCATTATATGGTTCCATATAGTTCCCACGAATAGCTAGGGATGTAAGAGGTCCACCCCAGCAGAGCCCCGCATGCTGGGCTAAGCCTAAATACGACAGGGTGTCGGCTGGTTCCCTGAAAGCTCCGATTGAGACACCATTTAACCCTAGTGCCATTCATCTTTCGCCACGGGTCGCGTTACAGCTTAGATTGGGTTTGCCAGAGCCCCTTTAGCCTACCCTGATATCCCAACTACCTATTTCTCCTCAATGAAGAGAAAAAAGGTACCTGGTAATAACAAGGCGTTTTCCAGGAGGTGCTACGAGGAAGATGGGGTTGGACTTTTACCTCCCAATGTATGTCTAACATGTGGCTTTTTTTCTCAGTAAAAAATAGCATTATTAAAAATATGTACTGGTTGTCTCCATTTAAAAATTTAAACAATCCTTTTTACAATTTAATCAAGTTTTGAATAAAATACAGTTTTTATTGTTCAAATCATAAAATCACACATGAATAACATAATTAAACAATTATTTCTTGATTAACTATGTTTTACTGGTTGCTATAATAAAATTAATTAATTATTTTTATTTTTACTTAGAAAACAGAATCATTAATCATAGACTGTCCTTGGACTAGCAATTACAGAGGTGGAACAAACCAAATGAAATGGCCAGGAAGCAAACTCTTGTTGGGCCAGTTTTACAAAACTAAAAAACCAGTCAATCTAGGGCATTGTTATGTCTTTAACTGTCTACTAGTTTCAGGTATTAAATATTATTAAAACATCAATTAAATGGTATTAAACAATTTAAATATATTTCAATCACACCTAAAGTTTTTTTTTTAGTATTCAGAGTTCTTGGAATTGCAGCAAGGCCTGTGACTGGTTTTAACGTCTATAATTCTATTTCAACAAAGAATGTCCTAATAGCAAACAAATTTATAAAGGATTCAGGGGAGACGATACCAGAAATGTCTGATGAATTGAGGTAAAAAATTTGGTTTAAAGAATGATTGTATAAATGTACACCATCGCTGTCTATTTATCCAGCTGTCACTGCAACTGGGCAGAAGTTTTCATGAAACGCCAAGATATTGGCCATGATTACAATGGGTGGCAATGGATCGCTAGGCCTGAAGGGCCGACGTCAATTGCAAGCCTGAAAAAGGGCGAATTGGAAAAGCCTTATTCTGGCCTCCTGTCATACTTCACTCTTCACCCCTTGATACTCATCTGGGTGTTTTCGATGGATTGTCAAAAATTAGTTCAGCACATATCTCAGTGAGTTGTGGAATTTTCACCCATATAAGTAACTTTTCTTTCCAATTGTAGATTTATTTATTTTATTTTTTCAATAAACCTTCTATCATTCGATACAAGTAAAAAGTAGAGATGTACATATAGTATATTTATTTAAAAATACGAATGTTTAAATAAAAAATCAAAGGAAGGTTGTATATTTTGTAAAGAAATGAAAACATTTATAAACAAATTGTGCCATGATTTTTAAATCTAATGTTTATCGTTCGTTATGAAAATGATTCCAAAATTCCTTATTAACAGTCATAAAAGCCTTAGGTCTAGATTGATTGAATATAAATCACTATTAATTACCACAGATATGAGAAAGGAAAAGAAATATTGAATTTCGTGTCCCTTCATATTTTTTAAAAGAAATTGTTTTTCAGAGATGCTAAAATAGTTACCAAACGGGTGGGAAAGTGGTCAGATCAGGATATTTCAGCAGATTATTTACTTGATGATGGTACTTAGAGGGAAAAAAATATTTGAAATAACTTATAAGAGTATAATATTTTGTACGATTTTAGGTAAAGGAATAAATGCAAGTATTCCAAATCCATTACTTCCTTTGTTTGAAAGCAGCACTGAAATTTCAATATATAAAAACGAGGAAGAACAAATACAAGACATAACAGGTTCAATTAAAATGAAAGATGAGAAAATAATAGGCGATTCAATACTGTAATAAAATATGTGATTTTTTTTTTAACTTTTCATTCACACGAGAAGACATTTCTCACGTACAATTATCTTTTGTAGAATCGAATGTAAAACAGAAAATTCGGGGGAGTGTGAAAAATTTGTCGACGTTTATGCAAGACTTGAAACGATCCTGTTCACTGGAAAAGTTTACCAAGTTGTAATGACAAAGAAGGAAAAAATTCAAGTCCCTCCATTCGAAAGTAAATAATTACAAGAAACATAGCGTAAAAGTTCTTATCAGAATTGGGAAGATTGTTGGTGATTGTTTTTTCACAAATTTTCTATCTACAAATACCATTCTATTTTTTTTTTTTTTTTTTTTTTTTCAACCCAATTAATTCTTCCTTGGAAACTGTATTTCATTTTTTCAGCTCACACTTTTACCGTGTTAGTCGAAAAAGATGAATATTTGAAGAAGCTCACTCCGGAATTGCTTTTCAAGTTTGTTTTCTCTGTCACTGCCGAGGGCCAAACGGGTAGACTGTACGAAGAAGTGCTATTCAGATTAGCGCATCCCAAACTATTTCTTCGAGTGAGCTTGTACTAATTAGTCATTTACCAAATTAAAATTATTTAAATTTAAAAAAAAGAAAGAAAAAAAAGACCAATCTGTGTGTGGACAACCAATGAAATTCATCTAATGTACCAAAAACAAGACAAGCGTACTTTACATTGCTTTTAAATAAAATAAGATAAAAAGGGTTAGCGCCGTGTCAATGCCTAAACCGTTGCGGCCACCGACACCCCCCCCTCAATTAGCTCAGTTATACAATAAGTGTAAAGGGTAATGGAAGAGTATCGAGTTCTCCATCACCCTGAGTGAATATGTAAATATGAAAAAAAAAATTATTTAAAAGTGAATAGGTTTGGATTTAGGAAATAATGTGTTGGGGGACAGATAACACTGAGGCCTGACCCTGAGATAGGTGATTCTCGAGTCTGACGGTAATTTAATGTAAGTTATAGAAGTAAGAATAGCTGTAGACTGCAAGAAATAATAAGCTCAGCTCTACACTTGTGTATATAAGTATACGCATGTGCAGATTTGAGTTTATATAAATGCACTAGTTTTGTGGTCCGCTTGACCAATTAAAAATGGCAAAAAGGAGGGAAAATTCAAAAGGTGTGGTTGAGGTGAAAGGTTGGTGTCCGAGTGGATCGAGGTCACGTAGCTCAAGTGGTAGAGCAGCGGCGTATCAAGCCGAAGATCGTGGGTTCGAATCCCACTCGTGCCATTGACTTTTTTTATCTCAACTGAAAACCTTAATTATTTATATAAATGATTAATCTCTCCAGAATAAAATCCATTTGCACTGTCCTTTGTCATTGTTAAAGTGATTTGATAAACTGCTATCGACAGGTGACTAAAAGTGTTCCTGCCATATCCAAATATTCTTGTGGTATGCAGGTTCGTGTAACAGTTGATATTCTGACAGAATGAATATTGTAAATTATTTTATTTAATATAATTAATAACTGTCAACAAGAATAAATGTAATTTTTTTTTACTCTACCAATTTCAGAAAGCTTCTACAAAATTACACCTTATACCAAAATCCTACAAAACCAATGCATGAATATTCTATTTTGAGTGCATAGTAATTTTCTTCTTTTATATGCATTTAGCTCAAAGAAAATTATCCAGTGGTTCAACAGTTCCATACAGTAATCGTTGACTTCATCAACATGCCCGCAACGTTTAAAAACACTCGGCTTATTCTTGAAGAAATGATTAACAACAAAAACGTACTGTCATTCAAAAAACTCTCGTAAGTGTTTAAAAAATCGCAGAATAAGTAAGCAATTTTAAGTTACTGAATTTCTTAACAGCTATGCGAACAAAGCCCCTGTACACATCAGCTGTTCAGTGAGAGCGACAAAACCGGGGAAGTACATGCTGAAGGCGACTCTTGCCACAGAATTCGGACAGTCGTACGGATACCTTGAGTATAATGTAAAAGACAAAGGATGGTAATTGGTTTTTCAAGATGTAATTTGATAATAAAAACTTTTTTTTTCTAAAGTGCTAATTATTTTATTTAAGTGTTTAAGACGTGTAGGGAATGATATGTAAATGACATTCTCAGGACTATAGTCAAAAGTCTATTTATTCACGTGTTGAATAAATTTACGAATGAGTAGTGAAAAGAAGTCAATAGCTTTTCTTAGACCCGTCGCTCATTTCAGCTATGTAGGATAGGCCATACTCGTACGACACGTGCGTATGGTGTCTCAAGACGTATAGGAAAGACAATACAATGTAATCCAATGGGATCAATTTTGAATAATTTAGTTACGGGCATGAACACAATTAAAGAGACGTTACCGTAAGCTGTTAAATAATGGTATCTGGTCGGGAGAAGTGGGGAATACTTGAGTAATACAACAGGTCAACTATTCGTTATGGTACACGATCAAGTTAATAATTACGAAATGACATAGAATAGTGCGTACACATCTATTAATCTTTTTACAATTCGTATTGTATTTGTTTATAATAATAATTCTCACCTACAACATTTTTTAACCGGATTCCAGAGAGGATCGTTTATTAGGATGACAAGAAGGTAAAGTCGGTCGTTGAAGTTTACACCAACCTTTGCCCTTTACAGAGGTTTGTGAACCTCCCCTTTACTGTTGTCTGTCTTATCGTTTCACTTCTGCATACTTCGGAAAGTGCATCCAGTATTTTTTTTAATACTCCAACCTTGTGATTAAAAAGTGCCAATCGTTGAATTTTCCATTGAAATATGTTTGCTTGGGACAGGATGCGAAGAACTCCGATTCCTTAGAAGTGTAAGCAATGAAATTACAAAATTTACTACTCCTGAAATGCCCCGTTTTTTGTTTTATTTTTTTGCCAGTGTGAGTTTACAACACTCCCTTGAGAACCATTATATTTAAAATTTCAATTAAAACACAAGAAAAAAAGGTTGATAAAATGAGTTGAATTATTTAAAATTACATTTTTTTTCTATTTTGTAGGCCATTTGAATGAATCACTGAATATATTATAAGTAAAGATCAAATACATCAACACTTCCTAGTTTAAACAGCAATTATTTATAATATTCTATGCTTCTTCAATTTATCCTATCTAATATAATCAATTAAATGTGATTAAAACAGGTTTTATTCTATAAATATGTCATGCTGTTTGTCTACGATGTAGGTACCTTCTTTGTTCCTCAGTAATAAATATTCAAAAAGTCCACATTTGTTCTTTTTTTTCTTCTCCAGGAATCTAATTTATTCTATGTTTATTCTCAGAGCTGAATGAAACGAAATGAGGAGATAAAAAGCAAATATTGCGGGGTGATGGAAAACAGACAATGTGCTTCGATGGAAACGCCTCAGGACGATGTTCCACTACAGCCGATGGCATTTACTGTCACATTCAGTTCTCCCAAAACAGTGAACAACAAATTTTTAAAGAGGCACAGCAGAAACCTTTCCTTACCTGTAGTTAAAGTTTATGATGGTGATGTAAGTCAATAACAATATATATTTTTTAGTCATTTTTCACTTTAACATATCTTGTACGTATTTAGATCTTTAATAATCTCATTCATAAAAACCAATCTATAATGTAATATAAGAATATATGGGCAGGATCAGCCTTGCACTACTTGTCAAGGCACAAGGTGGTTTTCAGATTATCTGAATCATTTCCACCCGATTTAGGATAAGCCATATGAAGTCATCACTTGTTTGTGTGTCCAGCATAAGTTTACTCGGGTTCCAAACAAATAATTGCCTTCTATGAGTTCTAGATTTTATCTCTACCTGTTATTTTGAAAAACTTTCTTCTACAGCGTATAGTTAACAGTTTTTCCATCAAATTTTGTTTGACATTAAATATTTATTAGTAAGAATGTGAAAGGGCTGATGGAGGAATGCTGAGTATCCCCTTATTTGAGTAAACGATATGTATATGGGAACATACGCATTTAAGAATTGGTGAGAATGTAAATATACATTTGCACAATTTTGGGTGGGACCACAGTTAGGCCTTAGTAGTTATGGTGTCCTTGTACTTGCAGCAGTTCTAGGTTTGAATCTGGACAATGTCCATGGCTTTTTAATTGATAATGATATGAAAATTGTATTGTAAAGTCCCCTTGTCCGTACACCCATTGGCCTATTGTATAATTAAGCTGTCCTGTATGGCTGGAGTTACTTTACTCTATTTTATACATTTGATGGATTTGGTTGGGGTCTGAAATGTCCTAGGTGTCAATAGGCGTTGCTAATATCAGTGAGCAGGGTGGATAAAAACCAAAGTCAAACCCTAGACTTCTCACAAGCTACTTATTGTAGGTGATTTGGTAAGACATGAGAAGTCTCATGTAACAATGCACTCAAAGTAAAAAAAAAAAAAAAACACTTGTACTTATTTATTTTCCATAGAGAATAATGTGTGGTGTTTAGTGACCATTAGTCAGTGATTATTCAGAGATCGTGAGATAAATAAAGAATAATAGTAGTTTACTTGAAACGTATATGTAATGTCCTTTAAATAGCCCAAGACTGGGTGTGTTCTATTATCCACAATGGTCTACAGCGGAAGTTTAAATCCAAGACAAGGTGGTGGTCAACCGTGGAGATGTACGACATCTAGAGATGATAATTTTATTGCTCTTATCGCACTATCATGGCAGATGACTGGGACCATATGTGCAAAAGATGTAAAAAAAGCTTTGCTTCATGTTCCATTAGCACAATCTTTTCAAATACAGTCAGTGATGTTTTGATGTGGAATCAACAACCATGCCCAAACTGAACTGATATAATACAGAATGGATCTTTTGACTGCACTAAGGTAGATTGAGGAAGTACACCCCTTTATTTATTGGGGACATCTTCGTGCTAATGCTTGATCAAACTCATGAATATTTGATCTTGTTTAAATTGATTTACGTTAAAATAAGTATGCTGTAATTAATTTAAAGATAGAAATACATACAATTTAAAATAAACAACAAAATACGAGTGTCTGTTTTTTTGTATTTGAGTGACTAATTAATTGAATTATTATATATATTTGTATTTTGAACAATAAAGAAACAATTTAGATATCAACAATAAAGATAAAATGATAAGAGGTTGTTTTATGGCTGTTTAGTTATTATTAGAATAAAAAAATTCATCTCAGATTGAACTCTTCTGTTCTTATATTTATTTGGCTCGATAATTATATTTATTTGTAGTTTTATCATATCCTGATATGCATTATGCTTATTAGTGAATCAGTAAAGACAATAGACCAGTATGTTTTGAGATGACCAAACTACTGGTTTGGCCTACAATCTTCAACAAAAAAAATCTCAAAACTATATTTACTGCGGGATATTTTCTTAAGGTCAATTATATTATTGGTGTCATTGATGTTTATTGGTACAATACCTAATTACAGTAGGTACAAAATTGACATAATAATATTATGAGGGTTTTAATTGAAATTAATCTCTTTCGGAAAACTAAATGTAGAAATAAAATTTACACCAAGAACTTGTAGGCAGGTACTTGAATAAGACAAATATTTGATTAAGCTCAGTTGAGCAGTTGATTGTCCAAAATTGATATAACATAGCTTAGCAAGGTGGAGTACTTTGTTTTTATAGATTTTTGATCATTCCAACATGCTTTTACTATTTTAATTTTCTAGGATAATAAACTAGTTATATTTTCTAAGCTGTCTGTACAAATAAAACTGTCTGTAAGGATATTTTTTGATATAAATCATTTTTAATTAATCTAGCTAAATTCTAGTGCGTTTGTAAAAATAGCATTGGCAGCCAAACACTACCGACTGGTATTTTAAAAACAGTCTTACACAACATTCTTTCATCACGTTCTTTTTTTGTTTTTTAAACCATTATATAATATTGTTTGTATAAAAATGTTGTTTTCTTTAAGATAAAAAGTGAATTAAAATTTGATTTTATTTTTGTTTTTGAAGAACATAGCAGAAACAGTAACCAATGGAAAGTTGAAAAAACCAGGAAACCACTCAGAAGGCTACTTTTCAAGTGATCCAGAGGATGAACACGGAAAGACCAGCTCTAAAATAGAGACAAATTTAGATGCTTATGGTAAGATAACCAAAACGATAAAAGTGTGCTGTTATTTTAAACTAGCCGTTTTTTTTTTTTTTGTTAAGCTTCACCACCTGAAGTAGATTTGTCTATCGTCATGGGCGCAGAACAAGTTGAGGAAGAAAGTTCAGATTCAGGCAGTGAAACTGGAACTTACACCATTGACAAAGAAACTCCAGAGATTGTCACTGCTAGGCTCAGCATTGATGCTAATTATGGCATTGACACAAGTGTATGTTTTTTTGTGTTGTTAAATAATGTTTTAATATCAATTGATTTGTTAAATAATCTGAATTATATTTTTTTACACAGATTAACAATAAGCATGATTCTACTGCTTGGGTAAGTGAATGGGCATCGACAACTCTCAACCATAAAAATTCTTACAATGTTTCAAATGTAAATAATCCACCAACGAAAATTGTAAAAGCTTCAAACAGTGAGTATTTTTAAAACTTTCTCTCTCTCGTTTTATTAGAAAATTAATGGCCAGTTCTAAATTTAAAATAATAAAAATTTAAATTTCTTTGTTGAAATGTAGAACATAACATCATTTCTGGTCATTCTGATTTGTCTATTCTTCTTTTTCCTTTACTTGTATTCTCCATAAAACTGTGTTAAAGAATGTCAAAAATATAAACTGTTACTTATACATATGTATATTTTTAAAACTTTTCTAATATATAACTGGTACTTTGTTAAAGTTGTATATCTTGAAAATATCAAAATATTATCATCATCATCAAACAAATCTGTTTATAAATTAGATAAATATAAACAATGAGTATAAACAGGTTAAGTACTATTTTATTCATATTTTTATGGTGTATACACAGAAATAATTCTAGCATTTAATATTTCAATTTAAATTATAATTTGCCAAGTTTTATATGTAATGAAATTCTATTTAAAAAAAATAAATAAATAGATGTCTTAACTACTTAAATTATTTCTAATTCATTTATTCATTTTCAGTTGTTAGTAAGATTCCTTCTCCAATGGCAACTCGAGCAACCCTTGGTTCGAGAGGGAAAATAAACAATAATGTGTCTTCTTTGAAATCTAATGATCTTTCTTTACAAAAAGTAAGCAATAAAAATTAATATATCTACTGTTATACATTCTTTTTGTTTTAATTTTTTCATCATAGAAAGAGCAAGCGAACGAAGCCAGTTATGACACTGAATGTTACCTGAAAGCGACTGAAAAAATGATGACGGCCATCGAGGCAAGAATGTGCCTTTCATTGGACTCCGGAGGAGAGTCTGAAAATGATTCTAAGTGTACAAAAAAATCCCTCCAACGATCAGACAGTAGCGCCAGTGAATCTGGGTCCAAGTCGCAAGCCTCGACAGTAAGTAGGTACAACAGAGCATTTAGCCTTCGTCGAGGGAGGCTAGACGTAGAAAAGAAAGCTGAACCGCAGCCCAGAGTCAGTAAATTTGAAATTCCTCCCCAACGGTCGACCTCGTCAGTACGATCCAAGCCGACCACTCCAGCTCTTCCTCCACAATCATGCCTATCACGGACTGACAATGTCAGGCTTAGCATGAGAGCACCAAAACATTCTGTTCAGGTATATCTTTATAAGGTATTCACATAATAATGATAAGTTGTCGGTAAGACAGCATTCTTAAAGAACTAATTTATAATAGAGAATAATTTCAAAACATTACTGTTCATTTAATAATAATACTTAAGATACTGAAATTTGGTTGTTTCCAATCATTTTGGACTGCCTATCCTTTCTGTGTTGGGCTGTCAGACTCGTTTTGACATTTCATCATCTTCAATGAATCTCTGAAAATGGCAAAATGCCAAAACATGTCTAACAGACCAGATTTCAGGGTTTTTTTCACTTCACAGAGGTTTTTTCAATTTCAATGCAGCAATTTCACAACTTAAGACATCAGATAAAAATGGTTTCAAGTTTTATTTATTATCACACATTTTCATTATTATGGTTATCAATTTAAGAAAAATTTAAACTGAAGGCTATTAGTAAAAAAGTAATAAAATAGTTTTCTTTCATAATACAAACTCATCAATGTAGTAACATCATATATTATATTTTTTAGTCGCCAATTTTATCAGGTCCAAAAAATGATACCACTAGCACAAAAAAGAAATCATTAGGTGGAGGAAGAAGTAATTCAACTCTATCATCTAAAGAAGTTGAATTCCAAAACTGGAAAAGACGAAAAAACTATGATCCGATAAAGGCGGCGGCAGCGGGTAAAAAGAAAGAGGTCCCTTCCAAAAAATCGCCTTTTAACTCCATATCACAATCAGCGACTGCTGCTGGATCAGCACCTAAAAGGTTTGAACATTTTTAGTTTTTGTTGTTTTTTTGTAAATTACGGTGTAATCAATTTGTTTCAGCCCTGTTGCCTCAGTGCTGAGATCGGCGTCCTTTCACGGCACAAGACAGCTTTCTGCAGGCCCCTCTTCATCTGAAGATGAGGAGGACATCACACTGTCTGCTGAAGATGAAGATTGGCCTAAAGCACCCAAGGTTCGTTGTTTTGTTTGCTACTTTTTTTAATGCAACAATTGTTTATTGAAATAACAGTATTTTTTTGTTTTTGTTTTTAAAGACCTCGCTAGAAAACACTCCAAGGGATAGTCAAGTATCTCTGTTTAGTAATAGCCCCAATTCGCCCCGAGCTAGACACAAACTAGAGGTTTGTTGTTGCAATTTATTAAAGAAATTACTCTGCTGAAATTATGTTTATTTTTGTTTAATTTATTTGTAGGGTGTCGATAATCTAGTAGTTTCAGCAATATCCAATCTTTCTAGTAAATTAAAAGTGAATGCAAGTTCATTACTAAAAAAATTAAGGTAATTATTTTTATTTATGTAGTTTGATACAATAAATTTAACAGCTTGGCTATTATGGTAGTAGTGATTTTTTAAGTGAATAATGAAAATTCACAATGCTTTTTATTTTAATGATTTTTTTTTTAATTCTCAGGTATTTGTATGATGAAGAGAGTGATAAATACAAGGCTCTTTCAATTGAACTGGAACAGCTTGAACTCCATGATAATTCAGGTTCTCCTCAGAAATCGTCTTCAAGAGAATTGGCACTTACATTAAAAAATTTAAAACGAATCGATACGACTCTTAAAGGTAAGTTGTTTTATATTAGGTTTCAAAAATATTCCTCATGATAGTTAAAGCTTTTTTCCTCTGGTCCCTGGTAGAAGGACAAGCTCTGCCAGCAACCTGGCAAAATTCAAAGGCTTTACTTTTGTTTTTATATTTTTCCTTTTACAGACATCTTCAAGAACATAAATAAAACTCATTTTCATCTATCAGTCAAGTCTGAGCTAAAGCACCCAAGAACCATGTAATTTTTATTTTAAATGAAATACACTCCATGCTCCATAAAAAAAGTGGTGAACTTTGAAATTTTGATTTTTACTAATTATTATTAGATGATTTTGTCACAGATTGTGAAGCAAAATCGCTTATTTCCTAATGTGATTTAAAATTTCCATTTTAATGTTTACCATCAACAAGGGAATTTCATTCTCTAAAAATGCCCTTATTCGCTCTTGTGTTGATGGAGTGAAACAAAAACCATTACGAAAATAGCCGTAGTAGCCCATTGAACTTGTTGAGGATGAAAGAAGTCGGTGTTACATGGCACGAGGTTTAGGTTTGCCTGAAATTAGGCATATAGCAGTGCCGAGTGATTGGAATGTGTACTCAGATACCAGGATCGGGACGCCCAAGAGTCGCAGGACAAGCCTATGACTAATTCATCAGATTGCACACTGGGAAATCCCTTTTCCCCTGCTTCTGAAATGTCTCAAAGGTTTTGAAGTTCGAACCATAAGACGGGATGTGCCATTAGCGCTGAAACAGTAAGAGGAGACTTGCAGAAATTATTTTAAGCCCCAGAAAGCCAGCGATGGGATCAGTGCTTACTAGAAACTATTGGACAGCAACTGAATTATATGTTTTCCCCAGTGTTCTCTCTTTTCAGTAGACAGAGATCTTTGTATTTATTGAGCTGGAGAGCTAGCTAGAGACAGAGAGCTACAAACAATGCAACATTGACGAAAGAGTGTCATTTGGAAGTAGATCAGTTAACCAATTATGGTGTGGAGCAGAATTTCTTTTGGTTGCAAAAATAGAGTTACACATTTTTAATAGGCCATCACTTAATGTAACAAACATTCTTATTTATGCAAGATCGCATATCACCGCCAGTGTTATTCAGTTCCTGAATTTGAGCACTTTTGAAACGAGCTCAGACATTGGGTAAAACAAACAACTAACCCTATAACCTTAGCTGAGCTGAAAGTTATGTAAGATTTGGGTTGAAATTTCTCAAGATGTGGTTAAAGGCAGGCTTAATTGTGAGCATGCCGAGAAGATTAGAGTGTGTAATAAGAGCAAGAGGAGGTAGCACACCCTATTAAAGATGTTTTTATTTATTAAGTTTATTTTATAACATCATGTTCATACAAAAGCAATTTTTTATTTTATTAAATTTTTTGTTTTCGATGGGTATTTTTATTTGAACAGTAACAAAATCTTTTAATAGATACCAGAAATATAACAAATACAGGTGTTGATCTTATGGAAAAAGTACATAATGCGCTACTTTTTTTTGTAGAGCTGTATATTTCACAAAGTCAAAACATCACAAATGTGACCGAGAATTTTTAAGTCTGGGACGTTTCATATAAAAAATGATGCTATGTACTGTGGTTTTTTTAGCTAGTTTGTCCACTATCTCATTATGCGCTACTACTGAGTTGCCTTTTGTCGAACGTAATCTTATCTTTTTATTTGATTGTGACATTTTATAAATTTTTAACTTTTAGAATAATGCTCAGACAACTATTAATCAAGCATAATTTACGAGAAGCTATACTATATTCAATGCTTCTGCTTTCAATATAGCAACAACCCGAATAAAACAAGTTCTCATTTTAATTGGATTTACATGGTTGATGAAAGCTTTAAATTATTATTGAGAAATATATTATTTTTCATTGTGTATTTTTAAATAATATAGCTAATACATTTTTATTTTCTAGTTCTAAACGAAGTTCTTTTTGACAACGTAGACTACGAATGAATCGTGTATTTGTATGAAAGCAACCTTGGAAATTGTCAAATGTGATTACCAAATTTTATATATTAGTATTTACATTAAGTGCTTTTATAAGGCCCGTAATATTATTATTTTATATCCAATAATATCTAATTATATAATATATAAATATAATTATATATACAATGTACCTACATATAACATAACGTATAGAAATGTTTTATATACAATCATAAATACCATGTTTTTAATGTAATATTCATTGATAGTTTACAAAAGAAGTCATGAATATGTCATAGATATAATAAATATGTTATATTTTTTTACTGATTTGTGATATTTGGTTTGCCAAAATAGCTAATTATTAAATATTTAATAACTAATCACAAATCAACTAAAAAAACACAAAAGTTTGCTGCATATAAGATATAATATACGAACAAAAGTCCAGTTATATTGCAGTCACCAAGTATTGGAAATTTTTTATTTTTATTTTAGCATTTAAAGTATATTTATGTTTTCTTCTATTGACTACCGAATATTTATAATTAACTACTTATTGCATAAAACAATAGTTAAATATAAATCATTCTGTTAATGAGCAGTTTTTTAATTTTATTTTTATATAACTTCAAATTGTTGTACATCCCTGAAAAAAGTAATCCTTTTACTTTAAAGTTTTATTTAATATATTTGTTGCCTTATTTGACTCACATAGTAGCCTTTATTTTTTTGTAACTTTGATCTGCCTAAGGATAATTCTCAGAAAAAATTGAACAAGTTTTGTGAAGAATAATCAATAAAGGGATTTTATTGTTTGTATTATGCTTTTTCAGTTGCTTGAAAGAAAAGTAATAACATAATATACAATATTTCCTTTATTGTCTAACCACTTGGATGCTAATTAATTTTAAAGAAACTAACAATTAGTAAAACCTTTTGTCAAAATAAAAAGAAGTGTATGTTATGTTTCTAAACAGTTCAGTTCATTTCAGTATGTTTCTACATACTAGTAAACTATTGATGTGTAATCAACAGCCTTTAAGTCATAATACATAATTCATCAGAATCATAACATTAATGATCATTGACTTCTTACCAGTAATAATTTGTAATATGAAAATTTTTTTATCCTCATTACATACCTGAATCATGTTTAACGTTTTTCAAGCTATTTCCTTTTAGACGTATTGCATTCCTCGTAAATATTTTTGTTTCAGGACAGTAGAATTTGCTTAGAATTATATAATATGTAGTATTAATCAATATATTTAATTGAGATTTTCTCCTTAGGTCTGCTAGGTGATACACCTTTAGTTAGGTCATTTCCAATCACCCAATTATCCTCATCCTCACTGCTACCATTTTGCAATCTTCAGTTGTTTCTCCATGATACAGCTTGATCACCCTAGAAGACTGTGAAATACCAGAAATTTGGGGTACGAGTCTACCTAGGCATTTAACCCCTCGGGTCTTGGTCGCCCACCCTGCATAATATATATATACTAGAAATTTGACTGACCACACAAGGCTATTATACTAAATTGTATAATGGGTGTGGTCTGTGATACGATAAATCTGAACTCAGACAAACCTATTACTGAAGATGGCAAAATCCAACAATGCTACTTACAAATTGAAATCTACATTTTGTAAGACAACATCAACCCCCTAGAAATTAGCACATCAGATCCTTCAGAAATGTCAAATGTTAATGCTTGGGATTTTTTTAAATTTTTATTGTACTTAGATAATCCATTATGAACAATACAGTTTTATGATTAACATAATATCAATATAGGGGTTGCAGTGATCAGAAAATTGCAGAGGTTACTAAGAGTTGAACACTTGTGGTGTGAATGGGGTTGCTGTTGCCATGACAAATTCAGCAACCCCATCCAATGGTTAGTCACAACATGTAAGATAAACACCCACTCCTTTCTCACATAAATCTTGCCTCAGCTGTTGGCACAAGATACTTGGTGTTTTGGTATAAAGCTAATATAAATTTAAATATACCAAATGATGAACAATTACCAACTGGAGTTAGTGCAAGGACTATCTTCTTAAGTTCTTGGTTCAATGGTAATATAGTACAAAGAAATATAAATCATCAAGCACTGGACAATGGTATAAATCCATCTTTCCGAAAGTCGGATGCGTTCCTTGGTTCACCAAAGAAACGTTTGAAAGGCAAGCCATTGTTACAATAGGTAGACTACGGTCAAACCACTGCATCTGTAATGCATACTTACACATGATGGGAAAGAAAGACAGTGATCTGTGTACCGTATGCAACCTAATAGATAATGCGGAACATATAGTGTGGCATTGCAGAAAATATGATGAAGAAAGGAAGACTATGTTCGGTGAGATAGACCAGTGCGAAATAGCAAAACCTTATAATTATAAATTCTTAATATGTACAGAAGACTTCGATGTTTATCGGGCCCTGGTCGATTTTGTCAAACGAACTCGTTGCAGCATATAAATAATTTATAACGAACAAATTTAAAAAAATAATAATAATAAACATGGCTGAAGACAAAAGGTCAATGCCAAAAAAAAAAAAAAAAAATTGATGGAATATTTTATGTCTTAATGATGAACACTGATTTTTCATTAAGTTATGGCACAGAATTGATTTTTTATTTTATTTCGTGATCGTCTTCAAAGGCAAGAATCTGATAAAGCAGTTGTGATATTATTTTCTACCGCTTCATCAGGTCATTTATCTGTTCCTGGTGAATCATGCACAGTTGATGAAACACTTGTCCACTTAGAGAAAATTGATGATTCATAGTTGAATGTGTAAGCTTATTTAAATTCCTACATGGTCTTGTAAACTTAATCTCTTTGCCTATTATCGGTCTATCTTGTTAAATAATTATTTATTCACCCTTCCATTAGCATTATTTAAATACATTTACAATTGTGATTTTTGAAAAATAGGTCAGTCCTACGAAATTGAGATTTGAGTAGTTAAGTAAACATGTTTAAGAAATCTGCTTGAGACACACTTCACCGCAACTGTGACACCCTGTGACAAGGGTAAATAATTTTTTAAAATAAATTTCTTCTGCTGACTAAAATTTTAACGCCAGTATTAATAAAAAATGTTAAATACCCCAGAGACGTCACAAATAATGATAAAAGGCCTCTATGTACTTCATTTTAAATAATATATGTCGTGAGATTTTTTTTTCTTAGAAAAACTTTTTGGGAAGCATAACATATTTTAAAAGATTTATTTATCAGAAAAATGAGATTTAATTGTATGACTATCATAATGTAGCTTCGTTGTTATTCAAAGTTTTGATAAATCTTCACATACATCTATATATTTATTTGGTTATTTAAAAGTCGTGAGACTATTTTTTGAATAGCTAATTATTAATCATAACTAATTAATAATCAATTGTGTAAAGATTATTATATTAACTGTATTGAACAATTAGAATGAGGATATGTAAAAGTTGAAGCAACATATTTCATGTTTTCGTTGGTTGCATGAGAATCTCGAAAGAAAAGCTCAAGAAATACAAAATGGTAAAACCAGAGGGTAGCTTGCAAAGGAAAGAAAGCCCCAACCCCTCCGGGCTTTGCAAATATCCAGGGCTATCAAAAGGGTGGGTGGTCACTGATCAGTCAGTAGTTGAAACGAGTACGGAGCTATCAGCACTGAGTAGTTGAGTGGACTTGACACTGGTCACTAGTCAATTATAGTTTAGAGTTAGTCACTGGTTCAGTGCCCACCCAGCGATGAGCTAGAAGTTGGATTTTGAATGCGACACTTGTTGGCTGCAAAAATGGGAATGAGTAGGCTAGACCTTTGTTAGATTTTTATGTAGTGAGTGAGTTTTGATGGGGATGCTTGGCTTTGGCTTAGATAACAATGAAAATAATGATTCAACTTAATTTAAAAATCATATATTTTTAATTAAAAATTTGTTGTTTAAATTAGAAAATGTGCGCATTTATACATCTAAGTGTGCTCACTCTAACATTATTCAAAGGTAACTAAATGCTATATCAGATGTAATCATGGAGAATTGAAATTCAGTTTTAATATTTATTGTGGAATTGATGCAGGAATTAATTTATGACAATTCTATCAAAAACCAATCAAATTGATTTTAATTGTGTGTCTATATATACTAGTGAACATAATGCATATACTAGTTACATAAGTAGTTTCAGTCCAGGGGATTCATGGAACACTTTTAACGAACAACCCATTTGGAATGATGAATGATGGATGGATGAAGGGGGCCAGAACACTTTAAAATACTTTTTCAATTTTTAAATCATTCATTTATTCAAAATTCTCCAAAATTTCAATGGAAATGTGAAAATTCAACTGAGGACCACAGCCTCGGCAAATCAGAGAATCAGACGCCGTAACAACTCTGCTAGAGCGGTCCATGTGGGTATAACGTTAAAATTATCTACAGATATTTAACATTAAATTATAACTTTTAATTACTAATATTTAAACAATAGATCTAAGAAAGAGAACGCAAGGGAAAACAATTATTTGTCTGAATCTTAATTTTTTAATTTTCACACAAAATTCATTTCTGTTTTTAGTTTATTTTTTTATAACAAAGTTGTTTTTAAAACAGAAAAAAATCACAGTGAGAAATAATGAAGAGAGTAGCAATATTCATCAACCTCCTTTGTACCTAACTCTTCTTTCCCGATGAAGCAAAAATAAATGGCTGAAACAAAGAAATTTATTATTTTTTTATGATGGTATTTCAACTAAAAGGTTATATGATCCCTCAGGTTGCAGGTGTTTTTGAAAGCTCATTTTTAAGTGTGTCAGGTTCGAATGCAGGGCCGCTGGATTCGAACCTGGGACCTTTAGAGCACCTAAATTTCAAAAATCTGTTTAAAAGGGTGATTATACCCATAAGGCACAGTGCAATACACAATGAGTATTTATAGAAATAATAAAGATGGGGTGGGTATGTCGATTCACTTTTTGTAAAGGATCATCATTTACAAAAAGTAAAAAGAAAAATTGAGTATTAAATTTTTTTTTACTTAACTGATTTAATTTAAAAATATATAATATACAGCGTATATGAGTATATCCATTTATATCTTATGGGTTGTTAACTACAATAAATTAATTAAAATTATGTACAGTGAACCTTCCCCTAACAGACACCTTGAACTTCTTCAGTATGACTTCGGATTTCGACACGATAATACTAAATATGCCTCTCCACATGCATTTGACAATAAAAAAAAAAAATTAATATGATTCAAGTGAGTGAATGTTAATATAAAATTAAGTGAGCGAGACTTGGCTGCAAAGTTTTTAATCGAAAAAATCCATTCCAAACCCACAGGCTGAGTGACGACTTAATAATGAAAATGCAGTCGACCATTGAAAATAAAATTTTTAATACAAAAAATTAAATAAAATGGAAAAAATGGAATAAAATAAAATATATTAATACAAAACTTAATTGAAAATTAGATTTAAAAAAGTTAATTTTGTCATATCTAATTTTTGTGTTCATACATTTGAAATTACATTTTATTATACTAGCTCATGTTTATAATAAGTCTCCTTTTGAAAGTAAAAATGTATTTAATTTAAGATTTTTTTCACTCATATGGTAAAAATAGCTACCTCTATATAGCAGACAATATTTCATTAATCAAGATTTTAGAAAAACATTTTCTTTATCATGCCAATGTTTTGATCTTTAATGAGATCATCTTCAGGGCCTGGCATTATAAACATTGTTTAAATTTTATAAATACATGAGGGATGTGAAAAAAAATGAATTTATACAATGCTAGAAAATTTTAGATAAAAACAAATGAATTTATATACTGATAGAAAATTTTAGATTTAAAAAAGGATGAATTTATACAATTTATAGCAGCTATTGCTAGCATTATATAAATTCATTTTTTTTAATCTAAATTTTTTTATCATTATATAAATTTTTTTTTAATCTAAAATTTTCTAGCATTGTATAATTTTTTTTAACCAAAATTTTTTTCATAGCATTGTATAAATTCATTTTTTACATCCCACATGTATTTAAAATTTAAACAATGTTTATAAATCCCAGGCCCTGAAGATGATCTCAATAAAGAACGTAACGTTGGCACGATAAAGAAAAACGTTTTTCTAAAACCTACGTCACACCAGATCGCATCTCACGATCTCCGAATAATCATTGACTAATGGTCACTAAACACCACACCTGATGACAAGTAAATTTCTTATCGATACTAAAAGTACTCCAGGCAAACTATTGTGTGGTAACAAAGTATGGAGTTGGAGGGAAAAGGCTAGGACAAACTGTAAATATTTTAAAAATATGTTCTTGTTTTGAGTCCCAAGTTTAAGAGATGTAAATTTGAATTTTGGCAGGGAGCCGGACGAGGCAAAGGCAGGCGAGCGAGGAATGGTGGAGAGGAGAGGTGGATTTGGATATGGTCAAGAAAGAAAAAGAGAATTGGCAGTTGACTTGTGAGAGGATGGATATAGTTTTCTGCCGTGGAGGTGAAATTACTCAGAGGATCAGCAGAGGCTGAGAACCTCCAAGGAATTCCAGGGAGTTTTTAAAACAAAACTTTGTTGACCAGCAAACAAGTTCTGACACCAAGAAAAATAAGCAGTTGTTTTTATTGTTGCATGTATGATTTTATAGGAGCACACCACTAAGGATCTCACTTTCATGCCAGTCTCAGGACTTACTGGCCTTGGCCTAAAAGAACAAATCAATGAAAAACTGTGCCCCTGGTATAGAGGAGTGCCATTTATAACATTCATCGACAACCTTCCATCTCTTAACAGAAAAATGGACGGACCTTTTCTCATGCCTGTCGTTGAAAAATACAAGGATATGGGAACAGTAGTCATGGGAAAGGTTGAAAGCAGCGAAATGAGAAAAAGGACAGTCCCTCATTTTAATGCCTAATAGGACCCCAGTAGTAGTAGATCAGTTGTTTTCAGATGATGAAGAAGTCACGTCTGTAGGTCCTGGTGAAAATATAAAAGTCAAGCTGAAAGGCATTGAAGAGGAGGATGTCTCTCCTGGGTTTGTTCTCTGTGATCCCAACGCACCTGCCAAGACCGGCAAAGTTTTTGATGCTCAGGTTGTCATTCTCGAGCACAAATCTATTATATGTGCGGGCTTATTCAGCCGTTATGCACATCCATTGTGTCGCTGAAGAGGTCACTGTCAAAGCGTTGATTTGCCTTATAGACAAGAAGACTGGAGAAAAAACTAAAACTAGGCCAAGGTTTGTCAAACAAGACCAAGTCGCCATCATGAGGATAGAATGCGCCGGAGTGATCTGTCTAGAGCAATTCAAGTTGTTCCCACAAATGGGAAGGTTCACTCTCAGGGATGAGGGTAAAACCATTGCAATTGGTAAAGTGCGCAAAATCATAGAATGAAGATGTGAGCAGTGCCTAACCAGGCGCCTCCGTTTAGTTCTTCGCGAGGATCAGTCACTAAGATGAGCGACTTGCGGGGGATGGGAAGTCAAAAACTGGGGACAAATGGAATTGATGCAAAAAGCAACAATTAAAACACAAGGGAGAGAGATTAAGCAACGTCATCTGCAGGCTCCCAATATTATCATCAAATCTATTAAACTCACTCTATTGTTATCTCTCTCTCTCCCCCAACATCTTACTTTCACTCCCCTGTTATTGCGCTTTTAAGTAATGATTCGAAGATAAAATAAAAATAAAACGATATATAAAGATGCGTATCACTTATCAATAGAATATTAATTGAAGATTTGGGGGCAAATTTCTTTTTACGTTGATGATTTCTCCGAGTTTTTAATAAAAGGAGCTCTTAGACAGCATATTTTTAAAAAAATTCTAACTTCCTAATTATTATTTAGAATCCCTTGTCTTTTTATTTATGGATTTGAAATCAAATTATGTTATTGCGTTCACAAAATAATTTATTTTTCAACTTATATTTTTTTGTCATAATTTTTTAAAATGTAAATATTATAAAAAAAAAATATTTAAAAAAAAAAAGGAAAGATAGACCATAAGTTTATCTCTTAGTAATATAATTATAAAAATTACATCTAGCCTAATTAATATTCATTAATTATTATATACAACTGGTATTTCAACATTTTTATTTTTTATTTTATGATCAAATGGAAAAAATGATAGTCTTTATTGGAGGTAAATAGGGTATCAATCTAAAGAATGTAATTAATTTTTTACTATTATGATAAATTTGTAGGAATGGCTTTACACTGTAAGGTCAGATAGGAAACAAGATTATCAAAATGGGTGTGGTTTTTATTAAAAATCAAATAACTTTTTGTGTATTTGTTTATTTTTTGTCACATAACTGCCTTAGGTTTTTGAAATCGAGCTAATAAATGAAATAAATTCTCTATATGATCCATATATTTTTGCTCCTGTTTGTATTAAAAAAAAAAAATTATGAGGAGGTGTTGATTTTTTGTACATGAGTTTGAGGTTTAAGGGTTATGTATTGTTTAATTGCATACGTTTGAAAATAAAAGATTCTTTTTCATTTTATTTTCGTAATTCCGAAGGAATGAAATATTTTTTTTGAACTTCTTTATTTGGAAATAAATGAGATTTTATAGGAGCATAATTGTCTTTTTCCTAATCAGGCCTGCCTAGTTTATTTCTTTTTTTTCTTAGGGGATTTTGAGTCATTTTGTGAACAAAACCTAATTTATTTTCTTGAGTGTCATTTCAGTTTTAATTACATAAGTGGTTAAATTGCCAATATACTGCTGGACTACATTGATGTTATCCCAAATATAATTAATAATACTACTGATTTGAAATCACTATAATATTTTTATTAAATTAATTTTTAAAAAATTGTAATATTTGCCAAAATAATTTTTTCTTGAGTGTCATTTCAGTGTTAATTACGTAAGTGGTTAAATTGCCAATATACTGCTGGACTACATTGATGTTATCCCAAACATAATTAATAATACCATTGATTTGAAATCATTATATTTTTTTAAATTGTAATATTTGGCAAAATAATTTTGTTAAAAATAATTTGATACAATGTTGAAAACACAAGTATAAAGCTGTCCTTTCGTCTATATCAAATCTATCCATTCAAATAATTAAAACTCATCCTATCTATAGGTTCGATGATTGAACCATAAGACTGAAAAGACAATATTCATGTTTTAAAAAAAATTAGCAATCAAATCACAAATTATTAACAAACTTCTCACCTTACTGTGAAGGACATGCTATACCACTGCCACGTGAAAATCCCATTTGTGGTGATGAATCGTCTTCATCGTACACCTCTCCAGAACCAGAAGCCCGCCTTGAAGACTTATGGTCCTCGATATAATCTACAAGACAAACATCTTCATAATCTTTAGGAACTGCTTCAGGTGATGCCGGTCTTGGAAGTATAGAGGAGATTTTCTGTAACAGTAATTTTTTTTATCATACCCTTTATCTTCAGAAAGAAAGATTAAATATTATATTTTTATTACTGCATAATCTTCTTCTGTTCCAAAATGGCTCGGAGGGAAATTAATTTTAAACACAATATACAAGTTCCCATTTTCGTACGGAACTCCGTGTATCGGCATTCCTTCTCCGACAATACCTTTTATGCTTTCTATTAAAAAAAATAAGCATGTTATGATATCTGGACTTCATTTATAATAAGTATTGTTTACCTGGGTTAACAATTTCGCCAGGTTTACTTGTTAAAACAAGATCCCGGCCATCTAAGTGTTTAATACAAAATGTGAAACCGCAGAGTGCTTCAGTGATGCCGATGTCATGATTAATAAATAAATCATTATGAATCCTTTTCATACTTTTATGGGGCTGCTCTTGAAGAATAATTATGACGTCTCCGGCTATGTTTCCAGGCTGTTTTTAAATGTATAATTTATAACTTTAAAATGAGCACCAACAAATGTTTTAACAATTTTTGATACATACTGTCTGGTCGCCTTGGCCTTCAAATGTTATCTTGTCACCGTTCTTCATTCCTTTCTCGACATGTACTTCGATGATTTTTGCCGTGTTGACAAGTCGCTTTCCATTGCAGGCTGTGCATTTGTCCTTATCGCTAATGACAGTTCCTAAAATAGATTCAAACACTTTATTACATATATATTTATAAAAAATAGTGCCAAAAAAGGGATCAATGGATCGCTGCAAGAAAGCGTGAAGCAAAGATCTAATCCTCATGGGCAAATACACCTAGCGAACTAGGAGTTTTGCTCTCTGGGAATCCGGCACACATGATGTCTATTCATTTGTTCAATTCAAATTAGTATATTTCCTCTCATAAAAAAGGTGATAACGATATTTGGGTGAGGCAAGTTTATTAATTCATTCAAGATCAATTTATAAATATTAATGCTTTTTTAATCTTCTTCTCTTTTGAGCTTACTTTACTCGAGACAATCCCAACCCATCACATTAAATTTATTTGCTTTTTTTTAAATTATAAAATATCATCAAGATCGTTATTAATATTGTCTAAATTGTCACGGATTGGAAACATAGGAGGAACTGTGAGAACTCACTTTCACCATCACAATTACTACACATTGTCCTGATCTCTTTGGCCATTCTACTGCCAGCCAATGGATGATAAGAGACCTTAAATCCTTTTCCTTGGCAACTGCTGCAAGGTTTTATAGATCCCGCCTTTGTGGTCCCTTTCCTAAGAAAACAATGAGTAATAAAATCCTCATTATTATATAAAAAACAAGAAATATTTGTATTAGCCATACCCATCACAAGAGCCGCATGTTTTGCTACGTTTCACTTGCAATTTTGCAACTCTTCCATTGTATAAATCTTCCAAAGTTACTCTGAAACAAAATTTTATTGAATAAAATCGAATAAGTCTAATCACATTAATGACTAAAACTTTATTATTACTGCTGTTATATATAAGGACTAAATGTTCTTTGCCACCAACCTTAGAGGGTGAACAGTATCTTCACATTTCCTTGGGCCTCGTTTTTGTGCAAAGAGTCCACTGATGAAAGTTGAAAACAGAGAGTCCTGGTTCATAAAGCCTTCATGTGTTCCATTCTGCAATGCTTCAAGACCAAACCGGTCGTAGGTTTCTCGTTTTTTTTCATCTGAAAGGATCTCATATGCAAAAGATATCTCCTTGAATTTATCGCCAGCTTCAGGGTTCTTGTCTGGGTGATACTCTTTGGCTAATCTTCTATATGCCTAAAATGATATTTGATGTAAGAAAATATGGAAAAGAAGAAAGGAAGTCATTGTATCAATACTTAATTGTTTTGGCTGTCAAATAAGTAAAAGTTTATACTCAAAGTAAAATCAACATTGAGTGAGAATTACAGAAGAAAGCATTTAGGAGTTACCCTACCCTTATCTTAATAGATGAATATTCAACACTGTCACATCTTGGCCTAAATAAACTTAAACCGTTGGTCTAAATTTCCTCTGTTCAACTGTCCTCGCAGTTATTAACTCAACTATCTCAATAGTTATAGATACTTTGACGATCTTTGGTCAGACAGCCCTGGTTATTTTAACTGGGAAGGATTGCAATTTTTCCTTGCATGAAGAAGTTTAAATTCTAGGAAATTGTCCCCCAATACTATACACAAAATAAGACCCCCATTGGATAGGAGACACATTTCTCTCAAAGTTTTCGATAGATAGTCAGAGTCGTATTTTTATTGCCTCCTTGTAAAGTATTTAAGATAAGATAGATCAAGGTGTAGACCAGTAGTCTTAATATTCTAAGAATGGTTGCATATTCCTCAACAGATGGACAGGAACGCTCACAATCCATCCATTTATTTTTTTTTTTTCTTTATACTTGCTGAAGGTTATAAGTAGGGTGAGGCAAGACAATGAACCCACACCACCTAAACAGTGTGGATAGGCAGACCAAAATGATTAGAATAACCAAACTGGTGCATCACTCCACATCCAGCATGAGTAAATTTCACAATATTTCAACTGTTAGTATCTTAATGGACTTATATGTTGGACAAAAGGCTAAGTGACATTTTTACGACATAACAAAGCCATTTTTTAATAGTATTATTTAAAATAATGTTATGGATTTAATATGCAACACAAAAAATATTTTGCTTCTATGCATCTGATGAAGAAATCTTATAAAGTTCTATTTTCCCACCAGCCTTGAATAATAATGGAATTTCAACAAAATAGCAATCATCAAACTGCTTACCATCTTCATTGGAAAGCTGAAACTGATGACCAGAATACTCACATAATGTATACCATTATGTTCTGTTCGCTAGTTTCGACCTATTCTGATTATTTTGATTCTCAACAACCGTATAACCATTTTAAGCCAATGCCGTTGTTGCTTCAACTTAAGGGTCTGACAGTGATCTGCCGAAAGTGGCAAAAAAACAGTACAATAGAGGATCAGGATTTAAAAAAAAGTGTCCATAGGGCACAAAATTGCCTTCTTGCACTGTTTTACCTGAGGTCCGTCATAATTCAATGTACAGCGACTATTAAAGACCGTGATAATCGGACAAAATTGTTAACGTAGCTGTAGCATCTTAAGCATTAGGTATAAACAGACACATGAAGAATGCATACTATGCAAAATTACATTCCGTGGCTTGTGACGGTCCGGGTCCAACAGAACTCACCATTTAAGCCCTGATACTCAGACCAAAGTTGTAACCGAGTTATGATCCAACCAAAATGGCATAACATCTGTGAAATATGAGTCATCAATAAATAATGAAGCGATTGGCACAAGAGAACAGATGCAACACAGCTTCCTGAGTTACCATAAAGTAATTCCTGTATACTGGTTTAATGTTAACTACTTTTGTCAAGTTAGTTGACTAGCAAAGTCAGGATTCAAGCCCAGAATTGCTAGCTTGGTAAATACGGATGGCCTAACCATTCCCCGTGGTAAGCACCACCCTTGTCAACTCACATGCTGACAAAACCACACACTGCCGTTTGTTCCTCAGTCTGCTACAACATACAAGTGGAATACGTCTGAAGAGGAATCAGCAGTAATCTCAAAAGTCAAAATGGTCCACATTGTGAAAAAGAATTAAGTCGACATCTTACAAGAGTTTGTGTTTAAGTTCTACTGACTATGACAGAAGAACTCTTGTAATTCATTAAATAATATTGTTACAATTTAAAATGTAAACTCTTTAATACTAAAAAAACAACGAACTTACATAATTAAAAATGGAAAGATAGAATGTATATTCAAACATTTTGGAAGATTAAAACACGAAAAAACGTCACAAGAACATATTACCAAATTATATAATTGGTAATAAGAAACGTATACAAATCAATTATTTGACTTCACATAGTCTGCTATGTAATGCCCGAGTTTAAAATACTTTACTAATTATCACCAGAGGTTTTATTAAGTGTAATAAAAATAAAACAAAAACTACTTAATAAAACGCTGCTTTGCCCTGTGTGAAACGAAAGAGATATAAATGAATCACCAACCTTTTTAATGTCATTGTTGGAAGCGCTGGGAGAAACGCCTAGGATCTCGTAGAGTGTTGTATCTGCCATTTTCAATTTTCAAATAAATTCCGTATCCTAGGAGGAGAAAATCAATCCGACCGATTTCCAAGGATGAAAGGTAAAGGAAGAGACGTTCAAAAGTGCCCAGCACTCTAGTCAGCCCTCAGTTGAAAAGGAGGTCTAACCTAAAGCTAGATGTCGCATTAGTGTTTCAATAGCTCCGTCCCAACTAGAGGCGACAATTTAAAAGAATCCTTGAATTTTTTTATCTATCTGTTTGGCTCTTCTTTTAAAAAATATATAGAGATTTTAGACAAACATTTACGTGTTTCTTTTGGTTTAATACGTCGTGAGGTTTAATACGTAAATCCAGGATCGTAGGAATTTTGTTTTTAAATCTGTTTCACTAGTCAATATCAAGAAGGCACAACTGTTAAAATATATCTCTTTGGATACATTGAGAATTTATCAGCACGCTATGATGATAATAAATCATGTGATACATTTTGATATACTTCAATTTCCTTTCCTCTATCAAAAACCGCCTAAAAAAGTAAAATAGTACTGTACCTGTACCATTGATGAGAAATAGTTTATCAAACTTTTATCCTTTATATTTCAATTTCCTTTCCCTATTAAAAACCGCTTAAATAGTAAAATGGTACTATACCTGTACCATTGATGAGAAATAGTCTATCAAAATTTTATCGTGTACATTCTGATATCCTTCAATTTCTTTTCCTCCTATCAAAAACTGGCTAAAAATAAATGGTACTGGTAAAATGGTACTGTAGCTGTACCATTGTTGAAAAATAGTTTAATCAAAAGTATTTTCATGTAATTCATTTCAATGTTCTTTAATTTCCTTTCCTAAAATCAAACACTGACTAAAAAATAAAGGGTATTGGTAAAATGGTACTGCAACTGTTGTTGAAAAATAATCTATCAAAAGTTTAAGGGTCGACCTGCTAACTAAAAGATTCTCTGCAAGCTCTTGGACATTTTTTCTGGGATTTTCTTCGGCCAAAGTTCGCAGAACATCATCCTCTAGAGAAGAAATCCTAATTGATTTAAGGTGATCAACGTCGGTCGAGTTGAAAACTGAAAAATTCTCTCCAAGTTCTCAAACAGTTATTCTGGGATTTTCTTTGACCATAGCCCGCAGAACATCGTCATCTAGGGAAGAAATCCTTCCACGACCTATGCCTTCAAGGCTAGTCTCTCTGCAAATTTTTACGCCATCTCATCAATTTGTAAAACGAAATTACACCAAAATCACGCCTTGACATCTTAGTGAAGACTGAGTTATTCCCAAGTTACGAAATACTACTGATGTAAAATAAATATTTTTATTTGGAAGAAGAGTAAAAAGTATTGACATTCGATTAAAAGAATAATCTATCAAACGTAAAAAGTTTATTGTTTAGAGGGGTAATTGAAAGAAAATATGAAAACTTGCATTATTTTTCGAACAAATCAATAGTGGTATAAATTAATGGTGAATTTGCCGCGCCCCCTCCCGAAATTGAAAAATTTAATCAAAGCCTTTTTATTGTTGGTACGTTACTGTTATTCAATACATTTCTATTAGATTTGAGTAAGTTTTTCTTTAAGTTGAAAATGTGTGGGGTGTGCATAGTTTTAAGACAAGTATGATTTCAATTTTTTAACCTATCAGATCGTCGGGAAGTTTCGCCGGCTTCGAACAGGGCGGAGGCGGCACTTGCTTCACCTGAAATGTTTATTTATCGGCGTTTTAAGAACTGTTTTGAAGGTTTGAAGAGGTAATACGTTTTATTTTATCCGCCGTCTAGTTTCTGGAAGAACAGGGGGAAGAGGAATAACAGAAGAAAATAAGCAAGCAAATTTATTCGGTATCCCGTAAAAATGAGCGTCGAAGATGATGTGATGCGAATTCAAAAGAAGCTAACCAAAATGACTTCGGGTGATGGTGTAAGTTAAAAATAACACTTATTTTATGTTCTATGATCGTTTCGTCTTACATTAAACGTTTTTTCTTTTTTTTTCTCAATGCAAACTTATTCTCTTGACGATAAGTCTTGATACATAACTTGAACTACAGTTCTTCAATTGTATGGGCTTTATTTACAAATAATGCTTGTGACAACACAAATAAGCACGCTAGTTTTCAAAACAAACGCGAAGTTTCAAGCATGCTTAGAATGTAAAATTATAAACATAAAATACACATTTTCTCTATACATTGTACTCCCCTTTCATTTTTAACGGCTATTTGGCCTTATATTTAATTAATTTCGGATTTCAGCATTTGTTGTTTCTTTTATTTCACGTTTGTTTAAATTATGCCGAGACTATAAAACATATTTTATCTTTAGATTGTTACTAAATGTACATAATATTCCATAATTTTATTAAAATATGATTTACACAATGATTTAAAATAAAGAAATGCTTTCGCTTATAACGGTTTTTTAAATTGAGAGTTCTGTGGGGAGATGAATCTATAGTTTGCTTGATTGTGATAAGTTTTTATCATCGTATTTAAAATGACCTTTTTGAACATGTTTTGCCTTCTCATCATCTTCATTGGTGCACCAGGCAGATCAAATGATAGAAATCACCAAATTACAAATGTATTTATTCGTTAATTTTATTCGCAACATTTACACTGTCAGTTAGTCTTGTTCGCTCAAGTTTATCGTAGAACTTTTTTCGGAACTTACTTTCACTTAATTTTATCATTTGAGGATTTTACAATTAAAATTAATGGTAAAAATTAACATAAAAGTAATTTGGTTGGTTTTTTGATCATTTTGTCCGTCTGCCCTTACCGTGTCGATCTGTCGGTTGGTCGTGGTTGTAAGCAGGGTGATGCAAGACAAATGAATAAAGATTGTGAAGCGCAGAAATGACGGACCAAAACTGTGAGGAAAGCAGATCTGGGTGGTCAGAATCAGCTACAAATTTATTTATTTTGTGAGGATAGTTACATAAGCTTATACATAATATTTATACTTTTAATTCAGTTGACTTATTTTATTTTTTTAATGGCTTTGTAGAAGTAGATGTAGATATGAGCATAGCATATTAGCCAAGAAAGAGCGTGTGTATTTGACGATGAATTGTATTAATGGGGGAAGGGTATCGTGAAAAAAATGGCCAGGCGATATATAGCCAAACTACAACTAAAATGACCACAGGGTTTATGAGTTGAGAATCCATCACTAACCTTTCAGCGGTCCCAAAATTGACTTAATAATTATAATATAATAATATGACGCATGACGCTTGTAGTGGTGGCCTGTTCACTGATGTTTCTTGCAGAAATTGTTACTGAACTTATTTTCAATTAAGTTTATTATTTAATAACAAAATTCAAATAATGTTCAATAATTAATATAGAAATGTAGTTAGGGTTGTTTTCTGATCATTTTGGTCATGCTTGCTTTGTTGAACTGGCGGTTAGTCGAGAATATAAACGGAGTAAGGCAAGACAAATGAGCTAAGATGTTAAATGCAAAAATGACAGACAAAAAACTGCAAGGAAGGCAGATCAGGATTATCAGAAATAACCAAACTACAAAATTTATTTATTTGTTAAACTTATGATCATTTGTACTTTTGGTTAAACTGACTTAATAGTAATATAACAATATGATACTTATAGTGTGCTATTTGCCATGGTCCTTGTCGATGATCGCCCCTAACCATCCCTAAACTTGTTACTGAACTTACTTTCAGAGTGGTTTTCTGATCATTTTGGTCTACCTACCCTCACCATGTTTATCTGGTGGTTTGTCGAGGATGTAAGCAGGGTAAGGCAAGATAAACCCACCAGCAAATATGGCAAAATGTTAAAATTCTTCTGACAGATGAAAACAATGAGGAAGACAATTCAGGATGATCAAAAAACTACCAATCTGAAGGTTTATCATTGTTCACACCTCAAGAGAAAATCAAGTTAATAAGAATCTGACAGAATAAAAAAATATGAATGGATAACTGTACGTAACAAATTAGAAGAAAAAATGCTGTCGTCTTCAATAAATAAAAATATCTAGATACAACGCATGAGAAACTTGCTAACCTAGTTTCAGATCATTGTGTCATTTTCTTTTAAAGTGTCTTTTATTTTGTGATGGCTGACAATTATTTGGATTGTGAATGATAGTATTCGTGCGATTGTATAGTTTGTCTTAAGGAGAAAATTGACCCCGGATGCTTAATTCATCATACAGGAGGGCTTATTGTCCAACTCCTTGTATTGTAGATGAAGGGTCAGACCATTTTATAATATTTTTTCAAATTGTTCTCAAATAAAAGTCTATTGTTTGGATTTAGACCCACAATCTTGGCAAATACCAGATTCTGATGACTTAACAACTCGTCCACCTTAAGTCTTTATTTCCAGTTCGTTGTAAAGAGTTGAATTCCTAACAAACCACTTGACACCTGCTGTCAGTCATAAAAATTTGTTTTGATTTATTTGTGTAAAGATATTTGTTGTTGAGCCTCATATTCTACAGCTGAATATGTTGAATGCTAGATGAGTTTTTCTGTCCAAAGATAAACCTAGGTAAAAAGCAGTGTCTTGGTAAAGTACTTGGCTATGACTTAATCTGTTAGATATCTTAAAGTCACACAAGTTTAGATTTCTCAGCATTTATGTTGGCCTGATGATCCTGTAGTTTGGTTGTTTCCAATCATTTTGGTCTATCTTCTCTATTTTGGCCTGTCAGATGTGTTTTATTCATTTACTATCTTGGGTGATCAGTCTGTCTGTTTATCCTCAAAAGCATTAAATATTTTGTAAGTAGTAAGTAATTTGGGAAAGAATTAACAGCATAAATCTTTCAAACTATTTTTGAGGAGATTGACAATATTTGGATTGAACATATTTGTCCTTTTGAAGTTTAGGGATCATAAAAACATTATCTGTTTAGAAGCAGTTGTGCAATTAAATCTCATGTTACTACATTTTAGTCAGGGTGTGCTTATAAATATTTAATTGATTTGGTAGAATGGATGTAATTTTAGGGGCAGTAACAGTTTTCCCCCCAGTCTGGAAGAACTCCAACTTTGAAGTTTTGATCTAAGAGTTCATTAAATCTAAATTTATTTTTTTAAATTTCTGAGAAAATTTAAGGTTTTGTTCTGTAGCATGTTAACCATTGATTTCCAGAGTTGAAGAGAGAGTGAGAAAAAGTTTTTTCTTTAATCTCTTTTGCTTGGCCCATCCTACTCTAACAGCATCTATTTGCACAACTGCAAACTTCTAATTTTCATTTCTTGACTTTTTGTTTTTAAGGGCCAGGAGCAAGCGTTAGAACTTCTAAAGACACTTCAGAGCCTTCCTGTAAACTTAGACATCTTGACTAAAACAAGAATAGGAATGACCGTCAACGCTCTTAGGAAATCTAGTAATGATGATGAGGTCATTAGCTTATCAAAGACACTTATCAAAAATTGGAAAAAATTTCTCGGCGGTATGCAATGCAGTTTTCCTGTCCAAAGCCACCTGTACACCACACCTGGTGTTTTTTGATTAAAAATTAATTCCAGGTAAAGAGACTCCGCCAACAAGTAGTTCCAAAAAGTTGAAGAATAACCGGGAAGAAAAAAAAGAGGAGCCACAGAGGGAGAAAGAGAAACCCAAGCAGACCTCTTTTCCACCGACAAACACCGTGGATGCTGTAAGACTGAAATGCCGGGAGCTGTTAGTCAATGCACTTAAAATTGATGGTAAATATCGGATGAATTATGGCTAAGATTAAGTGCCTTTTTTAACTGATTTATTTTGTTAATATTATTTTAAAGGTGATCAGCAGGAAGGGTATGCTCCTCCAGAAGAACTAGCAGAAGAATTGGAAGAGGCTATTTTTCAGGAATTCAAAAATACAGACTCTAGGTATAAAAACCGGATAAGAAGTAGAGTTTCTAATCTAAAAGATACAAAAAATCCACAATTGAAAGCCAATTTTCTTTGTGGTGTTCTATCAGCCAACAAACTTGCTACTATGTCTGCAGAGGTTTGTTTTTTATAGTGCAACTAAGAACCACGCATATGCTATTTTGATTTTCTCATTATTTGTATTTAGGAAATGGCCAGTGATGAAATGAAAGCCTTAAGAAACAAGTTTGTGAAAGAATCAATTGATGATGCTCAACTTGCAACTGTCCAAGGAACGAAAACAGATCTTCTTAAATGTGGAAAATGCAAAAAAAGAAACTGTACATACAACCAGGTAAATAGATCATTGTGATAATATATGTAGTAATTTTGTTTTTTAATTATAAATAAAATTGTAGGTTCAGACAAGAAGCGCTGATGAGCCGATGACAACTTTCGTTCTCTGTAATGAATGTGGCAACAGGTGGAAATTTTGTTGAAAACTTGGATAATGGGCTTGGGAGCAAATTATTCAATTTTTCTCATCACCTCATTGCAATCTTTAAGAAAACCTTAATGTAATTTGTAATTGTAAATAATTTATGTTGTGAGGCTTTTATTTCTAAGGGTTCAATTTCTACAAATTTTATGTTAAAATCTCTAATGGACAAGTTCATCATTAAGTAAAGATGTCTTTACTTATAGCTTTCAATTGTGGGTAGTGAATAAAACGCTGTTGCCACCACAACACAACATATAATAATTACAATATCATTTATCTAAAAAATAAACAGTTTGAAGTGTGTTAATTTTTAATGTTTATTATTTTCAATACTATTATTTTAGTACCTACTATTTATATTTCAGTTTTTATATATATTTTTAAAAAATTAATAAACACACGGAGTATTAAGACAAGACAGGTTAATCATTGTTTAAAAAATATTTTGTTACAATTCCCATCCTTACTAATTTGATATACTATTTATTCTTAACTTTTTTTTCTTTGATTAATATTTATGGTAATACGCAGTACCATTGCTTCTTGCTTCTACAAGCTATTGTTGATTTTTCTTTAGAATTACTATCAATCTACAGAGAAAATGTCTACAAAATTTTGTACATTACGAAAGTAAAGTAAATCTTTTGCTTTATTCGAAAATTAAGTAATGCAGCCAAGCCAATTTAGACAAAGAGAGAATTGCCGATGGAAAATTATCGAATTGTGCATTTAGAATTAATTCCCTAAAATATAAAAATTTCCAATTGTAAAATATTATGGAAAGATAACAGTGAACAGTGGAAAAAATGTAATGCTTAAATAACAGAAATCAGGACTATGGTAGTAGAAGTGATTAGCCAGTTAGACTCTCGGTTCTTATACTGATGGTCATGTAAAAATACAAATCGAGTTACAGTGAAACCTCACCTAACGGACACCCCTCTAGAACGGACACCCCTTCTTACGGACAGTTTTCAAATGTCCCGTCGAGGAAGTATAGGTAATCAATGTATTTAGACCCCCTTTACAACGGACACCCCTGTAACGGACGCGGACAGCCTACTTTTTGTCCCCGAGAGATAAATTTCCCCCTTATAACGGACACATAACAGACTTTGGAAATTGAGAAAACAGGATTTACTTTAAATTTAAATTTATTAACAGTACATACGAAGTACGAAGTTACTTACGTAGTATGTAAAATATTTTTTAAGTATGTACATATATGTACTTAATTTTTTTATTCTACGAATTTCCTGTCTGAACAGGGATTAATTTCTAAGGAATCCATGATCATTATGAAAATTCGCATTTCAATAGAAATTTCCACGAAGTGTTTACATTTACAAAATTTGATTTTCTTACGCCGTGTTTGTATGTTATTCATTTCCGGATTTTTAATATGTACATACATACATACATATGTACATATTGTACATACATACATACTATTGTGTTTTCTATTATGTACTTAATAATGTACTTATTAATTCCCAAAAATATTTTAATAAACTAATTTTGATACATGTACATATTCATTTTAATAAATATATGTATGTACATACCAACATTACATTTTTACCCCTCCTCAGCGGACACCCCTCTGCAACGGACAAATCCGTTGGTCCCATGACTGTCCGTTGTAGAGAGGTTTCACTGTATTTATTTTTTGGGGGGAAGGGGAATTATTAAAGAAAAATCCAGAGGTGACAGTGGGAATTGAACTCATGACACGGATTAGCAAGCTGAGAGCCTAGCAGGCTAACAACTCATCTACTGCGATCCCCCTGATGTAACTTATCAATAATAAAAATGCTAAATTATCTGAAAAGATTTAAGTTTGGTCAAACTAATAAGACAATTAAAACATTTTAGTAGAAATACATACAAATAATGTGAATTTTGACCAAATGGGATAAGAGCATATTCCAGAGTCTTTAGACCCACAAAAATGTTTAAGACAAGAAGGAAACAATTTCCTTTTAAACACAATGTGGATTTTTAGACATCTTCAAAAATTATGTCAACAGTTTGATAATAGTATTTGTCAACTGGAATAATGCTTATAAAATAAGTAATTTACTGTCTTAGTGAATAAATTTTGTGTAAGTGCGACAAAGAGATGTTTTTTAGGTACATGTTTTACCATTTGTTTCATTAGTAACAAGTGAATTAGTGCAGTTCATCTCTCGTGTAAACTTTAGTGATTTTACCAGCCTAGCAAATCAAAGGCCTCTTTCAGACAAGATGGTTAGTTGTTAGAATTGATTAAACTAATTGAATGGGCAGGTGTCAAGAAATTTTTCCTGTAGCAAACGATTGGGAATCCTGGGAAGGATCCTAGGCAAGTGGCCAGTGCCGCTCACTCATCCTAACTGGTTGAGTTTTTTGCCATTTGTCCCATTAAACCAGTCACCTAGTTGGGTCAACTAGTTTGTCATAAAAACGCTGCCAGCAAATTTCAACATGGACATGTTCATTGAAGAAATGTGAGGAATATGGCAACAAAATTAATAAGTGAAGATAGAAGTGGCACAGCAGTAGTTACTGCCGTTTTTCTTATTTTGTACATTTTTTCCATATTTTTCTTCAACCGGGTTTCCAAATTTTTTGCTTCTCTTCTTCCACAAGAAGTGCCCCTGCTTCCATATTGACCACTTGTTGGGAAAAGAAATTGATTTCTCATGTTGCCTAGTGTGAAATCAGTCAAGAAAATTCTTTGGCAGTCAACTAGAATATTTTTTTTAAAAGATATAAATTAAAAAAACTATATAAATGTCATATTCCCCTGTAATGATGACTGCCAAAAAGGGAAGTCATAATTAAATAAATTAAAATACCCTATTTACTAGGACAAGTACGTTGAATTTGATAAAATGTAAGCAAAAAAGTTACTACAAAAATTTAATTTGTATCAAAATTGAAACTTTAAATTAAAATTCTGAATTTTTTAAATATTTTACTTATAGAATTTTGCCTGATCTTCAATCTTCTGGAAACAGCTGCAAATAGATTTTGAAAAACAGAATATAACAGCAATTATTTGATTTTAGATAAAAAGAGATTCAACTTTCTACATAACAGTTTATTAAAAATATGACCAATACACAAAAGTTAAATAGGAAAATACTAATTAATTCAACAAATTTAGAAAACCATATTAAAGATTTTTTAAATTAAATAATATAATTTCAAAAATATAATATAAAAATATATATTATTTATGGTTTGTACTTTGTAAAGTATGATATGGTTTTCAATATTACATGCAACTGGTAATAAACATTTAAAACATATCAATTATTACAATGTAACTTTACTAATTTGTATTATGATTTATATAAATTAATAATACAATAAAAATATTCAAAGAGACAAGTCGAGTAAATTGTAAGATTTGCATAGTTTAAAACACACTTAATTATTTTAACAAGTGAATACATTTGAAATTTTTTTAATTACAATATTTTAACTCATTTACAGCCCATGTGTTTGTTTTTCACAATCATGTGTGATCATCAGTTAAGATGATTTAATTTTTTTCCCCTGTATTCACCAATATTATTTCAGTTCTTTAATTCTGTAAGTTACAATATAATTTATGACTATTCTATAAAAAGAATTTAAGTCCATTAAATGAGACCTTGCATGAAAAAATCGGCCAAAATTGTAAATTTGGAATTTACAAATTTCACCGGGTACTTTGTCATTTGAGCTTAACTTTTTTAAGATTTTTAAATGCAGGCTTTTTTTTTTCTTCGCATAACGTATTTTATACGTTTTTTTCAATAATGTTTAAGTAGTATCACATAACACAAATACAGTGCTGACTGGCATTTTCACTTATATTTTAGCATTCTTATAATAAAACAAATTTTAAGCTCATATTTTTATCATGGCCTTTCTATAGCTATCTCGAATTTCTTTATAAAGGGTGGGGTGGGGAGTTATTAAGCATGGTTAATAGGTGGTGATACAACAAATATATAAAAGGTAAACATCAAATCCCAGTATGATTCACAAGGACATTTCGAGTACCTTTGTTGTAACCTATTTAAATAAATATTGCTAGCTACACGTACACAAAGCAAACCTTTGCTTAAGCCTATAATAATTTTTTTTTTAACTTGTAAAATTTGGTGGTGCATAAGCTAAATTAATTTTGTCATTTTATGTTATTACATTAGTCTTTTTAAAGTACACACAAAAATATAGTAGAGGGATTTTAAATATTTAAAAAAAAAATTAAATTACATTAAAATAAAATAAAATTGCAAATTATTACTAATATGCAACTGTGTTATCTTGATTTGATGTTGTCTTTGAAGTTACCTCTCTTGTACCCTGGGCAATTTCTCCATCCTGGACACCCCTGAACTTCAGAAAAGCATCATATCCATATGCGCACATATTTAGGTAGCCAAAGAACTGAAAAAATTCCTCATTAATCAAATTATACATATTATAACAAAAATATATTATTATAATGATCAAGTCAATTTAAAATTTATTTCATACAATCAATCAATCACCTCAGAGTTCCCAAACGAGAAAACAAGATTAATTTTTGTTATTATTAAACGGGATACAATTTTAATCATGAGCTGTTTTGATTTAAAGTTAACATCTCCTGGAATATAATAATGAACAAATTTAAATACACATAGCAGAGATTAAAATGATTGGAAATAAAAGAATTGGCCATTCAGCATTACTGAAAATGAGGTCAAAGACTCAGAATTCATTGCAGTCATTTTGAATAAATAAAACAAGCAGCATTTAGTAACACAATATGACTTATAATAAATAGACATATAACATGAACAGATTTGAATGTAAAAAATGATGGCTTATTGAGTAATTGTAACTTGACGCCAATTATCCTGGTCTGGCTCAACACCGGTTTTGTCTATCAGATGCCTTTCTACATTTTAATAATTTTTAAGAGGTGATGAACATGCAGACCAATCTCTGAAATTGCCAAAATGCTGAAACTCATCTGTTAGACCAAACTAGCAAAGGTAGGAAGTCGAAGATGATTGGAAACAACCAAACTACAAGATAAATAGAGAAATTAGATAAAAACCATAAGTGATTGTTTAAAGTTTAATCCAAATAGTTTGATCATTACAACTCAATCTAGTTTGTCTATCCTCACTGGTTACAATTGTCTGACATATTTTGGCATTTCACACAAACCAACCCTAGAGCCTAAGAGAGAAATGGCCAAACTTCATGTTTGTCACCCTACAGACCTTAACAATACAATCTCTGATTATACTATTAGAACGATAAACATAGTAATTATAGTCCAAACAAATGAATTACATTAAAATTGTCTTGTTTTAATCATAGTTGTTTTTATACTGACTTGAATTTGTCTCCTGAACAACTAGAATAGGCCAATGTCCTGATAATAAAATTGTTTAGGTTTCATTGCTCATTGCTGATGTAAGAAAAGTATTTGTGCTCATTTTTGGAATGGCAGTTTTATATGATATTACTAAAAGATAGCAAAATGCTGAAATGTGCATGAGATAAAACCAGTGAGAATAGGCAAACTAATACAGTGCTATAATTACTTCTACTATCGTCATAAATTACTTTAAAATATTACAATCCAAATAGGCGCTGTCAGTCAAGGTATATGTCATATAATGTGGCCGCAAGCTAGAATTACTTTTGTTTTATTATTAAAAATAAAAGTATTTATACAGATTTTCTTTTCCATTTAGATTTAGCCTTTTCTAGTAAAATATGTTCTCTAAAGGAAATACTTTCATATTTGCAATATTAAGGATAGGAATAATGTGTAATTTGGTTTTTGTTATACTATGGCTGATTTGTTTAAGGTAAATTTATTCCCAAATTTTACAATATTTGTACCTTCTGAAAGTAGAACCAGTTTTTATTTTAATTTAAGACTACCTTTTTAAAAAGTATATTGCATTATTCTTAGTTATTTTGTTGAGAACACGAAAAAAAAAGTTTTTTGTTAATATTTGGAGGTTCATTTTGCCAATAGCGTTTGGTACTGCTATTATGTCCACTATCCAAAAATTGTCAGGCTAATTAACTTTCTACAGTTTATTAAAAGTTCATTCGCTCTTAAGAATGTGGCAAGTTACCGTGTACTTTTGTTCTTGTACTAACACTAAATTAAACAATCTAGAACTTTTGGTAGAAATATTAAAACAATGCACTACAAACTTTAATTTTTTTTTAAATTACTACTCACCGAAACAAAGCCAATTGTAACATCTGCGCTAAGGTTTGGAGCACAAACAGTAGAGCCAATCATGAGAAATAGAGACCATAGTGCACAATAAACAAGCTCCTGAAAACAGAGAAATTATTTGAAGTAATTGAAGATTTTACAGAGATTCATTAACTGTCTAATATATTTCACAAAAAAATATTATTAGACAGCAACTGATTATAAAGACTGACCAGGATGATTGGGAGCAATTGAAATACAAGATAACCAATATGAAAAATTTTGGCTTCACAACCTTACACCGTACTGTATTGAACTTGCTATTGTATAAACCTTACATTTTATTTGTTAATAATTTTAACAAATGATTCAAGCAGATTATAGATTCTTATCCTTCAAGTCTCGCTGAGGTTTTCTTAAGCAGAGTTCGCAAAACTGAACCCCTTAACTTGTTCTATTGTACAAATAACTTACAAGGAAGGAATGGACTGGGTGTCAGGTAGCCATCCGTGGATTATTAGTGCATAATCCAGCCTCAAAGAGAGGGGGCCGTCAAATGCCGCAATGGTTAAGGCATTGACACAGACTCATCACAGAGAAATAATAAAGGTGAGTTGAGTATGTCGATTCACTTTTTGTAAAGGATGGTTCTAACTCACAGTTTGGCCAACGTTTTAAATTCACATTAATAAAGCTGAGAAAAATCAAATTGAAAGCAATTCACAAAATTTTCAATCAACTTGTCAACAATTGTACGCAGTATTATAAGATGAGTGACCTTCTACACTATCAAATGTATATATACATAGGAACTCATCATTATAATGGTTAATATCATACTTCAATTCAACTCTTAAGTCCATAATATGCTCATTGGTTTTGAGTGAAAATTTTAACAAGATTCTAACAGACACTTGGTTACATCTAAAAAATATTGATTATAATTTTGTGTTTTTGTAAAAATATTTATCTATAATGAAATATTCAATTTATCATTGCTTTTCCAAATTTTGTAATAGAATTATCATCATTAATAGATGAAAATATATTAGTTTTTTTATATATTTTTAATGCAGCAATCTCTCGGGATTATATTGCTTCGAAACTGAACTAATCGGGGCCTTGAGGACAGCCGATGTCTGAATGAGGAGCTAGATAAGTCTCTTAGGGATCGGCGTATTCTAAATTTCTATCTCCCTTGCAGTACATGATTGTGACGATGTGCTTGGGCCGTGATATATCCACATCACCCCCAAGTCTGAGACTTGCATCGGCGGCCAGAAGTTTTTACACATGTCACTCTTCCCCACCGCACCGAATTGAATAATTACGTTTTCCCAAATTGTCTCCCTTACAAAACCAAATAGTATCAAAATCGTTCCTTCATTGTCATCACGAAATTCGAACATAGAAGCCAGCAATCCACTACTCAAGCTCGCCCTTCTGTACCACTTGCATTCCAATAGTATGTGTTCGTCTGAGGTTACAACTCTGCATGTCAAACAAAGAGGTGGAGGGCATGCTACAAGAAACCCATGGGTAATTTGCGCGTATCCAATTCTTAGTTTTGCAAGTACACATTCTTCTATTCTTGACAGTCTAGTCGAGGTGGTATTTTATGGCTTAAAGCCCAACTACACATTGGGTATCACGGATGAAGGGTCAAACATTTTACAATACCTTTTACATATTATTTATAATTAAAATTCCAATGGGCTCTACCAGGATTCATACCCAGAACCGCAAATACGAGTCAGACACCCTACCACTTTAACAGTTTATAAAGTTTAATCTTAATATTAAGGCTTTACAGACTATCTTGATTTGTTGTGTAGTTCATAGAAAGCTTTTGTCAAGAACACATCTATTATTTTTTGTCATAAGCATAAAGTTTAACCAAAGTAAATCAGGAAAATAAATCTATCTTACTATTTTTAGCCATGGTACTTTGTAAAATTTCTCGATGATATGAAAAGTGTAGAACATCATTAGAATCCCAGTAAACCAGAAGCCAAAACCACAGATGGCACTCATAAATGACATAAAAGACTGTGCAGAAAATTTTGAACAAGATACAGATATAAATACTATTGCATCAACAACCTGCAAAAATTAAAAAAAAGAATATTAGAAAATTTTAAAAAAAGCCAAATAAATCTTGCATTTAAGTAATGTAGGGCAAACATTATTTAATTGATAAGTAGACTGAATCAATAACCAGCCTTTTATTGACTGTTCCAAAAAATTAGTTCAATCTCTTTTGAAATAAGAATTTCAGAAAAGATAAATGAAATTTCAATATTCCAGTTTTGGTCAATGTTGTTAATACATTAAATTCACTAATTTCATGGTCCGCTTGACCAATTAATATATTACAATTAATTAAGGTTTTTAGTTGAGATAAAAAAGTCAATGGCACGAGCGGGATTCGAACCCACGATCTTCGGCTTGATACGCTGCTGCTCTACCACTTGAGCTATCGTGACCTCGATCCACTCGGACACCAACTTCCCATCTCAACAAAAAACCTTAATTAGTTATTAATACATACCAGTTGAAAGCATTTTAACAACCCTGGTAGTGTCCGTGCATACAATGGGTCATATCTTATGTTTGTTTGAACATTTGTGTTTGATGTCGTTACAGTTGTTGTCGTGTGTTTTGCAGGAAATTCGGGATCGGACATTTTTCCAATTTAAACTATATTTTAAAAAAACCTGAAATAAAGATTAAAAAATATTCTATTAATCGATTAACACATTAACACTTCATCCATAGTTATCCTGAAATTGAAGTTAAGGAACTGTTTCGCTCCCATAAATTGAAAGTAAACGTATTAAAGTTACTTTAAAATACTCACTGATAATGATAAGCAAATATTGGGGTTATCAGTGCCAAACTTAATGAGAAATCGGTGATTATTGATGCTAAAAATAGAAATCTTATTCTGTGATGTTAGACAAGATGCACATGTTGACGAACTGCTTAAACTTTCAGAAATAAGGTAATTTCTGTATATTATAAACTCCTAGATATTTAGTTACAAACAAGGGTGTAATTTCGTGCCAAATTAATTATTAAATGGACAAAAGTAATTGTAACATTATTAACTGAAATGTTATTTTGACTAGCGATTTAAATAAAAAGGGAAAAAAATCAACTGACAATATACTAAACTATTAAACAAAACAGAACAAAAACAAATAACACGAATGTTGACAAGTGATAGAACCACTGCCCAACTGTAGTCTGTCTCTGTAAGTCGTAACTAGGATCATTTACAGATCGTTGCCTTCTTGATATACAGATTATCATCCTATAAATATTTGTACGAATTGCGTCACTCAGACTGCACTTATATTCGAGTAGTTTGTTTCTGATTTGTCCCCGTTTTCTGAAATAAAAAAAAATCATATGAAATAGAGAGCAGAATTGTTGCCTCTTTTTCCATATAGAGTACCACCACGTTTTTATGAATTGTATCTCTCAGACTTCACTTCATCCTTTGTATTTTCTTCATCTGTTGTTTATCTTTTATTTTTTTTTAAATGAAAATTCTGAAAAAAATAAGTAATGACTTTGCTTTCATTACATACAGATTACCATCTTATAAAGTTTTTTATGGATGGTGTCATTCAGACATCACTTCATATTTTGTATTTTTGCATCTGTTCTGCTTCTATTTTATTAGTTTTCATAAAAATGAAAATTCTGAAAAATAAGTAATGACTGCTTTCATTACATACCATACCATCTTATAAATTTTTTTTATGGATTGTGTCATTCAGACTTCACTTCATCCTTTATATTTTCTTCATTTGTTCTCCTTCTTTTATTATTGTTTTTTAAAAATGAAAATTCTGAAAAACAAGTAATGTCATTACCATCTTATAGTCTTTTATTTTATTTATTTATTGTGTCATTCAGTTTCAGACTTCAGTTCATATTTTATATTTTCTGCATCTGTTCTGCTTCAATTTTATTACACTTTTCTTAAAAATGAAAATTCTGAAAAAATAAGTTATGTCTTTGCTTTCATTGAGACAGATTACCATCTTATAAAGTTTTTAATGGATTGTGTCTTTCAGACTTCACTTCATATTTTGTATTTTCTGCATCTGTTCTGCTTCTCTTTTATTATAGTTTTCTTAAAAATGAAACTTCTGAAAAAATAAGTTATGTCTTTGCTTTCATTGTATACAGATTACCATCTTATAAAGTTTTTTTTATGGATTGTGTCATTCAGATTCACTTCACCCTTTGTATTTTCTTCCTCTGTTCTGTTTCTCGTTTATTATTGTTTTTTAAAAATGAAAATTCTGAAAAATAAATAATGAAACTTCTGAAAAAATAAGTTATGTCTTTGCTTTCATTGTATACAGATTACCATCTTATAATTCATATTTATGTTTTCTTCAACTGTTCTGCTTCTCTTTTATTATAGTTTTCTTAAAAATGAAACTTCTGAAAAAATAAGTAATGACTTTGCTTTCATTATATAATTATAATTATAAAACAAAAACATTATTACAAATATTCTTTATTATGTTATTAATAAATAATATTCTTTATTATTATTTGATTATTCTTTCAGAGGGGTTATATACAAGTTTTTATTTATACTACTGTTGTAATATCACATTTTAGAGAAAATTTAAAGGACATTTATATTGAATATAAAATAGAAGTAATAAAGCTTCCTTTAGTAACAAAATTTCCTGCTTCAGTTTTATCATCAAACTCGAATGTTGTGCCTTTAGAACGTATTATAGATGAAAAACAGCAGAGAGGATAAACCCCTGTGGAGAAGATGCACCGAACGTTATAGACAGTGTTTGCCTCAAACCAAATTGGCTGCTTGAGATATACAGTTTGGAATGAGTTGAACTCTGCATTACCGTCATGTTCAACTTCAGTGAGCATGTTTCCTTTATCATCTTCTACAACTGCCACAATTCTCTCTCTATACAAACCACAAGAATACGATATGGTCGAACTGCGTGTTACGACTTCAAAGCCCGTGACTAGGACCTTTGACTGGGATTTGAGTTTGGTTTTCATCGGCCCACTGCAAATGAGGGAGCGGTCGCCTTTAACCAGTTCTCTGTTGCATCTCCAAATCAACGGCTTCACCTCCGTTCTCGGCAGGTATTCAGGGTTCAGGTGCATTGGAAAGTCCTCGATAAGGCCGACTTTCTTCATAATCAGAGATTCAAGCAGATCGCACTCATCCCTCTTCAAAATCCCAGATTCTCTCACTTTAACAAATTCCTTCAGTGGAAGAGCAAGAAATCTAATTTTCTTGAGAACGTCCATTGAATCCAGAACTGACCTCATGTTATCTGGGGAAGATTTGATCCCACTCAATTGGCACTCTTTCTGACACCAATCTAAGACAAGTTTCCAAAGTTCAATTTCTCGCATGTTCATAATTTTCTGATCGAGAAGCTTTGACAATGTGTTCCTACTCATATGTTCATTTTCTGAAGACCACACTTCATATGGATAGCTTGCCATCACCTACAAAATTATACATTTAAACACTAATTCTTAATAAGAAAGTTTATATAAATGTATTTTTTTTTTCAACCTATCAATTTAATTTGTTGTTCAATCCATTACCTTAAGACATATGCTTAAAAGTTCTTCTTCGTTAAGAGCTTCAGCAATGAGCAGAATGTCCCACATGGTTTTGATACCCGTCGATTCCAGTAGGTAGTCTATACATATTCTAGCTAGCTGTGGCATCAAATACTTCTTAGCCACATACAGCAATCCGCCTGCGTCCTCAACTGTTTTCAAATCGAGGGAATCCGAATAAATATACCTGTCAATCACAAAACAAAAGTTATCTATTGATAATCAATGAATAAAATTATTTTTACATTAAAAACTGCTTGAAAATATAAGGTTGTATGTCTGGCACTGAGATCACCTCATCCTTATTGCACAATCCGCCATAAAACAAAGCCTCAAAAACAGGAGAGCTTACAGCAAGCACTAATTTGTGACATGTAATAATCTTAAAATAATTAATTAACTCAAATATGTATATAATGGGACTTTACAATAATACTACAAGTTTAAATACCTCGATGTTTTCATCTCCGACAGAAAAAGTGCAATCTGTCCATTGAGAAAGTAGTAAAAGTTCTTTAAACCGATCCTTGATGTTGGTCTTACTCACCTGCCAATCCTGCTTACTTCTAACAGTATTTGTCATCTAAAAAAAGCAAATGATATTTAATATGATATATTTAATTTAATTGGTACAAATTTAATTGTAATATGTCAACTGAAGTATTTTATTCATTAAGGTTTGGTTTTCTTTAGCAGGAGTGTAGGCAGGTCACACACTAAAGATGGCAAAAAGCTGAAAAAAGTTTGATTGGGCTAATTGAAAATGCTACTGCATACCTCCTAGACTTGAAAAATATCTAATTTTCATTAGAATTGTAATCAGGCCATGTCTGATAAATCTTCTGCCTAACTGTGTGATCTTTCTAAGTTACAGGGTTATCACCTCCCATACTTGTACAAACTCGTTCTTAGAATTTTAGTTAGGTCATCTCTGATACGCCTGTATGCCTATCCTAACTGAAGGATCTGTCCAAGTTACAGGTTTATGTGTTCAGCCTGAAGAAATTACTTGCATTTTAGCATTTCAAGCATTGTAGTTTGATTGTTTCTGATCTTCCTAATCTGCCAGTAACTTGGACTAGTGAGTACCAGGATGATTAAGGACCACTGAAGTACAAGTTCATCACCTCTCACAGTTGAATAAAAGATCTCATAATATTGGCATGGAAGATTCATTTCTGATAATCTAGATTTGAACTGAACCGTTTTCATGGACATTCCAACCAATGAAGATTTCATTTTGAGCAAAGAAATGTTATAAACTGACGAATCCTTGGGTGAATCCAAAGATTGAACTGACTTTTAACATAGGTAAGTACACTACAGTCCAGTCTGAAACCATAGCAATTGAACATTGCGCCAGAGAAATAAAAAGACTAGGAACACATTCTAGGATGTGCCATTTTCTCTCAAGATCTCTGGAATCCCTGGCAGAAGTCGTCAAAGGGGCATCCCTGAGCCTTTGGGGCAAAGAGGCAATGAGAAAGTGGATATGTTGGTAAAAAAAAAGAGCCAATATGAATTCTGTAAGACCCAAACCACACTGTGGCCTAGCAACTTAGGATACATCCAAAATTTATCCTTAATCAGTCTAAAATGCAAAGGGATTCAACAAAGTGCCATCTGAACACTTTACTGGAATGTACCCACAACTAAACCAGGATTCTGGTTGGACTCCTGACAGAACACTGCTGCCTAACAAGGTGTTTACTAAATACGAGTACAGACAGCTGAAATGTTATGTGGATACTGCCAGGAAGAAGAGAAGAATGCTTTTGTTTTTGTGAGAGTGTAGATTTTTGCAACTAGGTACGAAAAGCACTAGCAAGGTTATGGTATACTAAGGTATACTAACAACCTGAAGCAGGCCAGCGAGTTGTAAGAAATAGAGGAGCACAATGGAGGTGCGGAAGGCGTATCACTATACCCTAAACTGACAAACCAACTCAGTTCTCTTTGCTGGTGTAGAAACTAGATCTGAATGCCAACCTAGGAATGTGGATCTGTGTAATCTAGCTAGAATAAGCAATGGAAGTTGAATTGATTTTAAAAATTCAAATAGTTATCACAGTTTGTGGGTAGTTTTTTCACTTTTTAAAGGGGGAAGTATGGAAAAGTGGACTTCAGGTATAAACTGGACTTTGGAAATCATGGCAAATGAATGTTTTTGTGGTAAAAAAATGCAAACAAACATGTTGCACTTGTTGAATTTTACGGTTTACCTCTTTTGACTTTGTTGTTTGACCTGGGAAGCTTGTTGTGCTCGAACTGGAAAGTTTATTGTGACCTAGGCAGATAAATTTTAGTTGAAGCTTTCAGAGGGTGAAAACGGGAACAAAGCAGCGTCCAAGAACAAGAATAAAGACGGAATGCCAAAGATAATAATATCGTGGGCCATAAATCGGCTTTTGAACTATCCAAGTTCCTAATTGCTAGTCATTAGTGGGGCGAAACCGGCTCGGAGATCGTTTATTTTTATAAAGAAAAATCAACTTCTTCGTAGCTCAGTTTTTTTTCTGCTTAAAATGCTCAAATTATTCACAGAAAATATTAAAGTAAACCTGATCTTAGATAAAATTAAATACTTATTAAATATAAACTTCGGTTGCTAAGCGACTCTTATCAGGTCAAGAGTCTAATAATATAAACAAACCAGTTAATATCAAATTTAATTTAAATTTGAAAGAAATCAGGTTACTGGCCTTTTCTAGAAAATAAGCGGATCCTTTTACTCTCCGGTGTATACTAAATCAATCCTTTACTTGTTACAATAGGTAGAAATAAAAAAAATAAAAACTGTTTCAAATTGGTTAATGGCCTTGATCTTGAATATTTCATCTATTTTTTTTTTCTTTCTCACTCTTATTTCTATTTAGGAACTGATTGTTCTAAATGTATTTTATTATGGTTTTGTATACACCATAATAGTTAATTTAATCAATCGTTGCTAAGGTCATGTTTTTCCTTTTTTATATTAAAATTAAATTAGAAAAACAATCATGCCATAGATGTTTAGTCAACAGTGAAACATAAAACCGGGTATATTCAAATTGTTATGTACTTGCTGTTGACCATCAATGCTTAAAACAAGAGAAAAGAGAGGAGAGAAATTTAAGCCCGCATTCATTTTAGGAAAGAAAGTTTACATGGCTGGATTTGGAAATAACCAGAGGTAGGCAAGTTAATGAGCTAGAATGGCATCACATAGACTGGGGTCCGCAGACCCCTTGGGCATCCACGAGAAACTTCTAAAAAAAAAAAAAAAATAATTATTACAAAAATAAACGATTTTATTTAAAGTATAAAACTAATAACAATGAGTACTGAAAACAAAAGGTTTTTTTGTCGCAACAGTCACTGTGATTCTACAGATATCCTTTAGCTATGAAACAAATGCCAGCCTCTTTTAAGAAAGTTTTGGATGAGTCTGTTTAAATTATTAATTATATCAAGTCGCATTAAAGTCAAGATGTTTCACAATATGTGACAATATGGGAAGCCACCAATCCATTCTTTTCCATACAGAAGTGAGGTGGCTGTCATGCTGGAAAGAACTTCACTATTAAAAGAATTTCGTTCTGAAGCCTGTTTATGTACCAAAATGTCAAATTGGGTAAAGTTTTCAATGATGAGAAATGGCAATGTATACTGTAGTATTTGTCAGATATTTTCATTACAATGAATGAGATGAGTCTTTCTTTGCACGGAAAGAGAATCACAACTTTCAATGCTAAAGACAAAGTTATGGACATCAAAAGAATAATCCAGTTTTGGGTTGAATCTGTTGAGAAGGAAGAGGTCGAGTGTTTTCCGGTGTTAAATAATTTTTTAAAAGAAAACAAACTGGAGCGAACATTGATTTCCCGATAGCTCGAGATACAATCCTGCAAGACCATTGGTGGACGAACCATTTTCAGTTTTGTCAAAGCCAATCATACTATCTTCAAGTTAATATAAATGTTTGGTAGACACTAGATATTACTTCAGACTACCTTGAAATCTACTTTCGAGTCCAATACTTACTCCCATTTTTGACTCTGATGGAAAATAAAAAATTTCAACTGCTTGCTGAAAAAGCAAAATGTGTTCTTCCATTTGCCACAACTTACTTATGCAATTCCATATTTTCTATCTATACAGCCAACAAATTAAATACTGAAGCTGCCTATATGCTGAACCTGACATCAATCTCCAGCTATAAAAAAATTAAACCCAACATATCCAAATTGTGCAGGCTAAACAACCTTTCTCTTCCCATTAATTCATTAATAATTAATGCTCAAATACTTTTGAATTTGGCCCAAGTTTTTCATACTTATTGATTCTGTTCTGTCCAATTATTTTTCTGTTCCAGATTTTGTAAATAAAGATAAGTATGTCAATTTTTTCCATAGAGATATCTTTCTCCATTACGTAATTAGGAATAGGCTGGCTAATTTATAAAACTTTAAATTACTACATATACTATAAGTAGCTAATTTAAAATACTTGAATGCAAGGGGTCCGTCCTAGATTTTGTTCTGAGAAAAGGATGAGGATCCACTGGCTAAAAATTTAGGAAGCCCTTAGCTAGAAAAAGTCCTATGCTATAGACATAGGTGACTATGACTAAAACTAAATGGGTTGACAATACAGTGGCTGACTGAATACAATGGGATGTTTGGAAACTGAGGGTTGTCTGGCAGCTGGAGGCTGACTGCAACACTATTGAAAGCTTGTTGAATATGCTGAGAAGTCAGAGCAGAATTCTTTCCAGGCTTTCCAGGTGATAGGCCATAGATCACCAATTACCTTGGAAATGTTCACACTCTTAAAATGTATTAAGGAAGCTGCGTATCAGGAATGGTAATCGCAGTGGTGTCATTCCAAATAAAATATTATTATTGATGACTAGCCTCTCATTGCGCAGAGCGCAAGCTACACCAAGAAAGGATTTTTGACGGCTTTGTTTATTTCTTTGGCGTATATTGTTATTTCTTCTTTGGCGACTTGTCAGACAATTATCTTGTGTCCTCCTTGAGTCTGAGTCAGTCCTACTTGACTGAACAACATATATTACAGAAAATAATGTATTTAAGTGAAGAGAGAAACAATGAGAATGAAGAGAGTCTAGTGACAATACAGACAAGAATAATTTCTATCCTAGAATGCCATCATCATTATAGTTGGTGATTATCATGGCTAGCCAATGCTAATTCTAATTCTTTAAATTTATATCTAAAAACCAAATTGATAGGATTTTTTCAAAGGTATTAGTAGATAGAGATATACGGGAAGGAAATATGGGTACAATTTAATTTCAATTGCTCTTGTCTGACCATGAAATGAAAGATAACATTACTAAATCTATGTTTCAGCAAAGGTCATGAGATGTTCTTTTCAGGTGTGTCTGTTAGTATAAATTTCATCATCTTGCACACCTAGCAATCTCACTTTAGTGAAATTTATTTACACAAATATATAGAGATGGCATGAAAGAAATGATTAAAATTTATAAACAATCTGCTCCTTTATTATTCATATTTATACGAAATGCACATTCTTAAACAATAAATAATTGAATTAAAATCACCTAATATTTTGTATAAATTAATGAATAAAATAAGATGAAATAACAGAAGTGGTGACTGAGGTCTTTGAATAATTATTGCCCAGTTTGTGGGATGAATTCTTCCTGCTGTGCCACAACCGTTCCTCCATTTGCATCTACTCCCAAAACTTGTGTAATATCTTGGTTTACATTTTGGTTTACTTTTTCAATATCTTGGTTTGGGTCTGGATCACTTTTGGTAATGTTTTCTTCTGGAATAGACTTTGTCGCATCAGGCTGATAATCGGTTGTCTCTGTAGTGGGGTAATCCTGATTCGTTTCATATTTGTTATCGGTCGTGTAGTCTGTTTGTTCTTTGTAAGTATCGGCCAAATAAGTGTTTGGATCTGCTGGGTTGTTTGCGTCTCCAGAATACGTATCAGGTTTTGTTTGATAATTGGGATCGACTTGATAAGCAGATTCTTGTGGGTACGCTTCGCCTTCTGGATATCCTTGTTGGTATGCCTCGCTTTCATAATCATCCCTTTGTCCTCCATACACTTGATCATTAGGGTACTCTGCATCCACCTGATATTTGCCATTTTGCGGGTACCCTCCATTTATGTTTGGATCATAATTGTCGCCTTGCAATAATTCTCTACCATCTTCAGTTGTGCCTACATATTGCCTTGTATCTTCACCATAATTATTCACCATTCCATCATCTGAAACATTATTAAATGTTAAAAACAGTTTATAGCATAATCACAAAGGGAAATATGTATGATATAAATAATATACAAGAGGTATTATTTTATGTTTTTTCTTTCTAAAATTGCAGTTCTGATGATTGTTTTTGTTGCAATTTTCTAAATATATGTTGTTTATAACTGAAGATGGTAAGATGATTAATCTTACCAAAAAAAAAAGAAAAAAAGATGTTTATGCATTATAAAACATGATCCATGTCTGCTGTCTGGTACATACATATTTAAAGGCACATGATGTGAATAAAAGCAATGGTTTTGGCTTCTATCGGGTGATTAAAGTGTGTTTGTGCACATGTGCACGAGAGGACAAGAATAAACTCAATGTGATATGCTTGAAGATTAGGAAATAATTTTTATCAGAATGGATTAGGAGTTTAGAATAACAAAAGCGAAAAGACCACAGTCTTTAAATATCAATGCCGTTCCCGCTTGGTAAATATGGGACTGTAGACATTACTGTATACTATGTAATAACACTTAAACATTAGCTGCACAATATAAATTTAATGAGTATGCGGAAAGATATAATAATTCAAATTATTGCAATTGTAAGCCAGCAGATTTATTGAACAAACAATAATTTTGATTTCAATTCATTTTTGCATTATCTCCATCATGTTTTTCTAGTTTTCGCACATGCGCATGCAAAAACTAATTTTCACTAATAAAAAAAAAGTTTCGTTGTAAGTGATTCGTGTTGTTTTCACTACTTCATAAATTTAACAATACCTCGCCATTCTTGATTATCATAATTTACAGGAGCTTCTAGTTTACTATTAAGATATTCTATATTACTTTGTAGGCTGGCCATTTCCTCCCTGTAAGAAAAAAGTGTGATAAAAGGATAATGAAGATCATTGTTAATTTTAATTTTAGTCTGTGAAGCTTTCTTCGCTTTATTCTCCCCCTCAAAGGTGAAACCCTGTTGTTTAAAAAAATATATATTTTAATTGTTAAGGTTTTCTTTAGCCTAGCATTGAGAGATTTATATTGTAATCTAAGTTTATCTACCAAAACTCAAGTTCTTATTATCTACCACTTAGATCAATTTTAAATTAAGGTTTTTCTGCAAAAAAAATTTAAATAAACTATAAATGATTATAGTCAATCTCTACTCTACTTTCAAATTTTATAGTGGGTTTAATAAGTCCCAAATTAAAAATACTACTCTGAGTAAAATGGGTAAAAGAAAAAAAGAAATAAAAGGTTGTTGATTTTTTTTTAAGTTGCATAAATTAAACTACTTGCATTTTTTAAAATAAAACATGCCTTTTCTCTAATAAGATTTTTTAATTTTATATGCAATTGTTCAATCACTTTATTAATTCACTATAATTTATAAGTCTGAATTATCTACTTACTTTTTATTTTAATAAATATTACAATTTCTACTGGTTTTGCTCCCTTTCTAAGATTTTGAATCTTATTTGATCTACTGACCTTTGTATTGGTTTGAGGTTTGTGATTGACTTTTATAGCAACATCAACTTTTACTTTTGGACGTTTTTTCTTGATCTGCGTCAGTCCTTCATCCTCCCCCTTTGAGACCTTTACTTGTGGGTCAAAAGTGATAAAAATAAATTTATGAACATCTCAGCTATTCATAAATCTCTCGTTTCTTTTGTGTTTTTTTTTTAATATTTTAAATTTTGCACAAAAACATTAAACATAATTTGAAAAACCTCTTTTACCCATTTAACGCTATACAAATTAACTTTATAAGAAAACAATATTTCAGATTCTTACTTGTGCCTAGCGGAAGAATCTTCAAGCCGTTCTGTTAGCATTTGGCACTCATTATTTAGTTTTTCCATTAGTTGCGTCTGTGACTGGATCATGCCTTCAAGCTCGGAAACACTCAGGGCTGAAATTCATATGAATTATGAACCATCATATGAGTTTTAGGCAAGACCGGCCACAGACAACAACCAGTGTAAAACTTCAAACATTTCGTTAGCAGAGTATTATATTTATTACTTAATTTATTATTTATATTAGCCAACTTTAAAATGTACTGACTCATATGACAGGAATAAAAAAGAAGTCATCATCGTTCATTTCTAAATTATTTTCTTTTTGTTTTAAATTTATTTTTATTTAATAAAATAATTACCATGCTTAGCATCCATTTCTTTGATCATTGCTGCAAGATCGTCATTTCTTTTTGTGTCTTTGACATTCTCCTTAGCGGTTTTTGCAAGCTCCAACTTAAAAAGTAATAATTAACTAAAAATCAGTCACATATTTTGAGCAATTTTTCTATTAAGCTTTACCAACAGTATTTTGTGCATAATTTTTATTTATGTACAATTTGAGGCATTATTAGCCTTCTCCTCAATTTTGATGAGCTTCAATATACAACCTAGCAGCAACAGAAATCATTTATGGAGGCTCACTAAAATTGTACTGAGGAGGAGGCTAAAAATGGCTAAAAAAACATGTAAATAAAAGGTACGTAAAAAAAATGTAGTAAATCACCAATAGTAAAGAAAACTCACCCAAAATGACATAAAACGACATCCAACAGAAACAAACACTCAGAAAATTAATCTTATAATTTATGTTGTAAATCAAACTTTATATTTTAAATACTTTATTTTTTATTAATAATTTTACATAATTATTTTAAATTGGTTTTTTTTTCTAACTGGCCTAAAGAGAGATTTTAAATAAATTGATATAATTTTTAAAGTGTTCAAGTTGTTGATCGTATCATCTCTGATCATCCTCACTGGTTTGGTCCACCAGAAAATTTTGGCATTTTATCATCTTCACTAGTTGGTCTTTGGCAACATTTGAACATTATACTAAATTATAATATTTTCACTGATGATGGTGAAAGGCTGAAATGCGTCTTATAGACAAAACCAGTAAAAATGGGAAAAGATAACTGAAGCATTTCTGATCAAAATCTATTAACTTTTAAAAAATTTCCTGTTTTGTTCAAGTAAGTTCATCCACAATATAAAAAATCTTTGTAAAGAACTACAGTACTAGATACTAAGTAATTAAATAAGAATGATTTGTCATTTACTTCTTTTTCAAGTGATGCTATGTTGTCAGTGAGTCGTAGGTTTTCTTTTCTAGAATGAAGAAGATCCCCATCAGCTCTGTCAAGCCTCTGCCTCAAGGATGTGACTTCAGCTTGTAGACGGGCTATTTCCTGCCTACTGTTTCTTTCAACCCTTTCTATCGCAAGTTTTGAGTTGGTAAGTTCCGATTCCAAAGTTTCTCTTTCTGCCCCTGCCGTCAATGCCTCGGTTTGAAGATTACCTAAAATGTTGATTTTAAATATGTCATCTTTCTTCTTAGAAAATATTTTTTGATTACTTGTCTTTGTTAAAAGTTCTTTCTTTAAATCTTCTATTATTGAGTTTTTTTGTGCAAGGTCTCTCCTCAGTTCCTGCTCAGCCCGCCTAATCCGGTCCAGTTCCAAATTAAGCCTGTTAGTAGTGTCCCACTGAGTTGCCAAATCATTGTTCAACCTTTCTATCTGAAATATATTTTTGTTATTATATTTGCTTTCATTAAAAAAAGTCAATAGTCTTACTTGCATGGCATATCTTCTTTCTGTTTCATTGACTCTTCTTGTGGAATCCTGTAATATTTCCCTTTGCTTATCGTTCATACAATCAATATCATTTTTAAGACGGCGAACTTCCAACTCCAACTAAATTAAATATGGAATACAATTTCAGTCTAGTTGTTTTTAGATTTGATTACTTTCTATTTAAAAAAAAGTATGATTAATTGTGTGTGTATTGTGTTATGTCGATTATTTGTGAAATTAGAAATGGGTGAATTAATTGAAATCAAGCATTTGAATTCACATGTTTCCTAAAAAAAACAAACAACTAAAATCTAACTAATAATAAAAAGCCAACTTTTGTCAGGCTTAATGTAAAATTTATATCTTAGTATAAATACAAAATGTTAAGAAAGGTGAGAGTTGTGATAAAAGTGGTACTTACATAGAGTGGTAGAAGATTCGCACCGATAATATGAAAAATTGTGAATTAATGTTTATTCAGCTTTATTTTTAGTGTGGAAGTGCTGTGTTCACAGAACTCATTTATTGTTTGTGTTTTATTCCTTAATATTTTAACGAATGAATGAAGTTTTTGCAAATGTTTACACCCACAAACACACACACATACGCATACCCATGCACACAAGTGAATCCACAGCACAGTTTTAACTGAAGAAAAATTATACGTACAGCATCAATTACCTGGTTCTTGTCGAAGTGAGCTTGGTCAACAAGATCCAAGCTTCTTTTTACTTTTTGTGTAGCAGACGCTTCTTTATCCCTTAATTGACTTATGAGTGACTGGAGATTAGAGATTGTTTCATTTAATTCATCCCTTTCTCTAAAATAATTTCATTTTCATTAGATTGCCAAGAAGAAATTATTAGGCTTAAACAATATTAGTATTATTCTATTTTAAATGGATTATTACTTACAAATATGTAAATAAGAACATATCGACCAGTGAAATTATATTACTAGCCGATCAGGTATGTGTCATTGGAAGATCTTAAATAGATCAAAAGCTTTTTTGTTTCTGGCCCAAATACCTGATCCCCTGGTAATATTATTTACAAGGTAGCATAACAAAATCCTTTCATGTAGGTAAAACTAATATCAATCTATTTATACTGGGGCTATTAAAAATGATTACTAGTAAAAATATGGAAAGTGTAAAAATAAATAAAGTATGAAACCATTTTGAAATTGCAAACAAACAAGCTTATACTCTATTTTGAATTTTCTCTTCATAATTGATGTCTGGTTTAATTTAACTAAATGTAAATTTTGCTCATTTACCTTTGAAGGGCCTCAATTTGTTTATTGTTTTCCTGTGGATAGTGCGATGAGCAATCAATTTTCGATTGCGTTTTGAGAAAATTGGCCTCGTCTTGTGCTTTCCGGAGCTCGATTTTGCTCTGGGTCAATTGAGCTTCCAGTTCACTAATTCGAGATTCAAACACAATATTAGGAGGAATTATGTGTTTATAGTATTTTTTCTTTCCATCCTGCAAACATTTATATATTTGTTTGTTTGTAACATTGAAACCCAAGATTTTATTGTGTATATGTATAAGTTTGAAACTAAAAAAGGAAAAAAAATTGAAATAATAAAAAAATGAAAGGTAAACCTTGTATGAAATTTCTGATTCTTCTTCGGAATCATCGATTCCCGAACCATTATGTGTTTTCCATGCTTCACGCAATTTTTCATTTTCAGCAATTACATCTCTTATTTTTTCTAACATCTTTGAAAGTTCATCCTGTTTCATGAAAACAGAATTTTATTTAAAAAAGAAATCAATTGGTTTGGGAATCAGATAGATCATGAATTGTTTAGTATGTTTCAAGTACCCTGCAAGATTGGCTTTCCTTTTCTAAATGTCCGATGTATTCCTCTTGTTGTTTCATGTAGGACATAAATTCAGGTGGTGTTTTTGTAGATAATTCTGTTTGTTTTTTTTCGTTCAGTGCTCTCGGTTTTAGATATTTGCGAATAGACGAATCAGATCCTCCTAAATGCTCATATGAGCTTAGTAAAGGTAATTTATACAGTGGTCCTCCCTGAATGTTGGAAAGTAATTAAACACTACATTAAAAAGACTATAGTCTGTGTAAATATGATTAATATATATTAAAAAATATATAAATATACATGAGATATACATTTTTATTTAAAAAAGAAAATATATTTTTTTGAAGGTGTCTTGTGTGAGTGCATAAATAAAACCTATACATTTTTCTAGTTGGGAATTCGTTGTTTGTGTATTTTCGGGAATGTGAGGAACCCATTAGAGCACTTTGAATAAAAATTCTGTTTTGTTGTGTTGCTAAAATCCAAAAACTGCATTTATTATAATTTTGTATAAATTTTGGTCTTATCCATTTCCCTGAGCACACATATTATTTTTCACAGTACTGTGGAGATTTTCTGTTGAGGACTGCATTTGAACCTGTAGTTTGGATACGCTCCGATCCTATTGGTTGTTTGTTAGAATCAATTTGGCATTTTTCTATCTTCAGCTGTAGGCTTTGTTTATATTGACATTTTTTTGTGATATGAGGACAAACCATCGAAGTTGGTGAAAAGTATAAATTTGTCTGACTGATCAAACCAGCAAGGATATGCCGACCAGGAGGATCGGAGACGACAAAACTACAGGTTTCACAGTATTTACCATAAATGGCTTATAAAAATGTACTCAATCAAGATATACTGACGATATTTAAAAAAAACTACAATTGATTTCTATAAATTTATTATAAAAGAAACTTGTTAAAATAATTCCATTGAAATTTTGTTTGGTCGAAATTGAAATGGAACTGAATGACTGGAGAAAAATTAAATAAATACAGAAATGGATAAATAAATGTGTGAGTTGACTGGGTACAAATAAAATTTAAATTTATAATAATTATTTAAAGATGATGTACATATATCTAAGCAAAATATGTTCAAAATTTTAATTTTAAGAGTTTCATCCCTTACAGCGGGTTAAAAAAGAATATTTGGTATATACGTTAAAAAATGGCCTTTAATTATAATTATATATTAAAGAAATGATCAAGGATGATGCCGATTAGAAAGAAAACACACAATTCCTTCATTGAGCTTTCATGAAATAATCTAATTGGCCTCATCCCTGATCGTTTGTGAAATGATTAATTATAATTAAAAGCCAATAATTGATTATTGGAGATTATACATATATTATATTAGAATATTAAATAATAGTTCTTTGAGGTATATTAAAAACTCCAAGTACTTGTATATATTTCATCAAAATTAAGTAAATATTAGTTGGGTGTCTTTTTTCAAAAATTGTCCAAACAAAATTCGAAAATGAAGAAAGAACTAGAAGAAAATAAATGAAGTACATAATAAGTAAATGTAGATTTTAATTTTCAATCATAAATTGTTTGTTTCCTATAAATTATGGTTTATATACAAAATATTAGAAAATTAAGTTTTATGATGTATGGTGTAACAAAAAGAATATATTTCGATATGATGAAATAACGCTAATAAATTAAACAGATTGAATTAATGTATAGCCTCACCGTTGTGAATTTTTGGACGGTGATGGGCGTGTAAGATTCAGCTAGTAAGTATTTAAGCTTTGAAACTGCTTCTCTGTAAGCGAGGTCTGAATAGTCGGAAGTGGTGGTCCTTTTCCTAAAGAGATCCATTTTAGGAGACCTTCTGCAAAAATCGTCAAATGAAATGAATTGTCGTTTAAATTTGTTTTTCATAGTACACATTGGAAGAGCAAAGTCTTCCACGCTTGAATGCATATGACGCATTGTGTATGAGCTAGTCGCCATAGCAGCCGTAGTTTATACTTTACTCATTAACACTTCGTGCAAAAGGAAAGAAAAGACATTTTTGGACTGCCCTAGCGGTTAATTGTGCACGGTTCCAACTGGAACTTTGTGACAAAATTTATTGGAACGATCACTTGCCGTGGTTTGCACTTTTTCGCTCTGAACATTTCCTGAGGTGTTGACTGTTTGAAGTGTTGAAAAGTTCTGTTGCCAGCTTCTCTAGCTTTTTCCTCGGAGTTCCATGTCGCACGGAACGTTCAGAACCACCCGGTACCACCGCCCGAGACAACAATCAATCATAACAACCAACAGCGATGAAAACTCGGTCCAATCGGATATCAAAATAGAACATTTCGTTCACGCGTGTATCTGATGTATTTATGTTTTGTTTACATAAAAGAAATTTCATTGATTTATTTATATTTGTAGTTTTTTATTATAAGACTATTGACCGCTTTCTTGTTTGGCAGTTGTAAACTTTAGACTGTTTGATCATCTCCGATTATAACATACCACACAAAAAATATAATAGTTAATGAAACCAGCGAGAATAGGCGGACCCAGATGATAAAAAAAGGCCGACCTAATGGTTCATCATCCTGCTGAGCGCAAGTTTGAAACTTGTTTCGCATAGTTGTCATTTATACGGTCATTTCCTTAAGAGTTTCCTAAATAGAAGCCCAAATTTATTTTTGTCATTATTATGAAAGGGGTTTGGGAACTGGGAAGAGCTTTAAAATAATACTGTTTTGATCAAAAATTCAAATTTTTCCTTACATCTAATAATCAGTAGAAATAGTAATCGGATAACGAACTGAGAATAATTTTTGTCAAAAATCTTTAACTTTACAACAATTTTTGAACTTTAGATTATCCTTTATTGAGAATCAAATATTAAATCTTTTGAAAATGGCGAAAAGTGCTTTCTTTTGGCTATGATGAGGTCGCGAAGTGATGAATTAACGGTCATATCTGGTCTGTCCATCCATAAAATAAGCGTTTGGCATTTAACCATCAGTGATTTGATCGTTTCAGTACATTGGCAGAACACGATAAAGAAGACCCCAAACTAATAATTCAAACATTTTGAAATATTTTATCGAGGTATGCAGGGTGAGAACTGCAGTTTGGTCTTCGATCACTCTGATTTATCGAACCTTGCTGGTTTAGTCTGTCAGATACGTTTAAACAATTCGCCACCTCAATTCTAACAAAGTGATAAGTTTATGGATAGGAAGAGCAGGATAATCAGAGATTCCAACATTTTGAGATATTTTATTGAGGTATACGGGGTGTTGAGCCTGTAGTTGGTCATCCCTGATCATGCTCGTTGGTTTGGTATGCCAGGTTGTCCAATGCGTTTTGGCATTTTGACATCTTTAAGTTGTCTGTACCAGTCTAAGTGTATGTACACCCAAACCCCAATGTTTCACAATTTAATATAAGTGTCTGGGGTGATCGTTTCCGAACTAACCTCGCTATTTTGGTTTTTCAGACTTGTTTCAGCATTTCGTCGCCTTGCTTGGTCAGGTTAGGCAGAGCGAAAAAAGATGACCAAACTACAATTCAAAGTGATGAGCTATTTGTTTGATGACTGATAAACCTGTAGCTTAGTCGTTTTCGATCAGATTAGTCTCTCTAACCTCTATATTTTGATCTGTTAGACACTTGTTGGCTTTTAGCCTTCTTTCAGTGGTAAGTTTGTACAATTGATATGAATGAGTTTGTCAAAAGGCAAATCGAGAATTTAGTAATAGAGTTTCTAAGTGAGGTGATCGTTCAGCATTCGCTGAAAAGATTGTGAAAATAATGAATATAGGACAGTAGCTGTGACGAAATGATGTGGTCCTGGCTTATATATTACAAGTTACAAGGTTAATATATTGGTAGCTTGATGACCATTAAATCGGGTGAAATTTATGGCAACAGTAATACAGACAGGCCAAAACGCCCAAACGATTTTACGACTAACAAATTTTGTACTCATATGAGCTGATGATCAAAAACGTTGGAACACGTCTCATCATTCCACCACTTTCAGCGCTGGTATGTGACCACCTTTGATCATTATTCCTATTGAGATATCTTGGAGTAAGCCCTGCAAGGCAACAGCGAGGACATGCAGACCAAAATGATCGTAAACGACTAAGCTTTTTTTAAGACCAATAAATTCTTATTACATTTAATCATTCTTCAAATTGTAACACCTTGGGGTGGTCTGCTGAACGTCGTGCAGCTTAGCGCCCACACGCTTTGTCAGATCAAATTAGCAACAGACAGCCACAATGATCAGTGAATTTTGACAACCAAGTTACTAAATTGATAAGAAACTCTACAAAGTAAGAGAGATTCAACAGTTGATGGTAAAAATATGCTAATTATATTAGAAGCTTCAGTCATCTGATGCAGACTTGAATTTGTTCCGGAACAATTAGAACACAGTGTTACATTACATATAATATTATTAAATATTTTACATATTGCATGTGGATGACAGTGTTTTCGTCTTGAGCAGAATACGTCGTGCATTCTACTGCGTGGGAAAAGCTTATAAAAGAATGATTTTTCCCTTAGGTAAGGGAATACGATAGTGAAATTAGGTCAAAATTATAAGTGAGTGTTTAAGCTATAATCCTTGTGTGCTCGGTTATTAGATGAGCTCTGATCACGCTACCAGAACTGCCAGGCACCAGATACAGAAGTTCGAAGTGGAAAAATATTAACTTGTTCTGTTAAATCGGTATAAATGCTTTAAGTTTTAAGACGTTGTTCATTGATTTCGTTTGCCCTTCGTTCTTTCTTGATACCGTATCTATTTTTATCATCAAACTTTAGTACAAAAGTATATCAGTTAACCATTGCTAGCGACACAAGAAATGTACTGTGTTGAGGACTTGATTTAAGACAAGAAGCAGAATGCCAGAGGAGAGCGACACAAACGAAATTTGCTTAAATGAACTATATAATTTGGAATAGTGGAAATAAATTTTCTAATGAAAAAAATAAACTTTACTCCATTTGGAAAAAAAAACTGTGTTTTACAATTCTAATTTTTTTCTCCTTCGTTTGCTGTTTATATTCTCTTAGAACGTTTCGCCTTTCGAAATAGGCTACCCATTGGCATTAATGGAATGTACTTTACTGTTGCAATCAGAAGGCCAAGCTTAATGAGAAAGTGCGAATATAAATTAGCTTATTGAACAAAGTAATCGGCCAACAGCTGGTGTAAGATTCAGAATTAAGTGTGGGAAGAAGCAAATGTTTATTTTTAAGAAAAAGAAGAAGACAAATAACTTTATTCTGGGACTGGTGTCCTCTAAGAATAATTTACATGAAATTAATAAAGGAAGTTCCTTCTATGAAGTTAACAGTAAAAAAAGATAGAAATCTTGACACAATGTATACCAATAAGGCAGGACAGAAGAAAAAATTACGAGAATATTAAACAAAAATAACAAATGTTAATGTGAGGTCTCTGCTTGGAGGGAGAGGAGGTGATTATACAGGTGGGATTTAAAAGAGGAAAAGGAGGCAGCGTGACGAATAGAAAGGGGAAGGGAGTTCCAGAGTTTAGGGACTCGGATCAGAAAGGATCTTTCGAAGGTATGGGTTGTATGTTGCGGAAGTATAAGGTCAATTGGGGTGAGCAGGTCTTACGAGTGAGATGTGAGGAGTTGAATTGGAGGGATTGGATGATGTAAGGAGGACGACGAGTGTGGATGTACTGGAAAAGAAAGCAACCTAGGAAATACTGTGCACGGAAGGAGGAGAATAGCCAGGAAAGTTGGGAATACAACCCCGACACCCCGGATCCCCGTGGGGTGCCGTACACAAATCTTACGCAACAATTCATAATACGCTTCAATCGCGCGTTCTTCCCCTCCGAGAGACCACCGTATGCCAAACAGCTATAATCGAAGAAGGGAAGTATAATGGAAGAAACAAGGAGTTTGCGGGTGGAGAAAGGTAAGAGAAGCCAGGACCGACGAAACAGGCTGAGGGAGGCAATGGAATAGCGGGAAATTTGGGAAATGTGAGAATGCCAGGAAAGGTTTTGGTCAAAGACTACTCCTAGGTTTTTAACCGAAGGGCAGAAGGGGATGGGATGGTTATTTAGCATGAGAGGTGGGATGCTGGGGAGGGAATTGAGGAGTTGCCTGGACCCGATAATTATGGCGGTGGATTTGGACGGATTGAGGACTAGGGAATTTTTATGGGCCCATTCGTTGATGGAGTTTAGGTCTTTTTGGATCTTGAGAGTGGCCGAGTGAAGATCGGAAGGGTGGAAGGATATGTATATTTGGGAGTCATCGGCATATAGGTGATAGTTATTTTTTGTACTTTTTAAGGTACAGGATTCAAGACGTCTGGATCCGCTTGGACTTGCTGAGCATCTCTTTTATCCAATTCTGTTTATACTTTCGCATTTTAACCATATGCAACTTAATATAGAATTCAACATGATTTGGTTCGAATTTTAAAAGTTCATATTTTTCTTTATCAGTACATTTATGTATGATTAATTATTGAATATATTACATTTTTTTATATTGAATTTGCAGTTTTTTTTACCAAAGTTTTCGCCAGTTTAAGTTTTTTTACAAAGTCTCTAAATTCACCTAAGTACCTTTGAATGTGGGTTGAGAGTTTAACTGGCCATGGTTCTCTCTGGCACACCTCGCTCCCAATAAGATTGACACTCAAATTTTGCATTGCCGGACAGTAGAAAACATGATCCCTGGGTCACAGGTTTCCGATTCGTCTGTTATCGAATCTAGCAAGGTATTCTCAGATTCTTCCATGTACACTTAATACTTGGCCTTTTCTACTTATGTTCTTCATGATTATTCTTGAAGCGATTGTTGTAGAGAATTCCTAGCCCTGGTTCCATTTGTCAAATCATTCCAAGCAATTACTCTGTCGTTGTTCATATGTTCTAAAGCTTACGTAATTTTTTGGAAGGACGATTATTAGGCTTTCTCGTTCCCATGAATCGCAGTGTGCTTGGATTATCTTAATGAAGACTTTCCAGCCATTTCGTTTCATTTTGCATATATTTTCTCGGATATCAACAATCATAGAATTTCTGCAACGAGAATAACTGATCTTGTCGAGACTACTGATAAAAGTTACCCTGTCCAAATTTGGGTTCTTCAGTGAACCGGGTTAATTCCAAAAGCTAAGAAACGGCGCTGCTGATAGCTAAAAGTTCAGCCTGATTTTTCAAGCGAGGTTGCACGCTTCATTTGTTTTTATTTTTTATTCGACATTGTTGCTTATTTAAGATTACTACAGCCGCTTTTATTTCTTTATTAATTTTTCTGCCGCCTGTGAAAATGAGAAAATTGAAGACTTGTGAGCCTTGCTTGAGAAATTTCTTGGAGAGCGGGGTGTGACCAGTAAGCCTGTTCCTTTGGACGCCAGATAGGTACCTGAATGGATTTATAATGTAAGACCGTAGTAGTTGAGTGAAACAAATATATGTGTTTAATTATTATTTCAGACTTGTTAGACGATCCTTTATCCTAAATATGTTTTCTTTTCTTTCCCATCTCCTTCTGGATCACGAAACATCTTATAAGTAACTATATATCTAAGTTTTGTCAACTCATCTCTCAATAAATCATTCCCACAATTGCCTGAATTGAAGTTTCTTTTACTTTAGTACGCTGACGTCTGCTATCGTTGATTCTTCAGGAAATTTTGTCCCTCAATTTCTTCACAAGAGTTACTGCAAAATATGACTGACTCCCAATCAGCAGAAAATAGCCTTTTTTCGCATTTTTTTATACCTTTTAACTTTTTAAAATTTAGTATATGTTTTGTATTAGCCCAGACTATGATCGACTGTTGCCCAGTTGATTTCGAAAATATTTGTTTTACTTATATTCAAGTGTTTACATAAATTAGAAAAAAAATATGGTTGCGTTTTTCAATTTAACTCTGAACTATTTTATCTTAAATTTTCTTCGTTGTTGTAAGAGTGGAACTCATTTTCTGGTCGTTTCTGATCATCCTGGTCTTCCTATTCGCTCTGTTTCGGCATTTCGCTTTATTTTCATTTCGACGTGAAACAGCGAAACTTGGCAGACGAAAGTAATCGAAAACGAACAAGCTACATGTTCATCACTCTCCAGACTCCAAGAATAAATCTCTCAATCTTATTTTGCATCTTAATTTGAAGGTAAGAACGTGTTAGTTTCAGAATTGTATTATTTTATAAAAGGTCTGTTTTGACCATTTGGTGATGACTGTCGTGCAATCTGTGAGTAAGTTTATTAAAGGGACAGTTATCGAAAAGAAAACTGGGAAGAACAAAGAGAGCAAGAATCTGAAGAGACTGACGGAAATCTCTTCGAAATGGTACCCTTCACCTTTTGTCGAAAGGAAGAAAACCAGGCTCACAATATTGTTGAGGAACAGGAACCATTCGAAGGCCTTCTGCGTCCTTCCGCACATCATCGCGAACGTCGTCGCGAGAACGAACTGTGGAATCATCGCCTTGTAAAATAGCAGAGCTGCGATGATTGGCTGGTGAGTGACAAAGCTGTAAGCCCAATCGATTTCAAAGAAATTAGGATAATCTGTACTGCCTATTGTGAAATAACCGGTATAAATGTAAAATAAGAGCAGAAACCCTCGACGGATGTCGATGCTCGCGTCGGTTTTAGATTCGCGTAATTCGGCGGAAAACCAAGTGATGAGGTGAAGACAAAAGGCGAGCAGTCCCATAGCTTCTTGCCCGATGCACATTAAAATAAACGTCGCCCCGTATGAGAAGCAAAAGTGAAACAACTTTTCGACTCCTTGTTTAGGAGAAAAATGTGGTAAAAACAAGCATAAAATCAAAATGAACCATGCAAGAACCGAATGGGCGAATTTGAACTCTCGGGGTAAATATCGAATAGTAATGGCATTCCAGATCGATAAAATAAGTATAAAAAAATATATAAACGACCATATTGAATCGTCTTTATAATATATAAAGAGGACTAAGAAACAAACCCAGGACAAACAGCCAATTTTCATAAGAAAGAAACTACCATCGTGACTAATTATTTCATAAACAAACGATATTAAAATAATTATTGAAGATAAAATCCAAATAATAATGTCAGAGTTTTTCAGTTTCATTATTAAAACAAGCGCGATTGTTGTTATGACTACAAGGATTTGCCTCGAGTAAACCCTGTATATGCCAAATATAAGAACACAGAGTGGGACGGTCGTCGCTATCATCCAAAAGGTGGTATTCGCGAATGAATTGAAATTATCCAACACTTTAGTTAGGACTTTTATATTTTTGAACACTCTCCACCAGACTAGGCAGAGAACGGCGAAATACACCGAAAAATGTCGTGGCCAGTTTTTAAGAAAGACCAAAATAAAGAGAGAAATGCAAAATACCAATGTTATAAAATCTATAAGGCAGGAAAATATATCTTTTTTAGAAAACATTCTCACGTACCAACGTTTTATTCTTGACGGAACATTTAAACTTTCCTTGGGTTGGTTTTGTTCCTGTTTGAATTGTCTCTCGAGAATAAGAATTCCCCAACCAAGATAAATCACGGTAACAATTTTCCATAAGAGTAAATTGAAATATCGTTTATATTGTTTCAACTGTTTTTGTTGAATACGTATCAATTTTTCTGCCAGTTCTGGTTTAGAAGATTGTTTAAATTTTTGCATAAGGTCAGTTAAGTTTTCTCCGTCTGGCGAATTCTTAAGAACAAAATAATCTCCCGTTTTTCTAGCGTGCTCTTCTAATAGATGGTTTATTTGCTTTTGATTGCAGTACAGGGCGTCTCGTTTATTTTGATCGTCTGTGTCCAATACTTCTTTTTGAACGATGCCGCACGAATGGGCTGGTGTCGGATCGCCCAGAAGAGTTGTTATTAAACCAGCAATATCGATCTGTTCTATATTTACGCTCTTCATATTTTCCATTTTCCAGTGTCCCGGCGCTTCTCGAATTTTTCCGCCGCTTTTCATAATGCCAGGACCCCAAGCGATAAATGGGCAGGAATTGCGTGAATTGTAAGTCGTAGCTCCACGCGAATCTGCCATCCCTTGGCCACACGTGAAAATAAAAGTCGTCTTATTGTCACCGTAATACGAACGAAACAAAAAATCAAGTTTTTCCATATTTTTGTCCAAGTTTTCTACCACAGAGGAACAATATTTTGGCTCGTTTGTGAGACGGCAATAGTCTATAGAGGTAGACCATAAAATGAAAATGGTCTTGTCAGCGTTTAAGTTTTCTCGTAGAGTTTTATTAACGAAAAAAGATTTGTTTATGCCGTCGTAAGCAAAATTATCAAATTGGTAGTATTTCTTGACAGAATTTTCGAAACCGTCAGGCCAAGTATTGACAGTCCAACGTCTTCTCTTATCCGTATCCGGTGTATAAGACGCTACGTAAGGGTCTCCAGAATAAAATATTTTGTCCGTGTTGTTGAAAACAAGGTCATGTTCGAAAGGAAAAAGTCCTACGTCGTTTAGGAAGATAGCAGAATCTGATTTTGCGCCTGTGGTCATTGACACGAACCCAGACTTGGAACTGGATGGGATTGACATGTTGGATAATCCCCAGGTACCTATATCCTCCACGACTCTTCTGAAAAATGAATCCCTTCCTCGAGACGCCAGGACGGAATACATCAGTTCGGCGGTCATCCCATTCGACACGGCTAGGACCACCCTCTTCGTCAATCGTGTCAAATTCCTCTCGCATGCTGGAGCCGTTGTTAAGTGAATCACGCGAAAATGCAAATCAAACACAGAATAAAGAAACAAAAAGTTCAAACAGATCGAAAGCACTGAAATCATTTTTTATGGCATACACAAAAAAACGGATTTATTTTGAATAATGTCAGGTGTACTGCCCCATATGGTACTCGGCGCAAAGATGTCAATTAATTTTAAATAACCATTCTACAGCTACTGGTTACGACTTTTTTCATATTTTGATTTTATATGTTTAAGTGTCTCTGAAATACTTTGAAAAAATTGTAAACTAGGACTTCTTTTACATGCCAATATTTAACTAAAAATCGACGAAGATGGAACATAATGGTATGGTCGATGAACTGATATTTCGTATAATAGAAGAAATGAAAAAGAAAAACACCTAGAAAGCTTAAAAAAGAAGGAATATGAACGTGACCACACTGTGTGCAGGGTTGTCTATCTCATCTCGCAGTCCACTGGCAATTCCAGTTTTGTACTTTACAATTTGACTCGAGAATTATCCACCCCGGGGGTTGGCAGTCCGGGGTCACTCCTCCGTCTTAAGATGGTGGAGTATTCGATGTTCCTCCTATTATTACAGCTATTATATAACTAACCTAATTGAGGCTTGGTGGGGTACTCAATATGCCGCCATCGGCCCTCTTACACTACACATTCACACTAATAAATATATTCACTCCTACGCTCTGAACAGCTATGAACACAAAACTGGCAGTATTAAATACAGTAAAACAATCCTATTTTCTCCAAAAAAATCGCAATAGGTTACCAAGATACTCGCTGCCGATCTCAAGCACAATTCTCATATAGGCGAAAAAACGAATTAACGTAAAAATAGTTAGCTGTTTATCATCGTGGTATACGACCATCAGGCCATTTTAGGATTTATTCGCCACATTTTAAACTAATCTTCTGTTTTTCTCACATCATTTTTTAAAATAAAATTATTAAAACCAAAGGTTTATAAATTCAAGATGGCTTATTTTCTGCTTAATACTTAGAAAGAAAGATGTTGTTTCTTGTACATCTGTATATCATTGTGGTATACGGCTATTTTCCGATTTATTCGCCACATTTTAACACTTCACGCGGCTTGAAATTGAATACTAGAGGTTCATCACCTTAGACAGAAACTGCAGAACCAAGTGAAGCCAGAATAAATCTATTATGTATACAAATTTGATACAGTACATATTCACGTTTAGAAATTGGAACGGGAGACTTAACGATTCGCCGCTGTGTTCAAGCACAGTTTTCACATTGGATGTTTACTCGCTTTCTATGATGCACCAAAGCATGACACCTCCACATGGGACAAGGTGCATAAGTTACATGTAAGCTGGCTTTGGCACAAAAGTGGGCAACCGCGTAAGGTCAACTGAACTTTTAATTTGGAAACTGTGATGAGCGGTTTTCTTTTTTCGTGCGCGCGGCTCGCGGCTCGTTCGAATGTACGCGCACGAACACCGTCGCTCGCTCGGGTGCTCCGAGAGGGTAGCGAGCTACTCCACTCAAGGCCCGTCAAGCCTTTTAGGGGTAAGATTTGTCAGGTTGCCCGGGCTTGACGGGTGAGCACCCTTTTCTTACTTACAACTAACTCTGGACGGGGAGGTTTGGGGAAAAGATACAAGAATTCGGACCGAACAATCAAGTCCCTTTATTGATATGACTGAACAATTCCCAATATGCACAATCAACTAGTGATTAACGCCCTAACCCTGGTTATAAATAGCAACCCTTTTTCTTATTAAACAATTCATATACAAAACCTATTACTGGAAAACTAATTCTAGATAAAACCAATGCTCTTACTCTCTTTATCGAAACCTTAATGTAAATTAATACTAGGAGCTTAATTATTGGGATCGTAGTACTAAACTTAGGCCGTAGCCCGAAATCGCCCCAACTGTTCTCCAAATCTCCCGCAAATCGATTGACAAAATTTGTACACACAGGATCCTGACGGATTCTGCGAACTTTGTTGTCTCGACGTCTCTTTCGACGCTCCTCTCAGCGTCTCTCTCGTCTGCCCTCACGACGTCTCTCGCGACGTTCCTCTCGGCGTCTCTCTCGACTGCCCTCACGACGTATCTCTCGACGTCTCTTGGACGGCCCTCTCGGCGTCTCTCTCGATGCCTATTCCGGGCCGCCCCGACCGAGCTCTCCGCTGACCGCCTCTCTTTCATTTCCTCGTCGTCTCTACGGGACTCTCCGACTGACTCAACTGCGGACTCCCAGACTACGGACTGCGGACTCTACTCGGACTCTCTTCGGACTCAACCCGGATTCTCTCTGATTCTACTCTCTACTGCTCACTCCCCCCACCTTTTTACTCCGTTAGAGTTTTTGTATCAATCCGTTCAGGGAGGAGGTGGGGAACAGTTACGCTTAGGAAATACTGCTATGCTTCCGGGTGACCCGACTGCCCTTGTCCCAGGTCATTGAGCTATTCCGGATGAGTCCGGGCATTAGCTAATCCTGGGGGTTGAGCAATAAGGCCTCTCGTCAGCACTTTTTTTCTATTTTTTCTAGGGCTATTGCCCCGGGATCGACCCTCATTTCTCAATCGAATTCCAGGCCACTTCCAGTAACTCAATCCGGCACAATACGATTTCCCAACAATTAGCCGAATTATTTTTACATATAATTTTAATATTTCCAACAAACTTAAGTTCTATAAATCTCTGTTTAAGATTCCCTTTTTGGAATCTTCACAGAAACCATTAAGAAAACTTATAAGCCAATGAGAAAAAAAAAAAAAATTCTTTAATAATTAATTTATCTAATAGTAATTTTATTATAATAGTAAACGCCAAAAATATGTAAACTCCTACACAAAGCCTTTTGGAGTGTAGCAAAGCTATAGAGAATATTAGACGAAATATTTTTTATATCTATTTTATATTTAAATTTCGGGTTGATTACATGTAAGCCGATAGCCTTGCCCTGTCAATAAAGATCGATAACAGGACATGTAGAGAGGAAAAGTTTGCATTAATATTGCGAAAAGAGAAAACGTCGATCGTTCGTCGACAGAACGCAGAAGGGGCAAATATCGGTCACGAGACACCTGCGAACTATGATGGATTTGACAGATCTGTAGGTTGTTGATATATATCGACAACTACGTCTAAACAAGATTTATTCCATTCTTTTTTGTTTTTTTAAAGCAATAAAATTATCTTGGGCCAAATTCCTTTTCTGGCCGAATATTGGCCATTCGTGATCACTGTGATTGTCTGCTTCATAGCGGCCGTCGTCCTTTTCAGAACAGCACTTGACAGCCCAGTCAATGAATCTCTACCTCCGGAACAAGGTGAATATTTTAATAATTTATCGTTTTAACATGTTTATAAAATATTGATATGCCCATATATACATAGATTAATTTTTCTAGGTGGAAAACGATTAAGTATTTAAAGTGCTTTTTCAAACGGCCATTTTTAAGAGATGTAACAAAAGTCGTTTTCTAAAATTCTGGCTTTAATATTTGAAAAATTGTTTAACAAATAATACAATTAAAAAGTTTATTTTTAATACTTAATAGTCCCACTTGCCCACGAAATACATTTGTTATAAACTTCAGGCCTGGTCTTCTACTTTCAGTTTATTTTTTATCATTAACAGCATGTATTAAATTTATTAATTTCATCTTAATTCATTTAAAACTTAATACTTGTTAGAGTGTAATTTACTTACTATCTGTCCTGAGCATTCTGTCATATTACATACTTGAATGTTGCGTAAATATACTGCAAGAATCTGCTGGATTTTTTTCTGGAAGAAGAAGCCAGTCTTGCTTCTCTTCCAACTAAAAACCACTAATTGGCTGACTGGCTTGTTTTATCGAACTGAAGGCTCAAATTAACACTAAAATAAAAAAAAAATATTTAAAAAAATCTCAATATTGAACTGGGTAAGGACTTAGTTTAACAATACAACACTGTACAAAAGTTTTATTAGTTATAACTAACGAAAATTATTTTTATTTCCATAATTTGTTTTACAGACGCCTTAAACGGATTGGAAGAATTTGCTGATAGTGATGAAGATGAACACAGCGGGAGTATGCCCGATGATGATGAAGGCCCCTCCCTACCTGCGGATTTGGAACATGTCCCTCTTGAATTTCGAAGGATATCGTTTGATGAATCTCTGGCCAAGTCTAAAGAATTTTACGATGTGATGGAGAAGAGGAGAACAGTGAGGTTTTTCAGTCCAGATCCCGTCCCTATAGACATCATACGGAACATCATCAAGGCTGCTGGAACTGCCCCCAGCGGTGCTCACACTGAGCCTTGGACTTATGTTGTTGTTTCCGACAAAGACATAAAGCAGAAAATAAGAAATATAATTGAGCAAGAGGAAGAAATAAATTACAACAGAAGAATGGGTAAAATTTACTCTAATTTAAAATAATGCCACTTTTCACTTTTTTCTTTTTGGCTTTGCCGTGTAGGCATCTGCCACTCCAGAAGTTTCAGCTTTAAAAACTGAAAAACAAATTGCTTTGAATGCATTGCTCTACATGTTTTTTAGACTTTTGCAGATGGCATATCAACAATTTTTAAAATTTTGTTATTAACTAACATATTTATTCTTTAAAATCTGCACTCGAACAATTTTCAAAATTATTTATCATCAGTTTATGGAATATTTACCCTAGAACATTAACATTACAATTTGTTTTAAAGATTTCAAGAACAATATAATAATAATAATATAATAAATACTATACCACCAACCAAATGATAGTTATAAAAATTATAACTGTCACAGATTTGAATTAAATTCTCATTGAACAGTTTCTTAAATAAAATTCTTAAAAAAATAAATAAAATAAATAAACTAGTATTTGTTAAGAGAGCCACGTGGCTGGTGACATTGGGCAGTATTTGCTTTAGTTCCAGTAAAAATGGGAATACAAGAACATAACATTATTATAACTTGGTCATCGTGGTTGGTCTGCCAAATTGGTAGATTTGAAGATGGTAAAAAACCAAAACTAGTAAAGATAGACAGAGCAAGATTGAGATGACCCAAACTAAAAGTTCATCACTCGCAGACACCTATCTCAAAATTATCCCAGTATCAATATTAAAACCTTCTTTATCAATTTATAATGAGAATAAATAATTGTGGCATTTCTTTTGTATTGACATAAATGATATGTAACCTGTATGTACAATGTTTCTTAAATTTTGATTAATTAAAGGAGACAGATGGGTATCAGATTTAAAACCATTGAAGACAAACTGGGAAAAGGAGTATCTTACAACTGCACCATATTTAATTATGGTGTTCAAACAGGCCTATGGATTCAAAGAGAATGGACAGAAGAAGATGCATTACTACAATGAAATGAGCGTTGCCATTGCAAGTGGAATTCTCATAACAGCTATTCACGTAAATAGACTTAATTTCCACAAAATTATACTTTAACATTGCATCAATGCGGCATTCATAGCATTCTCGGTATATAAGTCAAAATTTGTTTGGACTGTTCCTTGCCAATTAAAATATTATAATTGCCAGATTAATATTAAAAAATAAAATTGCATTTATTGATTTTATAAAAATTAATATATTTCTGATGGTTATATATGAAATTTTTTCTCATCTTCATCCAAGGAAAGTTTTACTAAATACTAAATTTAACAATGTTTGGGAATTTAAAAAAAAAAAAAAAAAAAAAAAAAAAACCTTGAGAAATGTTGTGATGTTGCATACTTATGTTTTATATATCTATGGTATATATGTGTATCTTATATGTTAATATATAGGAAAAACAGTAGAGAAATTAAAACGAGAGTTAAAGAACTTTTGCCTAAACGGAACAAATTTCCTGAATTTAAGACCATCTAAATGAACCCAAACACTATTTAAATTTAAATTTAAATACAACATTGTTACACAGTTTCAACAATGGGAGTGAACTAAATTGGTTTGAGAAATCTGAAATAAAAATGTAAAATTAAACATGGGTATTTATTTAGAAATCGTGAGATGCGGTCTGGTGTGATGTAGGTTTCAGAAAAACATTTTCTTTTTCGTGCCAACGTTTCGATCTTTATTGAGATCATCTTCAGGGCTCAAAGTGGTTGTCTTCTGTGTAATTGTGTCATTCTTGCGTGTCGTGTCGAGAGTGCCCATTAAACATGGGGATAAATGCATAAATAGTATATTAGATTTTAATCTTCCTCCTATTTTAAACACGCACCTAAATAATATTTGACATTTGAAAACTATGCTAAAAAAATTAAAAAAAAAAAAAATGAGTAAGTACAGTGTATTGTCTTCTGCCCACAAGTGAGTAAACAAGGAACAACACCCATACCCATGGGACCAGAACGACATAAAAGTATAATTCACGCTTACGAGACACTATTGCAGATCGTCAGAGGCACTTGGCACTCAAGAAAATTTATTATTATCACATAGATTTGCTGTCTCTGTCAAGAAAAGTTAGACATCAGAATGTCAGTTAAAGTATTGCAATGTTAGAAGGGTAACAGCGTCACCCAATGAAATTAATGGTTCTCATAAAGGTACTTGAGTACTTTCCTCGATCTGGACATAGTCTTTCCACTGTGCAACTAGTCAGAAAATTACCTGTTACCCCTATCAATTAATAAATAATAATAAAAAATATGCAGTGCTTGAAAATGTCTTTTTTTAATGGTTGTAAATCCTTCAACCTGATGATGAACATTTAATAATTCAACCTTTATTTGGGTCATCTTCAGAGCCTGGGAGAATTATGAAAACTTTGTTAAAAAATTTAAGGTTTTTTAAATTTTCAAAGTTTACAAGAAAAAAGTTTACATTTACATCTGTGTTGTATTTTTTCCCATCAACATATGTTTTGTAATTCAAAACAGCCCTAAAGATGACCCGTATAAAGGTCGAAATGCCAGTAAAAAAATGAAAAAAATGTTTTTCTAAACTACCTCATCCTTGACCACTCATGAATCCAGCAAATTATTTCTGATAAATTATGATTTTATAAATTGCCAAAAAGACTTATTATTAGATATCACTTAAAACACTGAACATTTTCAAAAATATATTGACTCTTGTATTTTTTCAAATTAATTTAATGTTAAATTTTTAAAAAATTTATTTAATGAGGGGGACCATGGTGGATGAGTGGCTAGAGTGTCAGACTTTCATTTGCCTCTCTAGTGGTTCTGGATTTCAATCCTGGCAGAGCCCATGGCTTTTTAATTGACCATAATGTGAAAAACTATGGTAAATGAATAGTTTGACCCCTCTTCTGTGCACCATTGGGTATTTGAACATTAATCCATTCAATTTGACAGAATTTATTTTACTTGTTTTCTGCTGTTTTTCTAAATATCTTCTTTTTTTAGATGGCAGGGTTGGTATCTCTTACAAGCACTCCTATGAATTGCGGTCCAGCCCTTCGATCATTATTGGGACGTCCGAAAAATGAAAAACTGACGTTGGTCCTTCCTGTTGGATACCCTTCCAAAGATGCTACAGTCCCCGATCTCTCTCGCAAACAAATTGAAGACATAATGATTGAAATATAAATAAGATATTTTTTTGTTTGAAAGTACTATGTATTGTTTGTTTAAATTGTGAGTCAACGCATTAACACTATGAAGTGAGAAATAATGGTTTGATGTGAATTGTGTTTTTCAGTTTTTTAAACTATGCAAATCAATGACACGATGGAAGCAATAAACACTAAATGGGCATATTTTTAAATCTTATTGTTCTTTGTCAAAATACAACCAAGCATATTTATGCAAAAATTTATGTTGCTAACGTATAGATTGGGCAGACCAGCCACTGAAGGTGGTGAAAGACCTGTGAAAAATGAAGTGCAGGATGTTGGAAAATCACTGAACTACAAATTTGTTTAGAACATTTAGTGTCTATTTGATTGATCCATTTCTTTCATTCCTTCTGACCTAATTTGTTTAAAAGCTAATATTGCTAATACCTGTTATTGGTTCTAGGCATACAAATATTATCAATGCCCTCTAATTTAGCTAAACTTTCTTACGAACATTGGGCAGCTAAGGAAGAAGGTATTTTTAGTCAGGGTTTTGAAGAATGTTAGAGCATTTAATGTGAATTTGTTTACAATTTAAAATTTGCAGCGCTGACTTCGGGTTTTTCTTACATTATAATGGTACTTTAATTGGCTTGTACTTTACAGTCTGTTCTATTTGTGGATTATTCAAGACTGTTTCCCTTGGATTCTTTCATGTTACTTTGTAGCATTTTCTTTTAGTTTAATTATGTCTTTTTAAGATCTTGTAATGGGTTTATTGTAAGATTGGATCAATTTTCTAGTTCTTAGAGGTCCGATCACACTCACATGCACCATCCTCAAAATATATCCTGAGTTCTGGACTCCTGGTATTTTTGCTTCCATTGTAGAATTTAGGTGTGTTAGAATTAATTGTTAATCATGCGAAAATTGGTTAATAGCTCACTGTAAGATGTACAGTTTATTGGAATTGAGTAGTCCTAATTTCAGGTAGGGTACTTATAACAGTAAGGTTTTTGACTTTATACGTCGTAGCTTTATATCTACAAATGTGTGCGTTTTTAATTTTCCCAAGTACAGTAAACCATGGGAAGTTTATTTTCACCTGTCCCCATAACTGATTGCAAAGTGTTTAAGTCGCAAGTACTCATAGACAAGATTTTTTTCTTACACTAACTGGTTTTAATGATTTAAGTCAATGTTTTTTTAAAATAAGCTCTTCAAAGTATCTAGAGAATGACAGCAAAAAAAGCAGGTTAATTGAAACTGGCCAGGAGGTGCCCTCCTGGAGTAGATCCCTTTACATTTTTTTTATGGATGTCTTCATACTTTGACAGTCAAATATTAGATGGTATGTCCTGAAAGAGTGCTCTGGAGGTGCATGATAGATCATCTGTTAGGCTGAAGTGGTGCAGATCGGCTTGTCCCATATCTGTTTAGTGCTTGGCTTAGTTGGGCTGTTATTTTGAATGGCAATTTCAATCTGGTAGTTACAGTTGGGAAAAATGTTTTTGTCTGGTGCTCTTTTACTGCAGTTCTCCGCTGTTCTTCCCAGAGTTTTAATGTTTTCTTTCTGCACTGTCTGTTTATGTGGGTTCTTGGAACCAGGTCATAGGCCATTTCTGTAGCCTGTGAATCAGCCTCTTTGATCCCCGGATAATTGTTATGAGCTTTAACCCACATAACACTGCATTTCCAACCTGTGTGGTGTGTGTATGTTTGTTTTTCCACCCACCAGTAAACCCCGATGGTAGGAGGTTTGTTCATTATTGCCTGCCTTATCCTGTATCTGAATCCATTGCTAATTCTGCTGGGTTATTGGAACACCAGCCAGATAGTCTATACCGCATAGTATGGATGAGGTTACAGTTTTGATCGTATACCAGAGTTGTGCATCACGTTGAGAATTAATTTTGTTTTAGTAAGTGTATATCTGGAAAAGTCTATTAGTTTGATATTCCTTTTCAATCGGACTTAAACTTGTATTGTCTCCAAGGTAATGGTGGCATAGTATGTGGACTTGTAAATAATCAATAACATGTGAAGGGCCTATATCGATTTTTGGATGACCATGTGCCTTATAGCAATCTATCTTCTCTTGTATTTTCAAATCTATACACATCTCTCCTGCCATGACACATGCAGCATTAAATGATAACTTGCGGTATCCCTTGATCAAATTAAAACAAAAACAGTTCTTATACAGCATTCATTATTAAACTGTCTGCTGGAGGTTGTGGCCGGCTGAGAGTCACTTGAATAGAATAAGTTGTTGCATACAAAAAAAAAAAAAAAAAAAAAAAAATAAGCCAACAAAATTAATTAAAAGTATTAGCGTTTCCCAATATAAAATGAAACATTAAACTGCTCCCCGAGCTCTCTGCGATACTCCAGTGCACTATTTGCACAACCAACAGGGGAATTAAGTTTTACAATCAAACAAGCTCTCAATATTCGAGTAATTCACAAAAAGAGAATTTGAACTTCTGAAAGAATGGGACAAAGCCAAAAAATTGAAAAGGTCTTTCTTCACACAGGAATTACTCAGTTATAGCGCTCATCAGAGCCATCTCTAACAAGGGAGCAATTAAATTAGATAAATTTGCACCGAAGAAGTAAAATAGCACCCTTGAAATGATCATTAAAGCCTTGCATCATAATCCCCAGTATATTTTGACAGAATGCGATAGAGCAAATTGGGATGCTTTGTTGCCAAACCACTCTGTATGTTGCGTGTGTGTGTGTGTATGTGTTGAGTGTTTTGTGAGGTAATTAGCTGATTGATAACTAAAATGTACTAAACTGTGATGAATTAATTAACGATTGAATTAATCTATATGCACTTGTATTGCTTAAAATGCTAAAAAAAAACTATTAAAGGTGAATTTGGTTTGACTCTTGAACAGAGAAATCGAGTTCCATCCATCGATTGTAGTTTTGGTACGATATCAAACTTAAAAATCCGGTAACAGTTGAATTGTGTACTAACTACTAACTACTAAAACCTTTATTGCGTTTAGAAATAGTCGTTTATATTGTTCTATTGGAAGATTGTTCCCAGATTAAATATAATAACTAGTATGTAATTTCGGATTGTACGAATGGCTTTTGTTCGAGTTAAAAGAAGACCCGAGGAAGATCCGATCGACGTTCTTCTCCTAGCTGCCAAGAGGTTAAAAACCGAAGATGAAGAACCCCTGACAAACGTGTTCAGATTTCTTACAACAGTTGAAAAGGTGAAATCTCATAAAGTTATTTTCATTTAATTGTGTAGATATTATCAGATAAATTAGCCATCTTCGATTTCGAAAATTCGAATTCACACAACTAAGTGTAAACAATTTCTATTATCAAATTAAACTAGAATAATTCGTAGGTCTGCGAATGATGAACCTGTAGTCTAGTCTGCGATCCTGGTCTGCATATCTTCGATGGTTCGGTCTGACACACGTTTCTGTATTAACTGTCTGCAACTCAAACAAAACAATAACCAACCCAAAGGACGGAAAATGGACATACTTAAAAAAGGAGAGAAAATTCGAAGGTGGGGTTGAGATGGGAAGTTAGTGCCAAAGTGGATCAAAGTCACGATAGCTCAAGTGGTAGAGTAGCGGCGTATCAAGCCGAAGGTCGTGGGTTCGAATGCTGCTCGTGACACTGACTTTTTTATCTCAACTTAAAACCATAATTAATGGAATACTTAAAAACTTTTTTGATATTATTCAATATATTTGGCCTTTTGACGGTTTTCATTATTCATCTAATCCAACCGTAACCATCCCTAAGTGATCCCGGTGGTGTCAGTTGCAATTTCACAACTTGACGATTTTGACTATATCTTCGATACCGTTGACCTCACCAATTGTTCTAATAACTTGACATGAACAATGAAAACTGTAGAAAGACCAAGTATATTGAATATACCAAAAAAAGTATATATGAACACAACACATTTAATATAAGGAATCTTATGAACAGTATAAAAAGAAAACATAAAACTAATACACATTACTTTGTTTTAAACAGTACACAAGCACAATAAAAAACACAAATTGATGACACAATAACGAAAAAATCCTAGCTTTCAACCTACAAAGAAGCAGTCAGAACAACGATAAAACCGGCACATCTCTTTCGCAAACTTAGCAAAGCTGACCATGAAAATAATACAGAAAACCATCACTGAATATGGTGAAATGCAGAAACAGACCAAACTTTCGAGGATGGTCAGACCAAGGTGATCAGAAATAACCAAACTAAATTGAATAAATAATTGGTTGGGCAGTCTTAATTTTTTGGAAAATTTTGTGGGTTTAAGTCTGACATTTAAGATTATTATTATTCTGTGGTATTTAGTGACAGTTAATTAATGATTATTTAGAGATCATGAGATGCAGTCTAGTGTGATGTAGATTTAGAAAAACATTTTCTTTATTATGCCAATGTTTTGATCTTTATTCAGATCATCTTCAGGGCCTGAATTTCTATCATTGTATAAATTCATTTTCACATCTTACATGTTTGTATAATTTAAACAATGTTTATAAATCCCAGGCCCTGATAGAAATTCATTTTCACATCTTACATGAATTTGTATAATTAAAAAATGTTTTTAAATCCCAGATCCCGAAGATAATTTCAGTAAAGAAGTAACAGTAAAGTTTATGTAGGCACGATAAAGAAAATGTTTTTCTAAACCTACATCACACCAGACTGCATCTCACGATCTCTAAATAATCATTATTATTAGTTGCACATTATTATAAGTGAAAATAAATTGAATTTTTTTATTGAGAAACATTGCTCAATGTGTAAAGTAAGGGCTTAACATTCAACTCCTGTTGGGGGTCAAACCACCATACAATAAATTTTTCTTATTCTCAGTTAAAATTTCATGGGTTATGCCCAGGATTTGAGCCCAGAACTGATAGTGTGGCAAATAAAAGAGAGACACCTTATCCATTCGGCGACAGCAGACCTCTAAATCTGTGATTAATTATAATTTCAGATGCTAATAATCAATTACTGAAATCAAGAAATGTTTCAATTAGTTTAGAGTTACTTGTAGTAAGTTAAGTTAGTTTAGAAAAATACCTTTTTCCCTTTTTTTTGTCGACATTTTGTCCTTTATTTAGGTCATCTTCAGAGCATGAAGTGTGGTGCTCGTCTTGTGGTGTATTGTGATTTTTTTTTTTTTTTACACAGGTCAGCAAAAAAGTGAAAAAAAATATTAAACAACCGATCACTTCAAACCGGTAAAAAAAAAAAAAAATGTTTATTAATTGATAAGGGTAACAGGAATTTTCTATCTACTGTGGTAGTTGCACAGTGGAAAGCCTAGGTCCAAATTGAGGAAAGTGCTCAGGTACCTTCTAAAATTGCAGTACTGCAACTGACATTGTGATGTCTAACTTTTCTTGACAGAGACAGCAAATCTATGTGATATTAATATCGGGTTGTCCGGAAAATAATGCAGGATTTTAAGTTTTCATTAAAAAAAATCTATATAAAATATTCTGTTTACGTTTACAGGATTACTCATTTGTATGAATGNTTTGATTAAAGAACATTGCTTTAAAGTAACTAGTTTCTTTTTTTTTGTTTAATACCAAAATCCTGCATTATTTTCCGGACAACCCAATACATTTTCTTGAGTGCTAAGTGCCCCTGACGATCTGCAATAAGTGTTTGCTGAGCAAGACTTATACTTTTATGTTTTCTGGTCCAATGGGTGTGGGTGCTGTTCCTTGTTTATTCACTTGTGGGCAGAAGAAGACAATACACTGTACTTACTCAATTTTATTTAAGCATGCTTTTCATTCAGACCTTTGTTGGGAGGTGTTTTCTACCTTTTTTCTAACACCAAAATGGATTTATACGAGGCCTTTTCAAAAACTAAAAGATTTTTTTTAAACTAACCCAATTTCTTTTTCTTCAATGACTCTACCAGTTGTTAAGTGCAGTTTAGTGCAGACTTAGTTCAAATAAATAAATCTTTGAAGAGTTGTTATGAAAAAGTTATTTAAATCCATCCTTCATTTTGACTGTCACTCTCCTGGACCAATTTTATGACAGTTCAGTGTTGTTTTTAAGATGTGTAATAAAGTGTAGTAAATGTAGCACATAAGGATATTAAAAATTGTGTATTGATTATTTGCTAATAAAAATATTGATATTGATGCAAGGAAAAATAATGATACTTTGGGAGATTTCTATATGTTGTTTCCTGGATAAACCCAAAATTTGGTCGTTATCAATCATTTTAGCCTACCTAAACTCACTGGAGGGCAAATGGAGGATTGACAGAGTATGATCGGTGATGACCAAATTTCACAATGATACTTATTAAACATAAAATATGAATATAGTGTTTTAAATTGATTTTGGAGAACCATTGCATTAGGTTGTTACAAAAAATCTTTGTACATGATGATATTATTAAATTCTCAATAAAATACTAATCCTATATAAAATCCTTGTGTTATATATAAAAATGCATTTGCTATTATACATCGCTGTTTCTGTGACTATTGAAAAAAAAAAAAAACACAAAAAAAAAACGACAAAATGGAAAGGTGGCAACTGAAGCATATGTATGCAATGGATGGTGGAAGAGCATAATATGACAGCATTTAGATCGATTTTGGCAACATTGGCCTTCAAGGTGAGCCCCGTCTTAGTTCAGGAATTAATTGTGCTGAATTACTCCTATAAGCCATAATTATAACAATATATTATCAGCCGCAATTTTTGCTTCATACGCTACTGTTAAAAAAATTGATTCAACTGCTGGATATTGAGTTTTAAAAGCTGAATACACTGGTTTGATAACATGAATAAAACACAAAACAAGACTACACTCCTGTATTGTAGTTTTGCATTAAAAAACGCAAACTTTACCAGTACCTTGTTTGTCTCTGGTAGTGAACCATATGGCTATGATTTTTCTAATCTATAGGACAAAAACTAAAAGGTGTGGGATTATAAGAAGGCAAATGCTAGGAAAAATGGTTGACAATATAGCCCATATTTTGGAGGAGAAAAAAAGTCTTGCATGTGCTTGATATAGATTTTTAAATGACAAGTTTTTGTGCATATGGAATTTGTATCAACCTGTTTAATTAATTCAAAATTCAACATTTAATTTAAATTATAGTGACATTACTACAAAATAATAATAAAGAATATTTCAACCATTTTCAGAATATCAGGGACCTACATATATAAAAAGCAAAATGTCTACAGGAAAGCATAAATTTCAAAATAAGGAGGCTGTGCACCGAATAAATTACCTATACCAAGCCGCTGAGCATGCTCGGAGAATGGGAAGTAAGGATGGAAAGAAGTTAATGTATTTGTACGGCGTGCTTTTGAAAAAGGTCTCCGAGAAGACACAGACAAAATTGGATTACAATCTGAAGCGAACAATTTGCAAAGGCTGCAGTGCTATCTTGGTCCCTGGGGACACGGCAGTCGTCCGTGTCGCCAAAAAACCAAACCAACAGATCATCTGGATATGTAATACCTGCGGTACATATCGTGTTTTTGGGACGAGACCCGATTACGAATTATGGGAAGATAAGCCACTTGCAATTGTTGAAACGATAAAATGTCACGAAACACCAAAACAAGAAAGTCAGAATCCAGCAATACAGAACTAGTTGAAGATCAATTTAATTTAATTTTTCAATTGGAAAATACATTGTTTAAAATGTGAATAAAATTCAGTGCCAGTTTGCTATTTATTTGTTATAAAAAAACAACATATATTTGATAATAGTATATAATTAAGTAATGGAAAATAAAACAAAAATAAAATAAATGCTTGACTATTAGTTATTTTGTAAATATTATGGACTCACAGAACTTGTTTTAATCACTAATTACGTATTATGTTTTTTAAAGCTTGACAAACATGATTTAAAAATGGAACAACTATTACTAATACAATAAAGTTGTTTAAAAAAGTGTCTTCATCAGTACCCTTCATTATGTCAGTAATTTTAGAAAAAAAGATTTTGAACAATTTTAGGTTTGTATGAAATCAATGTAGCTGATTGTCCTTTTTTTCCTTTCTAAATTGAGATCTACTTAGCCTGCTAAGAAGAAATGCAGTATTTACTGATTTGATATTTTTGAGAAATTGAGCTTTGAAGTTTTTCTTGCTGAGTGGCCACAGTTGTTAAGTTGCCATATGTTTTAAAGTTTTTGACCTAGGACTCTTTAACTTCTCTTCTTTATAACCCTGAAAGCCTTTTCTTATTATTATTTATCGATTCACTATTATCTTATGGTTTTTGATTATTTTTGTACATTATTTATGTGTATTGTTGAGTATGTAGTTTTTTATTTACTATTTATCAGTTAGTTATTTTTGACTATGTTCATATAATTTGTATATATATGTATTGTCTCTGAATAAAGGTATATTGATTGATCGAGATCTCTGGTGTGATGGACCTATCATTTGGTCATCTATCAACCCGGTTTATCATTAGTTGATTCTGTCATACCTATTTTAGAATTTGGCCATTACCTATGTTCACTCGTGCAAAAATTATTAGTCTTTGAAACATTTTACACAATACACAAAGCCTGTGCCAGTTGGGGGACTACATCAGTGAGGATAGGCAGGCTAGGAAGATAGAGGACCAAACTAAAGATTCCTGTGGTCTTAATACAACAATGCATTCCTCACATTACATTAATATGTTAAAAATATAAAACTATTTTTTATATGACTAATAAGATCACAATAAATAATTCAAACAAATTAATAAAATAGTAATTTTTATTTTACTTATAGGCCAAAATGAAATTAATAACATCAAATTAGATACTGGATTATTTATTTTCTGCCCTAAATTTACATTAAATATATAAAAGTACATGAGGCAAATAAATTGTTACATATTTATTTGTAATTTAATTGTTACCGATCATCCTGGTGTCAGACAGACACACTGAAGATGATGGACTGACACAGGAAAGAACAGGATTGGTAATGACCAAGTTACAGGTTCATCACACTATAGACTAAAGAGAAATCTCACAACATATTTGTTTTGTAAAGTGTCTGTATGTACAAGATATAAATATTTTAATAACACATATGGTGTAATATGATCTCTATGAGATGTGTTTTTTCATCTTGAGTGGAGGGTCGGTTGGCTTTACGCTTGTTATCTTAAATTGGCGATGCCAAAATATATCAGCGTGACAAAAGCAGCAAGAATATGTAGGACAGGAGTGTCAGAAATGACAAAACTAAAGGATATCGGTAGACCTCAAGAAGAAATTTCACATCATATATTATTTTTTCATCATTGATATCTGAATATTCTGTTAATGTTAATTAGCAAATCTGTTCACCATTGAAATCTGGGTAAAATAAGTCTTAAAAATTAATATAATTTTTAAGAAAAGCGCAAAAAAGATCAAGATATGCTCAGGATCTTTTTGTTTTAAATATACATACTTATAAAAATATTTTTGCCAACACACTAATTATTTTCTTCTCCTCAGGATAAAGACATAAAGGAGCATTTGGAATTTGCGAAGCATTTAGTTCCCAAAAAAAAGGTCCACTTTCAAAAGCAAGATGTTTCTTCTATTACTGAAAAACTCAAAGCGGAAAATAAGTTATTTTCTCATGACAATAGGCTAAAGGTGAGTTGGATTATCCCATTATTGTTATTTTTAATTGAGAGGAAAAATAATCAACAGGTGGGGGAAAAAATAAGAAAATCATTAATATTTTTTTATTAAATTAAAATACAAACTTTTTAAAGGATCAATTTATATATATAAGTATAATTAGTGAAATGTATATAATGTGCATTTTATCTAACATCAGTGGTACAAATTTTACTGACATTTCTAAATTTTAATGAATTTAACTAGTTGATTTGCTTTTATATATTTTTTACTTGCACATAGTTCCATATTTACAAATTAAACTAGGAATATCTATGAATGAGTTAAATTAAAAAACAAACAAACATGTTACATAAATGTAAATAAACAAAACAAAGTTTAAACTATGAGGCTGATATGTGTCATTTTTAAAAATTCTATTTTATTCATTATTTTATTTTATCATATATCTATATATATATATATTTTGTTTTTAGAAAAAGTATAAATAAATTCTGTCTTTAATTTATTCTTAAATCTTATTTAGATAATTTTTTTAAATAACCTATTTAATTTATAAAGTCTATCAATCAGCTTTGAAAAGTAACAGCACACTTTTGCAAAGTGTTTTTTTCACCTGAAAAAAGTCAGTTGTTCCCACTTATTCATAAATAGCAGTTCAGTACAGGCTTTTAGGTTGCTCTAAAAGGCATTTAAATATTATGATAACTATATTTGCCTTAAGTCTCATTTGTGGAAATTTTTTGGGGGGGTTAGGAGAGAATACATTAATATTCTTTATTAGCATAGAATACTTATGCAATCTTGGTCTACTCAATTTTAACACTATTCTGTGCCCAGAAGTTCATAAGTTGTACATTCAATTAATCCCAAAAACGAATTTTATACGTCTTGTTTTATTATTTTTAATGTTAATTATCAAATTATGAATAATTATGTAAAACGTTTAAAAGTGGCTTTATTGATGTGTTTCATGGCACATTGAGCAAAAGTATTTTTTATCTTTCTTGCAATTAATATAATTCATCACAAGATCTTAATTTTTTACCCTGTTGTACACTTAAATTTAAATTTAGCACGATACAAATAGAATTTTTAATATGTACACTATTATACTTTTACATCAGTACTGAAAAAATGAAACTTTAAAATTCAATTTTTATTTTAACATTCTATTTAAACATTTTCATATTGTCTATGTTTGTGTGTTAATATAGTATTTAATTTTTTTGTTTAAACCTTTCTAACTTACAATTTTTATAATTAGGTTGTGAACTGCTTTAGAGCTATTCCTCATGATGAGGAACAGGGCGAGTCTGACCAGAGAAAGGCTTATACTATAGTTGACATAGAAAGTATTCCTTTCAAATGTGAGGAATCCAAGGACTCAAGTAGTTCGGTAACAAGTCGTTTTGTACCTAAATTTGAAGAGATATTTTTAATACAGTATTAAGTTATAATTTTCAATTTCAGAATGCTTCATCATCAACTACAGAACAGTACCTTTACGACCTTTACTACACAACCGCTCCTGGCGATTTTAACGATTTACAATTAGAGCATACTTTAAGGTGCATAAGTATTTTTAAAATATAAAAATTAATTATTATTTGTTCATGTTTGAATTTATATTATTTTTTCAATTAAACCTAACAAATGTTTGTAGTGCTCATGAAGTTGATGAAAAATTGCTATTTGGTGATTATATTGCGGATAAAGAAGAAGAGGATAATAATCAAATGGATGATGAAGATGATTCCAATGATGAAAATAATTGGAGAAATGAATACCCTGAAGATGAAAACTCAAGGTAACAATTTAACCAATATTAGGTTTGTTCAAACACACAATCACAAACTAGTTGCCAAGTATTTCGTAATTTATTGACTACGCACGTCCAGAACATCAACTGATCATGTATTTATTCTGTTGGAACACTTTTTTCCAATCATGGATTCCTACAGTTAAATGACAGTTTGTAAGGTTGTAAACATTGGAAAGTTTTGAATTGTAAAGGAATTTTTCTTTATATATTTGCGCATTGTGTTTATTATTTTGTAATGAGAACAGATGTGGAAGACCTGAGTGATTTTGATAAACTATTTATCTGAATCCTACGTCAGTGGTACAATGGTTCAAATTTTATTTAGCATAATTGAAGAATATTCCAAATTTTACTTTATTATGTTATCTTAGTAACATAAACAAATCAACCAAATATAATTCTTTTGAAATAATTAGCATCTTATTTGAGGTCTCATTTCCAAAACTTCTTGATACATTTTTACTTTGCCTTTCATAAAAAAATATGTTCATGAAGTAGCTGGGGTTGTGGAAGGAAATAGAGGCCTCATTTGTAACACAAAAATAGTCAATATCAGTCCTCTTTCTGATTTTATGAGTGTCTGTAGTTTTTCTGTTCAATTTCCTTTCAAAATATGTACTAGAGTGAAAACAATGTCGTATTAAAAAGAAATTATTCAGTTATATTAGTCAGGCGATGTCTCTGACAACATCCTGCATACTTTAATATTTTCAGAATATATTTGAGGATATTTATATAAATTCGGCCTCTAGGTAAAAGTAAGAACTGTACTTTTTGAAAAGAGTGAAAACATAAAGAAACATCTGTGCATGTCTGATTGCCTTTCTATAGCCAAAGGCTCAGACTGTTTTGACAATCATAAACTGGTTTCAAACTTGGCCTGACACTGTGGTTTGACAGTTTGAGTTTTTATTATTGAGTTATTATTTGTTTAGCATTGATGAAGATGATATGCTATGCGCTGTTAAGAAAATAAAACACCTAAATTTGAGTAAGTTCCCTAATTAAAAGTGGTTAATATGGTTCATTATTTAATCATATATGATGTTTTAGATGGTGAATATTCAAGTGATTTGTCGACTGATGACTTTGATGATGATTTAATTTATGGTGTGGAAGACTATGGTAATTACTATTATGATTCATCAGGAGAAGATTGATTCCACACCTGCTTCAACTCACGCTAGAAAGGCTCCTGTGATGTACAATTACTTCTCCCTTTTAAGTACTTTGGTGCGATTGTGTCTTCGTATGGTTCTACCCCAGACTTGGCCATATCATCTCTAACCTGAAAATGTTGACATTTAAAAAACAAAAACAAACTCATGTTAAAAAAAAGAAAGTTTTTTTTCTATATTAACTTTTTCAACAGCATGGAGAACTCTTAAGAGATTGAGTCCTGCTAACTTTTTCAGTTCTTCCATCGACCATTGTCCCGATGCAATCAATTCAGCAAATAATGCAGGATATGTAGATACATCCTCCAACCCTTTAGGTGTACTGTAAAAATAATTGTTTTAATAAAATAAAATACAATTTTTATAAATTTATTTTGTACAAATTAATTCCATCATAGCCAGCGCCGAGGCCTACACTGTCTACACCTGCCACCTCTCTTATGTGATTTATGTGTGCTGTAAAAATTTATGATTTAAATTGAAACAGCTAAATTCACCAGAAATGTTCACTAATATTATATTATTTACCAGCTGCATCGGCTATTGTAGCGGTGTCTTTACAAGTTAAGAACTGTGAGTAAAAATTCACCATCACAAGCCCTCCATTGAGACCCTGAAGGCAAATTATTTAAGTCAAATAACTAATGAAAATAATGTGTTTATACTGAAACTTGAAAAACATACCAGTTTGGCAAGAATGTGGTCAGGCACATTGCGAGTGCTATTGCAAAGTGCTCTTGCTGATGAATGCGAGAATATCACCGGGGCTTTACTTACCTCAAGTGCAGCCTTCATGGTTTTCACGGAAACGTGTGACAAATCGACAAGCATACCAAGCCTGTTCATTTCTTTCACAATTATCTGTTTATCTAGAAGAGTATGTGACTTGCTTAAAGTTATCAATGTATTAAAAAAATTAAAAATTTATTTAAAAAAAAAAAAAAAAAAAAAAAACAACAGAAAATAGCAAAAAAACAAAAGTTAGGCATTACTTTGCCAAAATTTGTAAGACCTCCATGTTCAGACTTTCTTCCTGGAATATCTACAAGTGAAGAGTCTGCCCTGAAAAGTACAAAATATAAAACATTAATTTAATTAAAATAATATGAAATATTAAAGAAATATAAATTTGTACCATTGTGTATTACAAGTGGATGTGAGGGTCAAATATCTGACCCCAAGAGTGTACAAAGTCCTTAGTACAGGTAGACTATTTGCTAAAGAATGACCTCCCTCAACTCCTATCAGACTGCAAAGTTGATTCTTTTCATGTGCAACTGTTATTTCTGTAAAACAGTTTTGATTATCAATTATGACTATTATAATATTAATGCAGATGTTTTAGTTGATACTAGTTAACCAAAGTAATGATTTAAATTGTGTTGCAATTTTTATGTAAAGTGTGGTTGAGATGAAAGCCAGTCATCATGGGTTCGAGTCTTGCCCGTATCACTAATTTTTCATCTGACTACAATTTACATAAAAATTATAAAATACATGTTATAACCATTCGCCCTTTGCTCTCTTGACTCTAGGCCGGTAAGTCCAACTTGGCTTTGACAGTGCTAGTCCTCCAACTCCAACTCTCTTGTTATATTTTTCTATATTGAAAAGAAGGGCAGAAGGAGAAAGAAGATAATAAAATTATCATCTCACTCTCTGGTTAATGGAAAGCAAGTTTCTAAGCTGTAAATACTTGTTACCTTTATGTGTTATAACTGAATTATTTAGTAAATAAAGTATTATTATTAATTATTCGGAGATCGTGAGATGCGGTCTGGTCTCACGATCTCCAAATAATCTTTAACTAATGGTCACTAAACACCACTTATTATTATTATTAATTTTTAAGGGCGTTTTAATGGCTAAGGTCATTTCATGCCCTAACATCCAAACCTATCTTAGGTTAGCTATATATCTTCTGAGTGCTATAAAGCTCTGACTCCAAACATTCACTCGTAATCTAATTTATCCTATTGCCATCCAAACTTTAATTTTTCTTTTTAAAATTCTTAATTCGGAAAGCCAAATGTATGCAAAATTCCCATTTTAAATTGCATACAATTTAATAAAATTATAAAATTTATTTGTTTCTTTTTTTAATTAGAATTGTGAATTTTTGTTCCATAATTTAAAAATTCCCCGTAGGCTTGTATGGCTAATAATAATAATAATAATGGAGTCAGACTAGCAACAGTCTCAGCATGAGTATAGGCTCATCCTTATCCTTTTATTCTTCCATTCCAATATGATAACTAATTTTTTTTTTTTTTTTTGAGGGAGCTATTTTTCTTATTTAAATTGCGATTTTGGGCATTGCAGTTTATTCCCCTGCAATTTGTATTTTCTTCCATTTCATTTTTCTGCTCCGGTAGCCTCAAAAATCTCTGAAAAAAGAAATCTTGCACGCACAACTCTTATTCAAACATTATCAGGCATTCAATGGTATAACAATTTGGGAAAAGGCCTAAATCTCATTATAAATTCCAATAAATTTGAGAAAGCTGAAAAGTGCTCTTCGAAAGAAACACTGGGTACACAGTAACTCTTGTAAATCACTCGAAAAGTTGAGTTTTGCCTAAAGGGTTGTAAAGTGGGACAGTTGACACCACTTATTATTATTATTAAAGTTGGGATGCCATTATAAAGTTTTGTTGAAAAAAGTCCAAAAGTAGAAGAATAGACAAACTGTAGGTCATTTTGGCCAGGGTAGTGTCAAATGTTGGAATTATGTGCAATGTTGGCTTAAAATAGTAAGCCAACAAAGCGTTTAGTAGTTATGTGGTGTAATTGCCAGTAATATTTTTTTCCACATAAGTCAAAGGGATTTCTCCCTTTACCACTTAAACTTCCATCTATTGTACCAATCTCTGCTAAGGACTGTGGAAAATTTTTGTTTCTTTTATGTAGTAAAGAAGAAAAAAAAGTATGGTATCAAGTTAGTCTTTTCATAGCAGTTATGAGACAATTTCATCGGGTATGTTCCTTAGGCACCTTTATGCTCATACTAGAACCGTTAGAATCATCCAGGATTGTCTTTTTGTTTTATTTTTCAAATTAGCTCTCTTTTCAATAATTATGTTGAATTATTTTATAGTAAGATGTGTTGAGAGCTATTGTGTTGACAGCGCCTATGTTAGATTATTCTGCTAGCCTTTGAGTGTTAGTTGTAGTTTTTATTTGATTGAATATTCCAGTAAGCCATTTGTACCTTTTTTTACTGTTTTATTCACAAATTCAAATTTTATAGGTAGATATAAATTGATTGTCAAACAACTAATTTAATGATTATAAATTTATTTCTCGCTAAACGGCGTTGTGGTCCTACACTTTCGCAGCACGTCCAAGTCTTGCAGGTTTAGTATATTGTACGAAAAAACCACAGCTAAACAAAATTATTTGCCTATACATTATATTTACACAGAATAATTCAGTAAGTACACATGTTTAGGGCAAGAAAGGGTACTTTTTTAAATATGTTCAACATGCTTTCGATGGTACGTGACGTGATGGTAAATTTGATCTGCTCTGTTCTTGAATAATGATTAGTTGTGATCTTTCCAAACGAGTTAGACGCTAAGACATGCGTATTCTGCGAGTGATGTACCCGGTTTCTTGTTTCTCTTTATTGCTAATCATGCTAAATGTATCTTATGGCGAAATTTGTTATTCTAGGTAGGTATTTAAGGAATTCTAGCGAGCAGATAACTTGACACGACAATTGTATACTAGTTTCCACATATGGTGTGGTCAGGATAATTGACGTTTCGTGAGTTGTCTAGATGATTTCTGTGGTATCATTGTCAAGATCCTGCTGGATCCAACTCAAAGAAGGAATTTTCTTCAATGAATATCTGTCGTTTTAACAAACCACGATTGTTATGCTTTGCTAAGAAAGAAGAGTCTCAGCCTGAATGTGAGAGTTACACACCCTGTAAAGTTTTCTCTTCAGGGTACCTCATTTTAAAGGAATCAAATCTCTGATACCGAAAAGTGGCTCGTATTCATCAGAATTCTTAGGAGTCAGAATCACACACTAGAAATTAAGGTTGCTGAAGCAAGACGTCATCAGGATCTGTTTGAAAAGGAACATTTTCTGATAAAATTTTGAAGAGTGATTCTTTAAGGAAAATCAGTTTCAGTTTTGAATATTGAATTCGGCGGCTCTACAGCTAAATATTTTTTGAAAAAAAAAATGATTTGTGGTTTTATAAAGAATTTTAGAATTACCTTTAGCTGAAGTGCAAAATGTGAGTGGAGGGCTGTATTTTTCAGTTAGTCTTCTAATCACATCAATTTGCTCCAATGTGAGCTGGACAGCATCCTTGAATTGAGATTCACAGGGAACATAGGCAGCCCAAAACTAAAATTAAAAAAATATTCGTTTATTCAAAAAAAAAAAAAAAAAAAAAGCAAACAACAGGAAAATAAGAGAAATTTACTTTGTGCAGAATAAGACATAAAATGCATAAAAAAGCTTATTGAAATAAAAATAATACAATAAGGCTTAATGAATTAACACAGTAAGTAGACATTTTTAAGGCAAGTTAAGGGTTGAAAGTTATGGTGGTGTATACAAATTATAAAAAGGTGTGAACATGTAGTAGAAGTCTGGACTAGCCAGGCTTTATTGACTTGTTGGTCTTGACAAATACCAGACCCAGCCCAAACTTAGACTTTAAGTTGGAAGCTCATAAGAGAACAATCAATTGACGCAGGTATTTGATCTTATGTGTTTCGTTTTAGTTCAACCTGTGTTTGCGTTTTATGAAGAAAATGAACGTATTGATACTGTGCCCTCCACTGCTTTTCTAATTTCCAAATATTTTATTGATCTCATTTTTAAATTAGTATATGCAAATTATTGAAAAGTTTACAAATTTTTTATCACCTGGTGATCAGGGTCAGTTTTAAGACATTGAAACTTCGGATATTTAAAGTCCTACAGGACTAGCCTATTCTATATTATTTAAGTACCATTTTTTATCCTCAAATTCTTTACAACCTACTAAGCAGGGTCATTTTTAGCATAGTTGGTTATTTTTATGCACTACCCGACTAGCTTATTCTATATGATTTTAATACCATTTTTTTGTCCTCGTATTCTTCATTATTTCCCATTACTTTATTGCTTCTTGACTGTCTAAAAGTTATATACGTGCTCCTTTTGATTATTATAATTATTATATAATCCTTTTGATCTTTTCTTGTTTGCTTAAAAGTAATGCCTAGGTCATTTGGGATTGTGCAGATTTAGCATTGGAACGAAACGCAAAAGGGTCATTTAACAACCACCTTCCCCAAAGAAGACCCAGGGGATCAACAAATAAGTAAAGAGAAAGTAGAGATTTTGTAATAGACGTGTCTTTTTTGTTCAGAAGCCCTAAAACCGTCCGTGGCGGGACAGAGGGCATCAATCAAAACGGGGACCCTTTTCGCCAGAGAGGATGTTCTATTAATTGGAACGGTCTTTCCACTTTCTACATCGTCTGGTTGAGTTGTTACCTACGTGACTTCACGTGAGCCAATTTTTTATTCACGAGTGCTTTGTTTAAGCCGACTTGTGTGAACAGAGCACGCGTTTCTTACCTAATATTTTATCCTTAGTTTTTATTGCTGAATCAAATGCTTAAATAACTTAAAAAATAAGAAAACCGTATGGATTTTGAAAATAGTTATTTGGCCGGAATAGAATCAATATAACTTTGCAGTTTTGTAGCAATAATATAGGATTCATCATTATATCATCATTATTATCACAGTAACATATATACATTTTCTTATCAGCTCTCTGATGGTTCTTGGAATTAGAGTTTGTCGATCGATTATTGCTAAGTCTTGAGGTCATGATCGTTGAACAAATCACGTAGCTATATAGTATAGTATCATTTCTAACCTCTGCTATCTCTGAAATATCTAAATACCTATAGTATTAGTTGCTTTACCTGCGTGTATATATACACTGCCCGTAAAAAAATCGACCATCTGGTTTTAGCACGAAAAAAAGAGTGATCGGGGTTTTTCCTTGAGCGCGTAAAAAAACCACGTTTTTTGCCCAAAAATCCCGAATAATTCGACAACGGTTGAGAAATCGGGAAAAGTGGAATGTGATCCATAGAATGCTTATTAAAATTTCTTATCAATTGCTATAGGGCGCCGACGATTTTTTGAATTTACTGTTGAATGACTGAAGTTAGGAAAACCTTTAAAAAAGCCATTTTGTTTAGCGTAAATTTTTTTTTATATAAAAAATGAGACACCGCAGGTCTGTGACTTAAAGTCTGAGAAAATGTGCATTTCCAAAGTTGGCTATTTTTTCGTGCAAAAACAAGGCAGTCGATTTTTTATGATGGCCTGTGTAGATCTGAATATTAAGAGTGGAGAATCAGTATACAGATTCAAATGATTGTAGTATACAGGGTGTCCAAGCTAATGCGCCCAACCATTTTTTTTTCTTTGCGGTCCTAGATAGGAAAAAAAGCATGAATTGAGACTCCCCTTAATTTTTCTTGTAGTTTGTTCAATTCAATTAAACTAATTCTACACAATTATGCAATCAAAACATTTTCATCGCTGAGGGTCACTCAGATAACAAAGGACTTGTCCCAACAAGAGTCTGGATACGAAAAATAAACAGCGTTAGTTCCTACATTTCTTTGATTTGCTATTAAACCTTTTTATTCCCAGATAACAATAGTTATGATTAATTAATTAATTAATCCGCTGTGGCCGGTCCCAACCCCGGTTGAGAAAGGAGGTGGGATTTGAACTGCAACCAAAATATTTCGGTGAATGAGTCTTTGGTAAGATCAGGTATTGGTCGAGAAGAAAAAACGATACAAAATACGAAATTTATAGGATTTGGCAGGAAATTTAGTAAGCTTTCAGAATTTTTTGGACTTTGGATGATTTTCCACTCCTCTTCAAAATATTTGCAGTAGAAGGCAAAATAAAGTGGTTTCGATCTAAGGAAATATAGCGTATTCCGGCTATTTTCAAAAAATCATATCTCCGGTTCTATTGGACCGATTTTAATAAATCAGTGCTCATTTTTCTAGCCAAAAAATCTAATTTCAAAGCAAAATGTGAAAAATGGGGGTTCTCATTTAAAATTAAGAATTTGAATTCAACTTATGTCGAATCGAGGTTAAAAAAAAAATCGACCTTACATGAACAAACTACTTGAAAAATGAAGGGGTGTCTCAATTCATACTTTTTCCCGATCTAGAACAGCAAAAAAAAAACAGGGTGGGCACAATAGCTTAGACACCCTGTATATTCTTAAATATACTTAACAGCGTTATATACGAATTTTCTTTTGTAGATAAATTTTGCTGTAAGGTTTATTTACAATTTTCAGCAGAAGCAACCGTCTAATAAACAATAATTGTATAACCAACATATTACAGATTTGTATCAAGTATTCTAAGATCTAAAGATATCCTTAGAAGACTATATGTACTGAGCGAATCATAATGAGCCATTTTTGTCAGATGAAACCATTTTGCTTAACGACTGTACAGCCGTTTGTTTTAACGTAGTTTCCAACTATCTAAATGCCCTGTTAAAGTTTTTGAATGGTGGTTAACCACAGGCTCATTAATAACTAGTTCAATTTAGATAGCACGAGATTTACAGTTTATATGTTGCAATTAAATAGCTGGAAGTTGTTACGGGGGGGGGGTTACAACATTGCTGGTCTGTCTTTCCTCCTAAGAGACGGATTTTACGGCGGGTTTTGGGTTGCAAAACGGTATAAATCTTGGTATAAATTTACGTTTATTTTGTAACAAATACTTAAATACAAATGCTATCAAATTTTTACATACGTAATATTTGAAACTCAAAATGGTTAAATACAGCAGCAGGACCTCAACACTTTGCTCATATCACAAATTAAAAAATGTGTTTAAAAAAATTGTTTGTTAAAAAAAAAAAAACAATTTTTCCAGACTTTTTGGTATAAAAATGTATTATCCGGCTACAGGAAATGCTATAAATAATTAAAAAATGAACATTTATGGCGTTTGGAGGAATTATTCCTCACCCATAATAAATTTGCCAAAATTTGCATTGTAAAATAATTTATATGGATTTAAATGGAATAATAAATTATTCAAAATTAAGACTGAATTATTAATGAAGAAAGATTAATATTCATTAATAAACAATAATTATCACAGTTCCTTTCTGGGGGTGACCCCATACACAAGGGATTTTATCTGGTCTTGACTACTTTAAAAAAAAATTGTGGACGAGCTATGAAAATAAATAATTAAAAAAACATTGTTCAAAAGTGAATTTTACAACAACAAAAACGATTTGCAAGCTAGAATATGTCTGTTATATAAAAGAGGGAGTTTTCAGGTTTTCTCCTTTCCTGATAAGTACGATTTGTTGTTGAAAAGTTGCACTTTTCTTAAGTTTTGGTTACAATGTTATTAGTTTTTAAATAATAACAGCAACAAACAATGCTTATTTTGAACTAATGAGTTTGTAAAATTCAAACAGGAACGTAATAAGAGAGTAAATAATTGAAACGTGAAATTCAAGGAAACGTTATACATTTTTTCAAATTAATATTTTTAAATTCAACTTTAAATTCAAAACAATGAAAAAGTTAAAATAAGTACATAATTTTTTTCCAAGAGTTTTGATCACAGTGGTACAGAAAAGGAGGCCAATTTTTCCATTAGATAAGGATGAGGCAGTGGTGCCCTTAATGATAGGGCGTTTCTCAGGCAAACAGCCCTCGGTAGGCCAAATATATTTCTTTCTCCTTGATTTTTTTCCCACTAGAATCATTAAATACCGTTTTGCTTATCCATCCGCAGAATTTCTAAGCACTAGCCCGATTAAAAGTAAATAAATAAGTACATCTAAGTATATTACAAGACCAGTCGGTGGGGAATTAAAAACACAAGTTGCCCATTAAAGATTATATCGGAAAATAACCTATGACACAAGAATACGGCGAAAAGAAATTGTTAAAATATAAACCTTTTTTGAAAAGACTGGACAATTTATTTGGTATCCGGACTTCAATTTAACAGTTCAAAAAAGCACTTCAATCCTTCTTGCCCCTTGTAAAATTCAAACTATAAATCTTATTTATTGACGAAGTGGTGGAAAGTTGTTAAACCTGGGCGGTGAGTTGGCCGTCGTGAAACATGCAGAAGGCCCTTCCGCACTACGGCCCCATGGGGCACTCAGAATGAATCTGGCTCCTCTGCCTCAGCCACCGGTGTTATTCTCCTCTTGTAGAATTACTTAGAAAACGTACAAAATATTTGTTTGTTTTCAACCAATAACTTTGTCAAGAACAATATTTTAATGAAGATTAAAATAAATTCGAAAAAGTGT